CAACACTATATATGTTTGTTATTTATTCACTCGAATAATAATCAAGCAAAAATTTACTGGAAAAATACTATTTTTGTTGTTGATTAAAACGGAACAAGCGCTCTTTTTTTTTTGCTCTTCCTTCCTCACTCAATTGTTGTTTCATCAATGAAATGAATGGCAAATAATTTCGAGAGAAAAAAAGAAAATAAAGATTGAAATCTTATTATCACTCATTTCTTAACATCTTCTTTATAGAAGAATCTAGTTCTGTTATTATCATTTTTTTTTTCGTAAGAGAAATTTTTTCCTACCAAAATTAATGATGACAAATCACGAAACATATTTTCAACATTGACAATAGTTTTCTTATTTGTCGCCAAATGATCTGAAAATGAAAATTGCAATGAGATTTGAAAAAAATAAGTTTTTCTAATCCTGTTTTATCACGAAACAACGAGGAAAAAAAAATCTCAACGATGACTTTGGTTTGTGGTTTTATTCAATACCGAACAACGTGAAAACAATTATATTTTAAATTATTAATTTATCTAATCCCAATAAAAAAAACGAAAAAGAATTTTTCAAAGAATAATTCCAGTCTAATTTATTTTGGTGAATATGAAAATGAAGATATTGATTACCTCGAATATTCTTTGAATATTCTTTCTGTACCATTCACTGAATAATGGCAGATTGATTTTTTTGTTTTGTTCATGTTTTCGTCCCATCTGGATCGCAATTTATTAGATCTAAAGTTCATATTTACATAATGAATCCTTATTCCCATATTTTTTTTCTTTCTCTCTCGATAAAATCGATAACAATTTTTTTTCTATTATGTTATTTTTCGTTTGGATAAGAATAAATAAAAAGCAAAATCAAATATTTGGTTGTTGCCTTGATGATAATGATGGTGTTGGTGGTGGAAATCGTTATCCAAATTCTTTGTTAAATTAATCAGTTTTACTTTTTTATTTTCATTATTTTCATTATTGATCATTCAGATGATTGCAACCAACACGTATTCAATTGAATTTAATTTGTTTTTTATTAATATTAGAGACGAACAAAAATTATTGGAATAGAAGCTGTTGGTTTGGTTTCCAACTATTTTGACAAAAACTATTATTATTATTTTTTTTTTGTGCCTGAATTAATCTCGTTGAGCTATTTTTTTGGGGTTATTCATCAGAATTTTGAATAACTGTAACGAAAAAAAAAGAGAACTGGTGTGATTCCAGCAACTGAAGAAAGAAAAAGAAATCCCGGTTTAATGAAAAACAAATTAAAGTGAATTTTTTTTTCATTAAACCGGGATTTCTTTTTCGAAGAAGAAGAAGAATTAAAATATTTGTATATTGACATTGAACATTTTAATGAAGCTATGTTCAAGTTTTTTTTTTTTGGTTGAAATATTTTTAACCAAAAATTTTTACGGTTATCAAGAAAACAAAATCAACTTGATAGATAGATAATTTCATAATTATATGGTTAGTTTAATTAATTATGAAAAAAATTTTCAATCTGATAAAAAAAAAATGTTTGATTCAAACATACAAATTCTTTCTTTTCGTAGTGTTTTTTCCAGAAAAAAATCATAATTGAATCTTCAGGTCATATATAATTGAAAACTTGAACAAGAAAAAGTTTCAGACTTCTCAAGTAGCGTATTAAGGAAAAAAATTCATTTTCAAAACACGAATATTGGATAGAAATTCAATGTAATAAATTTTGAATTTTTTTTTAGAGATAGAGAAAGAAATCACATTATTCAATCACATTCTATCAAGCAATATTCTATTTTTGAATGTGGTTTATTACCGAATACAGAATATCCGATCATGCATCACATCACATGATTCGGTAATCCTTTTTTCAATTCACTTGAATTCGAGTACAGGATATATATTCAAATTGTATATCGATTGTATTGAAAAAGAAAATTCGTTCCAAAAAAAATAATATAAAAGAATCGATAGTATCGAATTTAAAAGTTTGTTTTTTTTTCGGTTCATATTTTCGGTTTCTCTATGGACCATATATATTGATTGTATTATAATTTAAAAGTTTGACTGATAATGATTATACGATGAAACTTTATTATTTTCCAGTGATGTAGATGCTGAAATCTTTGTGTCTCTTGTGAAACTCACATATATTTCCAGTTGATTATCATTTTTTTTTTCGTTCACTCTTTTCGGGCTTTATAATGATGATGACTGAAACTTGGTACTGATTCTTTTTTTTTGTGTTGCAAAATTTTTTCTACTTTATTTTTTTTTCTAATTGAAAAGAAATAAAAGTTTTCATTATCATTATCATTTTTTTTTCTTTCGTGATTGCACCAACCATAAACCATGTCATAAATGTAATGTTTTGAAACAAAAAAAAATCACAATGAACAAAAAAAACATTTATTTTACACATTTTTCCCATTTATTCGCATCGTATCGTATCGCTTTTTTTTCCACCATTTATTTTCATTCCTGCTATTCTTGACTTGTCTTTAATTTAATTTTATTAATTTCATTCAAACTAAATTCTTTCGCTATTTATCTTTAACTTTTCTAACTCTCTCTCTCTCTCTATATATATACAGAATGTGATTCGCTTTTCGTTGTTGAGGTTTTTTTTTGTTTGGTTCAGATTCTCCTTTTTTTTAACCCAATTTCAAACCGAAATCATCAACCACAGTGCAAGTGTGTGGGAGTGCAAATCCAAAAAAATGAAATGAAATGAAATTGAAAAAAAATTGAATTCGATTTATCAATTCAAACGACGAAAAAATATATACCGTTTTAAGAAAAAACATTTTTGATACAATTTTATTACAAACAAAAAACATTTTGATTGCAAAACAATAGTAGAAAGGAAGAGAAAACAAATTCTTTTCATTGATTTATCATTCATAATCATTAGTGAATTGAATTTAAATTTGTTTTTTTTGTTCTATTCTTTCTGTTTTTTTTTGTTTCATTTCAATTTCAATGATAATGATGGCAATTTTTGCAAACAATTTATGGATCAATGATCTTGTTGCTATGTTTGATACACGACTGATGATGAATGATGAAAAAATTGAATTTTAAGTTCAAATAAATAAATAAATAAATCTATATTGAATAACAAGGTTTGTTTTTGGTTGTTTTGTTTTGGAGAAAATTGAATTTTCATTCGATCTTTTTTTTCTTCTTCTCGAGAAGAATTTTTATTTGTTTTTTTTTCTCTGTTGATATGTTAAGCTTGCACTAACAACAACAACAAATCGTTACTTTTTTTTTGTTTCTGGTCGAAAAATTCTGAACTAAACTTGAACTAAACTTAAACTCAAACAAAGATGATGATGATGGTCTGAAGAGAAGAGGAAAAAAAGAAAGAATTTCAATTTGTTTGTTTGCTTTGTTCACATTGAATTTTTATTTATTCAATGTTTCGAAGAATAAATTTGTTGTTGAAATTTGAATTGTATTGATTTTTTGTTTTTCTTCGACTATCAAATTCAAAAAATGATTTCCAAATCTAGATTTTGTCTTTGGTAAGCAAATTTTGTTGTTGTTGTTGTTCATAACATTCACAGTGGTCAACGTTTTTTTAGATTTTTTTCTGAAAATTAAAACGATCTGGGACGAAAAATTCTCATTTTATTACGTTGTTGGTTGTAAAAAAAAGGTCATCAACAACGAAAAAAAACCATCAAATCCGAATTATAGGGCTTAATTAATTCCGAATTGGTCCATTAAATTTTTTTTTTTTTTTTTCCCCAATTTAAAAAAAAAAAAAAAAAAAAATGATGATGATGCTTGCAACGCTCTAGTGAACCGTTTTTTCTCTTTGTTGAAAACTAAATTAATTGCAGGTGAAAATTTTGGAGTGAAAAAAATTTTTTCGAAATGAAAAACTGGTCAAACAAACAAACAAAAAGAATTTTTTAGAAAAAAAATTTCTATTAATAACAACAAAAATTATGTGAATTATGGCAGTGAAGCCAACATTCAGTGAATTTTTCTACTGATTTTCATTGAAAATCTCCAGAAACACAGGGAAAAAAGTTATTTGATTGTTGAAAATGTTTTCTAATTTTCAATGTTGTTTGAAAAAAACCAACAAAATTTTCACTATCCACACTTTATCATTCTGACACATTCTGTGCGTTTGTTGAAAGTTTTTCTCTCATTTTTTTTTGTTGTATATTCTCATTATTATTATTATCAAACCTAATTTGTTCTCATTTTCATTAATTTACATTTATTTTGCCGTTCTTTTTTTTCAAAAATGTTTTAACAAAATTTTCTGTCGTCTTTGTGTGAATAATATTCGGCACAAATAAAAAAATGCCGAATCGAAATGTTGTAGATGAGGATATGAAAATTTCTTGTTATTTTCTATCTCTGAAAAATTTTTGCTTGCTTGCTTGCTTGCTTGTCTATTCTGTTTATGGATCAATGCTTATACATTTATATCTATATATCTCTCTCTATGTTTGTTAATTATAATTAAATGTTTCATTCTTTCATTTTTTTTCTTTCATTCATTTCCAGGATCACTGAATATAGTTTGGCTGGGTGAAATATAAATGAGAACCGAAAAAAAACCATAGATACATACACACACATTCATTTCACAATTCATTTCATTATCATTTTTTTTGGAATTTCTCTATTCATTTTCGAAATTTTTTGTTTTTTGTTTTTACTGAAGAATAATATCTATATATATTTTACCCATACAAAAAAAAACATTAATATATTCGAGACATTTTTTTTTTCGTAAATACATTATATACTTAGAGTTACATTTCAACAACAAAATAAAATATAAATTTAGGCCATTATTCATTGGAATTTCGCTTTTTTTTCTTCATCTCTATCTCTCTCTATCTATCTAATTTCGATATAATCAATGAAAAGAGAAAGAAAAAAAGTTTTTCGATTATAATTTGATTATATTAGTTGCTATAGTTGTTGTTCAATTCAATCTATCAGCTAATTGACACGAAAAACAAAACAAAAAACAATTCATTCAAATCAAATTGAATTTCAATTGAAGCAGAATAAATAGAGAAAATCAAAAAAAAATCAATATCGAAAAAAAATATTAACCCCATTCCCCCTTATTATATAAATAAAAATTACCCCATATGTATTACTTGCCACCAAATTATCATCCGCAACAACAACAACAACAACAACATCAGCAGCAGCAGCAATCAGCAAATTTTAGTAGTCAACAACAATCTCATCATCAACAGCCAGAATTGCAACCTAGATCGGTTACAGCACCTTTTGTTGAACGTCGTATTCAACATCAACAACAACAACAACAACGTGGTGATCGACTTCAACTACAATTTCCACAACAACAACAACAATATTCAAATTATTCAAATTATTATCCTCCTACACCAACAACACCAACACAAGCATTATTATCATCGAATCGATATCAAATCGGTGGATATAATCCAAATAATAACAGCAGTTTTCGAAGAGCTGCTGGTTTTATTGGTGCATCCGGTGTAGCTAGACGAAGTCGTCTAGGTTTAGGATTAGGATTAGGCAGTCGTCGTTTTGGTAGCGGTCCTGGTGGTTTTGGCAGTGTTGGTGGTGTTGGATTTGGTAGCGCACGTAGTTTTGGAAGTGTGGGTGGTGGTGGTGGTGGCGGTTATCGTCCCAGTAGTTATTATCGAAGAAATCATTACAATCCTTACAATCCATATTATCAAAACTATAATTATCCTAATCAAAATCAGAAAAAAGGTATGTTCAATCGATAGCCAATTAATCAAATTTTTTTTTTTGATTCGATTTTTTTTTTCGTTTTGCCAAAAAAAAGATTTATTATTATATTTAAATTTTATAATGGATCGTGGTAACGCATTTTCGTGTATGAAATATACATTGATTTTATGCAATGTATTTGGTTTCATATTAGCAATATTCAATGCATTATTCGGTATTGGATATCCACAGGAAAAATGGCCAGGTGGTTATACTGGTGGCCAAATGGCTATATTTTCATTATTTGTGATGGCATTTACGACAATCGGATATTGTGGTGCACAACATCATAAAGGATATCTATTGATCGTATATGGTAAGCATCTAAATAATAATGATTATTATTATTTTAATGATGATAATGATATTACCATTTTAATCCAATCATTATCAATGACTACAATTATTATTTGTTAGTTTGTTTTTCATATACTTGTTATTATTATTGTGATCGTAATCGTCGTTTATGTTTGATGATCATTATTTTTATTTTTATTTTGTGTAGTAAAGAAATAGTAGTATTTCAACATGAAAAAAATATAATTATACATAATTTATAATATGTAATAATAATAAATTTTCACTATGATTGTCTAATTTTATATTTATAGGCATAATAATATTCTTCTTGTTAATTGGATTGGTTGCCATATGTTTCATTTACAATGATTCATTAGCTGAATTAATGTACAATGGATATATGATTTCCTTTGCAGTAGTGATCTTCTTTCTCATGTTGTTTGCCTTTTTCATTTCATATAAAATCAGCGAACATGGTTCGAGTAAATATTTGTCAACAATTATACCGACCACTCAACAACAACAACAACAAGCAGCAGCGGCAGCCGCAGCGGCAGCTGCCGCTGCTGTTGCTGCCGCACAACAACAATCACAACGTATTTCAAGAAATCAACAACAACAACCACAGCCACCAACATCACAATCACAACAACCACCTCCATCAACTACGGCAACATCCGGTAATTGTATGGCCGGTACCGGTGATCAACGTACTAGACATCCATATACAACAGCAACATCAGGCGGTGGTGGGGGTACCGGAAATCCAACCGGTACTGGTTCTGGTAGTGGCACAACACAGCAATCAACCAATCAAAGCTCCACCAATCCATGTCCAGTACCGGGATGTAATTATGGAAAAATTATTTCCAATTAATCTACAAAATAAAAATAAATAAATAAATGAAATAGAATACCAAAATCAACTTAATTATAATAAAAACTACTCAATTAATTCGTATACGAATCGATCAATCAATCAAATCTGATTCGAAAATTCAAATATAGATACAAAAAAAAACATACAATATCAAAGGAGAAACAAAAAATGTACATTCTTCTCTTTTCATTTACTTTCTACACAATTATTATTATTATTTATTCGTGGCCATTCTCACAATTCGGACGATATATGAAAACAAAACTGAGAAAGACTGAAAACTGATCAATTAATCTTTTTCTACGCTTCTGTTCTGTTCATTTTTTCCATTCATTCATTCCATTTCATTTCATTTTTTTTTCGGTTGTCGTTGTTCAAAATGATGGATGGCTAATATTTTTTTCGGTTTTGAATCTGGAAATGTAATCCTGTTGTAATCACAAACAAAACAAAACAAAAAAGAAGAAAAAATAATGAAACTACTTTTCTCCAATTCAAAAAAAAATCTGTTTCTGTCGTCAAGCTATTTTTACTCAAGTGAACCAAAATGATGATGATGATGATGATGATAATATTCCCGAGATACAAAATAATGAGAAAAAAAAATTTACTTTAATCTCGATAAGGGACATTCGATCCTATCGTTGGAAAATAAAATCTAAATACCATCATCGATATCGAATCTCATTCTGAAATATCATCAATTTTTTTTGTTGTCGTTGTTGTTGTCATTTTCTATAAATATAATTTCTGTTCTTTGTTCGAAAGGAAAAGTTCAAAATGATGAAAACAAAAACCAGATCAATCTAAAGTTGGATAAAAATCTTTTTGTGAAGATAAAAAAACGAAGGTTCAATGATTCAAAGATTGGAACAAAATTCAAAATGAATGGCTAAGAAAAAACAAACAGAATTTTCATGAATCGAAATTCATATTCTATTTAATCAATATTATTTATTCGAATATGGATTGTACAACATCGACCTTTAAATGTCAATCAAATTTGTTGTTCATGTAATCTTTTTTTTTTCCTCATTATTATCATGGTCATCATTATGATGATGATGATCATCATCAGAGTGAATTTCATCTCTATTTTTTTGGAAAAAGAAGAAAAAAATTGTAAACATTATTATCATTTTATCAATATATAAATAACATCCGTTGGATTATCATCATTAAATGATGATTATGATTACAGTCGAAATTTTCAATTCCAACATTTCAACTGAATGAATTGAATGGAACAAGAGAAATGGATGTTTTTCTTCTCTTTCTTCCTTCCTTCCTTCCTTTTCACAATTTTTTTTTGTAAATAGCCACCGTTATCAAAGCCGACTCCAGACCATCACTAAATGACAATAATGATGAAGCTGATGATGATTATAGCGAATTTTCCAGAATTTCACTATCATCATTTAGCCAAATGATTTATCAAATGAAGGTTTTGTTGTTCATCAGAATTGATGTTTTCACAGCAACAACAACAACAACAAAATGAACGAGAAAAACAAAATCGTGCTTGGCCAATAGACAAGGAAAAAAGAATGTTTGAAGAAAACAGAAAATAATAATAGGAAAAAATCCACAACAAACCAATTGCGATTGATTGGACATGATTTTTCGTGAACGACAAAAAAACTAAAATATAATGATATTAACGATATATCGGATCAACGATCAAGAATTACCACACCTCAAAATTTCAATCAGCCATCAATGTTTTGATGTTGTCGGTTTTTTTTTCGTCCCAATGAACCAAATGATTCGAATTCTAATCATCATCATCGCCACTATCAACCACATTCGATCTGAACGAATTGTTTTTTCTTATTTATTATTATTGTTTTTTTTCTGTTTCGTTATTTTCAATTTTTCCTTTTTTTTTTGCAAAACAAGAAGCAAAAAACGATTCAAAATAGCGAAATGAAAAAAAAAATTGAGAACAAAATTTCCGAACATCAACTAAGAATGAAAATTATTGGAAAATAATAATAATTTCTTTAACATAAATATTAAAAAAAAACTAAAGTCTTCCATTTTTTTCCCAAGTTTCTCAAAAAATGATGCTCCATTTATCTTTTCTCAAAACGCCCAATTGTGCAATGAAAACAACAACAGCAACAAAAAAAAAACATTTCGCTGCATTTTTCAAATCTCTTGTGTATACACAACAACAACAACAACAACAAAAATGTTTTATTATCCTCTGGGCTTCTTCTCAATGATTCGTTCGTTTGTTTGTTTGTTTGGCCATTGTTTTTGTTTTGTTTTTTTTGTACTGTTTTTTTTTGTTGTTGTTTCGTTTGATCCATAACAAAATTGTTTTTCTTTTTTTTCGCACGACAATTTTTTTTTCTCATCAAACGTCTGTAATATTTGTTGTTTTTTTTTCATTTCATTTCCAATTTTTAATTATCCATTGTCAATTCCGTAACAAACAAACAAAACAAAAAAGCAATAATAGAAAAACAATCGATTCTGTTTCTTTTTTACTACTTTCTATCATTCCGAATCAGATTCGTATAATGCCTATCTACCTACCTACCGACCATCATTAAATCCGAATTTTGATTTTTAGATTTTGGATTCATTTTTTTTTATTTTAAGAAACAAAATATTATTATTAAATAATAACAAATAATTATGGATCAACTTTCAAGTTTTGTTTTTCGCTTTCAAGTGTTATAATCGTCAATGTTATCATCATCAATCAAATCAATCGAAAAATGTTCTTTTTTCAATATAAAAAAAACTGGTTTCATTTAAAAACAAAATAATTACATTATTATAAAACAAATTATCTTTTTATATAGTTTAATATTGTCATTTAAATATCGATTGTAATCATATTTATTACTGTTTTTTTATCATGATTTTCATTTAATTTTATTCATCCAACACACACAAACACAATTATCGTGATTAGTTGTCAAATATTTTGAATTATATTTTTTGTTGTTATTCGTTCCTGGTTTTTGAAATGTTTCTTTTTTCTCACCAACTGTACATATATATAGATCTATATAGAGATTATTTGCCATGTTATTAGTTCAATTTCAATAATTCCGTCGATCATTAAACAAAACAAAAAAACATTTTATGTTACCAGTCATCATCATCATCATCATCATCAAAATCATTGAAATCATCCAACAATTTCAATACAAGAATTTTCATTTTTCTGTTTTTGTTTCGTCTGTTTTTAATCATGTTTATTTTGTGTAAATTATTTACAATTTTAAAAAAAGAATCGAATAAAATGTAATGATAATAACAATAATAATAACGATTTTAAAATTTATTAAAATTTCATTTAATTTCTGTAACGAGAAATGTATGAAGACCAAAAAAAAATAAAAATAAAAATAAACATAAAAATTGGTTGTATTCAATCGATCATCATTATTGGATAATGATTGGATATGATACAAAAAATCTTGTTTTTTTTTCTTTCTACCAAAGGTGAATACCATATTTCACCATTGTCGGTTTGTTTGTCAGGTTTTTGTTTAAAGCTCTAAATCTTTTACACCGCCATCAATCGGACCAAATATTGATTGCACTGTTTGGTTAGTCACTTCGGCCAATGTTTTTGGATCCCATTCTGGTTTATTTGTTTTTTCAATCAAACCTTTATTTTTTTGTTTAAATAAAAATCATCTCAGATTATTTGAAATATATCTGTCAACATAAATTTTTTAAAAAAAAACTTACGTGCACGAATTCCTGTATAGAAATCTTTATGTTTTAGAATATTCTGTGCTACTCGATATTCCATTGTCAAACAATCTGGTAAGCTCAATGATTTTCCACGTTTTAAAAGTTCGAATGTCACTTTTAAACTTAATGGTGATGCTTTGTCTAGATCTTCAAGTACCTCTTTCGCCCAAGCAGAGCCATCTTTTTCAAGATTTTGAACAATTTGTTCAACTGAATCGGCATCAAATGCTAAATTGATACGACCAATATAAGGTTTCAGTGAAAATTCCTGTTTATATTCATCTTTCCATTGTTCCTATCAAATCGTAAATGGATAAAGTGAACATTGAGTTTCCATTAACGAATTTGTTTTATTTATTTATTTTTCGTCGTATTCATCGTCATCGTATGTAAGTGACATACTTGATATTTTGAAAGTAGATGACTAATTTTGGCAGCATTTGCATCCTCGATCCTAACCAGATCGTTTTCCAATGCCGATAGATGAGAACTCGGTAAAAAATGTGTGGCCAGGCCAGCTTTTTGTATGTCAAGACCTTTAAGTCGACGACCAGTAAGGCCAAGGTAAATACCAAGTTTACCTGATATTCTAGGTAGAAAATATGATCCACCAACATCACAAAAGAAACCGATTTGTGTTTCAGGCATTGCTACAATCGTATTCTCCGTTGCAACTCGGAATGGTCCATGTATAGATACGCCAACACCCTATTTTGATTAATTAAATCAAACATAAGAAACAAATAAAATCATTGATTAACTGTCAATTAATAATAAAAATCAATTTCAATTAAATTATTCATCATATAAAACTAATTTAAACACACATACACCACCCATACAAATTCCATTGATCAAGGCAATATAAGGTACACCAAGTACACTGATCTTATGATTCAATGTATATTCTTCACGAAAAAAATCACGGCTTAGTTCAGAATTTGGGCCTTTTTCAGCGATTTCTATCTCACTCAAATAAAATGAGAATAATGAAAACATTAAAACACAAATGATCAATAAATAATGATAACCCATGGACACACGAATTTTCAAAAAAAAAGAAAAGAAAAATGTTTGATGAACATAAATACTAACCACGAACATCACCGCCAGCACAGAAGGCTTTTTCCATGTTACTTTTAATGATTATCAAACGAATTTTTGGATCAGAATCCCATTTAACCAATTGTGGATAAATTAATCGTACCATATTCAAACTAAGCGAATTTAATGCTTTTGGTCGATTCAATGTAATTAAAGCTTTATCACCTTTTGTTTCAAATAAAACTTCATCGGCAGATATAGATGATGACATTTTACGTTGCTGTTGATTAATTAATAATGAACGATTGTAACAATTATAACGACCAACCAATTTCGTACAGAAATTCCTTTGTGAAACATAAAATTTTTTTCCGTACACAAATTTTATTCAGAATTTAATGATCGATTCCAAAAAAAAAAGAAGAAGAATTCATCAATTCCATTAAATGAATGAATGACAAGAAATAAAATAATACCTGTTTAAAATTACGATACCCATTTGTAATTAGGTTTAGTGATAATGAATTCAACAAATTCAAGGTGAACAATTTTTTTTTGTGAATTGATAATTAATAAACACAACTTTTTACTTTACAATAAACTTTTTTTTTGATGGCAGGTTGATATTGTTGTGCGTTAAAAATTTTATTTAAAAAAAAAAATAAAAAATTCTGATCTATTTATTTTGATTTTTGTTTTGTTGTTGTTGTTATTCACTTTCAAAAACAGAAAACAAATTCTATAAATCCACATTGATCTTTTTTTTCTGTATATAATGTTTAGGTTCAAAGCTACTACTCCTTGATCTTCTGTATATCATATTCAGACAAACCAACCATAGATCAACAATTTTATATTCCGCTATATCCAGTTTGTCTGCCAGTGTGTATAGTGTGCATCATGTGTATAGAAAAATTTTCGAATGATGGACTTTGTATATACAATGGGATACACAAGAAGAAGAAAATACTATCATCATCATTGCAAAAGATACGGATATATATCATGTTCGAGCAGCATATATAAATGTTAATGTTGTAATACAAAATAGAATGTCAGCTGACAAAAACTGATAGTTTTTTTTTCGAATAGAATTTTTTTTTACCAATTGAAAAAAATGGCGGCATTAATATCAATTATTATCAAAAAATAAATGTGTGATTTTAACATTAAAGTATTGTTGAATTTCAATTGATGATTTTTTAGTTTCTATCTTACTATTTCACTGATACCGAATCTTATTCCATCGATCAGTTCATCATTTTTGTTGTTGTTGTTGAAATATCTAAAGTGTAAATGTAAAATTTAATATCTTTGTTGCAGTTATAGTTGTTATATGTAAAAAAATGAATATAAAATGTTTCCATCTATCGAATGTACTCTTGTTCGTGATATTAATCATCATCATAATCATGATATTTTCTGTTTTTTCTGAAAGAAAAAACATATTATATACATGCACTTAAGGCTTTCTTAATCTCTATATATAGATTTTGATTCAATTGAAAAGAAGATACAATGTAAAAACAATCTTAATGACTATAGCTAAACTAACTAAAATTTTGATGATAATTTTTTTTTTTAAACTTCTATCAATAAAAATTGATTGAATTGAATTTTGCAAAGAATTTTTATTTAAAATTATAAATTAAATTAATTGAAAAAAGAAAATCCATCATATAAATGGGCAAAAGAGAGTGAGAAATAAAATAAAATCAGTCATTACAACAGAAAAAAAATGGGAAATCAATATAGAATATTCTCTTTATGACTTTTGTTTGAAATTGATTTTCATTATTCTCTTAGTTCAGCTTCGCCAGTTTCCGGAGGTGGTGCAACAGCAGCTTCGATTGGACGAGCTTTGTTTGTTTTGTTTTTTTTTGTTGGATAGAGGAAAAATTGATTTGGACGTAGGAAAAAAAGTGTATTTTCGTTAATTCTTCTCATAAATATCAATTATAGACATGCGAAACTTACTTCGACAAGCACCATCATAATAGGCAATATCATCCAATGCAAATCCACCATCCATTGCTTCACCTTCAAATTGTATACGAAAAACTAATTCCGATGTAACTGAAACTTGTGCATAAATCCATTCCGGTTTAACTGAATCTAATTTTCTTGTTGTTATACGCCAAACAAGTGTTTTTGTTTCAAGTCCAGCTTGTCCATTGCTTGGACTTGGTTTAGGTTTAGCTGGAGCAGGTTCACCTTCTCCTTCTTCACTTAATGCATTAGTTCCTTCTTTTTGATCCATTGTAATAACATAAACGCTTAATACAGTTGAATCACCCCTATGATTTATCGATAATAAACATTTTTTATTCATCAATTTTGGAAAGAAAAACAATTATTGAATACCTTCCAAATGGTGTAAACCAAAACGATACACAACGTGGAATTTCTTCTCTAGGCTGAAATTCCGGTGAACGAAGAATTGGATATTGGACCTGATTTTGATTGAATACATCGAAATAAGCATAGCCAACTAGAAATAAAAATAAATCGATATTTTTATCATTATTTGCTTTATATAATCATCATTTTCGTTAACATACTGGGCGCTCTAAATGTATGATCTTGTAGATTAGCCGGTCGATTTGTCGATGTTGCCAATTTCCAAGTAATTGAATCTTTTGAAACTGATAATCGATTCGGATTTTTATTTCGTTCTAATGCTGCTTTTCCTGGAATTACATTTGTTGTTGGTGCTTTACCCGATTGATTACGATATCCGCATAGATCATGATCAAATGCACATTCACCATAAACAGCTGCTGCTTTTGGTGGATAAACTGGATATGAACAAATAATAATATTGACAAAATAAAAGTCATTAATAATCCAGAAAACATTTATTAAAATGATTGACTAACCAGTGCAATTGCCATTATAAAAGCTAATATCATCAACAGCTATAGCTCCAACTCTACCATCACCCCAAATTCCTTCGATTATAATTTGATAGTTCTGTAATGGTGGTTGTCTATCTGGACCGATCAATATCGGTACTTTACCCCTTCTCCATCGCTGTGAAATCAAATTAAAATTGAAATTGTTATTTTTTGGAAAATTAATTTAGCGGAAAAAAACTTTTTTTGTTTGTTTGTTTGAAATGAACATACTTGTCCTTGATGATTGTTTAGCCGCCAAACAAGATTTATCTCTTCACCCATATCGGTCATTGTTTTAACATAAATTCGTAATGAACCTAAACTAGGTCCGGCAGAATCAATTGTACGTTCAAACATATAATAATAAAATGTCATGCATTTAGGTACTGTTGATTGTGGAACAAATTCTGGACTATAAAGCCATGCTCTTGTACCACCACGATGTGGTTGATCACCATTTAGATTAATAAAATATCCATCAGTTGAACGTTTAGTATGATCATAACGTGGTTCGGTTTGACCAAGACTGAATTGCCGTAACCAATCAAAATCATCGACTTTATTATATTGACTTGGATTACTCCATAAACACATATTTTCATCGAATGTACAATCACCATTTCCTTTAGATGCTGTTTGTGGTAATACTGGACATTCTTCTTCATTGAATGCAATATTATCCAATGCAATAACACCAAGATTATTTGATCCGATTTCACCATCAAAAACAATCTATTCAAAGAAAAACAAATTACAAAAAAAGGCGGAACATTCATTTTAATTAAATTTAATAAGGAGGTTCCTAATTACCTGATAAGATAACATTGGTGATGAGATTGGAACTTGAGCAACATGCCAGCTGTTGCCCGATTCACCAGTCATTTCCCATAGAACCTGATCGGGTATAGCTTGTTCTTCATTTGCACTAGTATAACGGATTGAAACTCTTAATGTACCGATACCATTACCATACATATGTATGGCAAATTTAAGACACAATGGTTTATTGTCATCTTTTAATATCAAACATTTTAATTATGTAACTATAATGCCCATAATCTAATAAACTTACTTGTTGGATTCATCACTGGGCTAAGCAACATTGCCTTATCACCCGGTCTTCGTGGATAACTAGAATCAATATAAATATATCCACCGGAAATTTCGTTATTATCAAAACTAGAAAAATCTCTTGATGGTCCAGTAAAAAGATTCTGTGAACCTCTACCGATTTTCCAATCAAAATCATCATCTTCATCTTGATTGTTCCATGAACAAAGACTAGCTTCAAATGTGCAATGACCTTTACAAGAATCATCATCTTTTTTCATCTTTTTGGGATCTAATTGTTTTAATTCAGGATCATCGATTGCAATATAACCTCGAAACAATCGATCCGGATCATTTAACTTTCTGGCGTTAGCTCGAATAAATATCTATTGAAAAAAATAATTTATTGATCATGTTCGATTTGATCAATTTAATCGACTTACTTGATGAAGATCAGCATAAGTGTAAAGAACTTCAGCTTTTCTCCATTCACCATCGGTTACATCACTGTATTCTAATAAAGTTCTATTATGCTTGGTTTTTGAATCAGAAAGGATTACTTGAAGACTATCGGAACTAAGACCTTCGATATTATAATAGAATATCATACATATTCCCATTGGTCCTGTTTCACTAATATTTGGAGTCTGTAATAAGCCATAATCGGGTACAGGTATTGTTCTTTTAGATTCAGGTTTACTTATTTGAAACAATGGAAATTGACTTATCAACGGACGGATAACTTCATCATTTTTAGATTTTTTCGATGAATAACCTAATAGACTACCAGTACTAATAATTGAATTATTTGATTGTCGTTGATTGTTTAGTTGATTGTTCATCGATATGAATTTTTCATTATGATTCATTTGTTGTTGATATGAAGTTTCAAAATAAGCATAACCACCGCTCGTATCAAGTAATGTGTGATCATTTCCTGGACCACCAAGCCAAAATTGTTGTGATCCTTGAGCGATACGCCAACGATACATTGGATGACTTCCATTTGGTACTGACCATTGACATAGATTTATAAACGCTCCGGTACCATAATCACATGGTTGTCCGACTATTGAATCAACTTCAGGTTCGCCAACCTTCTCAGCTTCTTCTTGCCTTTTTGATCTTTCTAGTGATGAGGAATATCGATGAAAACTTTCACTAAAATTTGGCCACACACTTAATAATGAACATAAAATTAAACACAATTTCATTGTCGATATCTATTATTTTGTCTTTAAAGATTTTAAATTAAATCAACTCGATAGTAATATTAACATCACAAAAAAACATCATCATTTTTACCGGGGGAAAATACTTGACAATAAAATGATGTCTATCTTATGATAACCTCCACTATAGTGATCATAACGAAATGAATGAATTTCAAAACTTTCACTCTTTTTTTTTGGTAATCAAATCCACCAACTGAAAAGGAATTGAGACCTGAATAAAAAAGGCCAGGCAAATTGTCATAGAAACATATGATGGTTCATGATGACCATAACGACAGGTACGGGAAGTACCCTTTGAATTTTCATACACATTAAACTACTCATACATTTATGTGACTTGAATTAATTATTTAGAAAGATAATTATCACTATGGATCTTGCAAAAATATTCACATTTTTTTTTAATTCTACTGACCATTATTATTTTTAGGTCATTCAAAATAAAAATCCAGTGTTTTGTTTTTTTTGACATTATTTAGCAACCTTTATCTATGTTCTGTTTTTCTTTGTTCAGAAAAAAACGTACAACTATTATTCCAATAATAAATCATTTTTTTTGCTTAAAAAATGATAACAATAATAATAATCATGTAGGGTTAGATTGAAGAATGAAAGTGTAACATTTTGCTATCAATTTGGAAAAAACCCTCGAATCAACAAAAAAAAATGACAACAATTAGAGCGGAAATAGATCACGTAATTAGAATATGACAAACCAAGCGAATTTTAGGATTGATTTTCGTTATTTTTTTTCCACAAAAATTGTGCAGCAGATTAATATCTTGGATTGAGAAAAAATTTCATCCATTTGATCGATTTTGGAATGATAAAGAGGATTATCATTATTCATGTATCAACGATAATCCAATTGGAATTAAAAAATATTTGAACAAATACAATAATATTGGTGAAAATTACAAATTTATTTTCAATCACAATTTTTAATTGAACAAAAATACAAATTAAACAAACAAACAAACAAAGATAGACTAAAAATAAATAATCAACGGAATAAACTTTTTGTTACAAATCCGATTTGTAGATATTGCTCAACTATTGTATAGAAAAAAATAATGCATTGCAAAATTTGTATAATCAAATAGGAATCATTCATCTAATAAATCATCAATCAAAAAATCGTCAATAATTATTCGTATTCGTTTATCAATGTTTTTCTTTTTAGCTCGATTAATTAATTGAAAATATTTGGCACGATTCTGTAAAAGTTGTTCATGTGTCCCTTGTTCGACGATTCGTCCGGATTCTAGTACAACAATATGATCACAATGTTCAATCGTGCTTAAACGATGTGCAATGACCAATACAGTACGATCTTTCATTACATTATCCAATGCTTCTTTAACTAATAATTCGGATTCCGAATCCAACGCACTTGTAGCTTCATCTAGTATCAATATTTTTGGATTTTTAATTATCGCTCTTGCAATGGCAATACGTTGTCTTTGACCTCCCGATAATGCTGTACCTTGTTGACCTACAATCGTATCATATTCATTTGGAAATTCCATTATGAAATCATGTGCATTAGCAATTTTAGCCGCAGCAATCACCTCATCATCAGTAGCATTTGGATTACCAAACAAAATATTCTCTTTGATTGATGTACAGAACAGCACTGGTTCCTGAGAAATGTATCCAATCAGATCTTTTCGCAACCATTTTTTATCCAAATCTTTCATGTTAATCCCATCTAACGTGATTGATCCGGATTCAATATCATATAGCGATTCGACCAGCATAGCTATGGTAGATTTTCCACTACCCGATGAACCACATAATGCAGTAATTTTTCCAGCATCTAGTTTAAGATTTAATTTCTTTAAAACAATATATTCTGGTCGTTTCGGGTATTTGAATGTAACATTTGTGAATTGGATATCACCCGTAACATTTGGCAATATTTGTCCACCAATATCAGGAGAAGGAATGGCCAGATAGAAGCATATTTTCTGTAATGCTGATGTTGTTTTTATATAATGTCCATATAGCATGGACAATTGAAATAGAGAACGTTGAACAGTTTGTGTAGTGGCCAAAAAGGCCATCAGATTACCAGCGGTCATTTTGCCGTCAAGAAGATTATAGCCACCAAAAAGTAATGTAACCATAACAATACCATTTATTGATAAATTTGTTAAGCCTTGAAATATTGAAAAACCTAAAGAAAATTTTTGATTCAAATGATCAAATTTGAGTAGTTCATCGAGAAATTTACTACCAAATTAAAAATTAGAAAAAAGTAAATAATTATGAAATAACTCACTTTTCAAGAATTTGTTCAATGCTCAACATTTTAACCGTTCGAATATTGTTCATTGATTCAAATGCTACATTCGTAATATTTGCAATCTAATGAATTGAAATAGAAAATTAGAATGAATCGATTAGATTGATTGATGGAGAAAAAATTACCTGATTATGCAATCGATGTGAAAGTTTTCGTAATCGTGATCCAATTTGTGTACCAACGACAACCATTGTAGGCAAAACAACGACATTAATCAAAATGGTCATTTCAGGAGATATTTTAAACAATGTATAAACACAACCTAAAACTTGAGCCATATTCTTGATACTCAACGAAATCATTTGTTTGAATGAACTTTTAAATTCAAGCACATCGTTCGATATAGCACTAAGAACATTGCCACTATTATTGAGATCATAAAATTTAATCTCGAAGCTTAAAAATTTGGAAAATAAATCGAATCTTATTCGATTAGCAGTTCGTTCGGCCATAACAAACAATGAATAAAGATAAAGACAAGAAAAAATTGATTGTGATAGATAATCTAATAACAAATTCTTTGCCGGTTCTTTGACCAATTCAATAAATTCTTTAATAAAATCTTCCGAAGATTTTGTAAGTGTTCCCGATTTTAATGTTTCTTGAATGACGTTCATCAGGTTTCCCAATTCAAGATTAATTTGAATATTATAATACGCCGACATCAAAGCGCACTACGGGAGAAAAAAATTGCAAAAACAGAATCAACCATTTTTTTATACTAACCGGAATCGAAAAAAGAAACCAAAAAATATCTGGTTTGAGGAATTCATATAATTTTGACCAAATCGATATTCGTTGATTATGGTCTCGATTTTTGGAATGATTTTCTGATTCATCAAAGATTCGATTAATGCTATCCTGCTCAAAACTTTGACAAATTGCTTTCCATCGAAAGCTATCAATGGCTAAATAAAGAAATCCAGTGGTTGTAATACCACCACACATTAATGTCAATCCATTTTTTTTGATGATATGTTTAATTGGTGGCCGTTTGGTTCCGATTTTTGTCAATGATGAATACCAATGAATCAATGGCCTATTCAATATGAAACGATTTCTATGAAAAAGAATCAAGAAATTTTAACAAGAATCATTCGATTTTATTTATTATCTTTAAAATATTTACATTCTAAGAATTTTAGTTGTAATCATTTCAAATGAATAAATTTATAAGATAAAGAAAATCGAGATCCAAAACAAAAACAAATATTACACATGGATTTATATCCCTGGATATTCTGCGTTTGGAGACACCTTGCGGATCATCTGTTGGTTTGACAACATTTGCAAATTTCAAGTCATCAATGGATAAATTGAAAAATGGAAATTAAACCCGAAAATTTATTATCAGTTCGAGGTTTGTCTTTTGAAATGTTTTTTCTTTTGTTTCAAAAATATAAATCTAATAATTGAATTATCATTATAAACAGTTGGACGTGTTGTATCTCGAAAAACAGATGTAAGCAGCTTTATAACAGCCGATGAATATAATCATTATTTTAGCAATCCAACTATTGACAATCTAATTCTTCCTGATCAATATAAAAATGATTGGATTATTGTTCCAAATCAATACAAAACAATATATCTTGGAGAAATATTTTCTTTTTTTATCAATTGTACAAATGATTCGATACAAGAATTAATGACAAATGTTTCGGTTCGAATCGATATGCAAATCAATAATCGAGCTATCGTTTTAAAAGAATTGAACATCGAAAAGCTAGATGCTAAAGCTAGTCTTGACGAGATACTTAGCTATGAAATCAAAGAACCTCATATTCACGTGTAAGTAGGATATTTAGTATTTATTATAGCACATAATTTGTTTTTTTTCTATCGTTTACATTAGATTAATTTGTACTTTGAGTTTTGATCTTCCCGATCATGAAAGGCAATCGTGTCGAAAATTTTTTCAATTTCAGATTTCCAAACCTATTGATGTAAAGACTAAATTTTACTACACAGAATGTGATGAAATTTATTTGGAAGCAATGTTTCAAAATTCGACTAATCTACCCATACAATTGAAAAGTGTTCAATTTGATAGTGTTAATTTTGATGTCACATCATTGAATTTTAATATCGAACATAAAGATCAATGGATATTTGGCGAAATTAATCGCTTGAATCCAAGTGAATCTCGTCAATATTTGTTTGTATTAACACCCAAGAAAGACATACGTTTTAATCCTTCGATTTTGAAATCAATCAACACTATTGGTAAATTGGACATTATATGGTATTCAGGCATTGGAGAAAAAGGACACATTCAAACGTCACAATTGGAACGAAACGCCACAGTCGATAATATAAAAGTTTATATTGAAGACATTCCAACACAGACTAAATTGAAAGAGATATTTAAAATTAAATTCAGAATCATCAATTTTAGGTGAGATGCATCACTACTAAACATTTTATTTGAATTTTTTTTTCTTTTTTTAAAAAACGATCATACAGTTCAAAAACAGTAGAGCCATTGGTCAATTTTGTCAATGATGAAAATCAGAATATACTGTGGCTAGGATTATCGAGTAAAAATTTGGGTGAATTGAAACAATCACAATCGATTGAAGTACAGATGAATCTTTATCCAGTTAAAATTGGATTATTCAGCATACCGGTTATAAAAATAACCGATTTAATAACACAAAAATTCATTGAATTCAAAGATTTAGCATCGGTTGATATTATTTGACAGAATGGCATTATTTGTGAATTGTTGTTGGAAAAGAAATAAATTTTGAACTTTAATTTATGAATTAAAAAAATGATATTTTCTCAATCAATCAAAGACCAGTAATTTTAATTTTCCTGTTTATCAGGATTTTCATCTTCTTTATCTTTTTTAGCTTCCATTGCGCTTCGAAGTTGTTCCATTAATTCAGGATTAGCTTGACGAATTTGATCGGCAAATTGTTGACCACTAATAAAAATTAATATGTAAGAATTTATCTCAGTATAATTTTTTTTACTATTCAAACTCACACTTGCAAAAATGATTCCATTGGATTAGACGAAGCAGTTCCATCAGCAGCAGTTTGATCACTAGTTTGATCACTTGGCTGTTGTCCCATACCACCCATCGAACCCAACATCTGTGAAAACCTAGAAATGTAGAAATTCATTCAATAAAATTTATAATGAACTAGATAAAAAACAATCATACATATTCTGCATATTTGGATTGGACATAATTTGAGAGGCAAAATTCATCAATTGCGGATTGTTGAAAAGATTACCGAATCCCATATTAGAGAATTGAGCCTGTTCCTCTTGAAGTTTTTCCTCAGCCAAACGAAGATTATTTTTGTTACTTTCACTTGGATCTAATTCAACAGCTTTTTTATAACAATCTCTGGCACGTTGATGATCTTTTAAATTGACATAGGCCAAACCCATTCGACAATAAGCTTTACTATAATTTGGATCTTTTCGAATAGCCACTTTACAATCTTCTATTGCAGCCACATGATTTTCCAATTTACTATGAGCGGCGGCACGATTACAATAATAGATTGGATTCGCATCATCCAACTCAATGGCTTTGGTATAGGTTTCCAAAGCTTCTTGATATTTACCACTTTTCATTAATTCATTACCTTCATTTTTCAATTCATTTGCTTTTGTTTTATCTTCTTCAGATACAACTTTTTGGGAATCCTGTTTTTCACATTTCATATAATCGGAAAATATTTCCATCATTGGCTTTTTCGAATGCAATGTTCCATCCACTGGATTAATACTATAAGCCGTCTCCAAACATTGAATGGCAACTTGATTTACAATTATTAAATTTAATTGATATATCAAATGAAAATACATACCTTCAATGCTTTCTTTCGAATCGGCCGATAATTCATCATTGTTCAATTCTTCCGAAAGAAATTGCATAAATGATGCAACGAATCGAGTTTTCATATTGGAATTTAAATTGGACATTTCTTTTTAAAATTTCAATCTTTTATTTTTGGAATTACAGTTGTTTGAAAAAAAATTATAAATGTGATAAGACGAAAGTCGTTGAATGATCAATCAAAAATAAAATTCATGCATGCCATATGATGCAAGAAAAGGCCGTCCATCAATGATAGGACCAAAATTAAAATCACTCTGAAAACGAAATTGTTTTTGATGAACAAAATCAAAAAGAATGAATACATTATTGTTAAATTGTCGATCACTTACCGGAAAAATTATTCAGATTCATATAGTTTCTACTTTTAAGCCATCAGTAAATCATGTTCAATTTTATCGTTATTTTAATACAAAAAATAAACCACCAACCAACAATTATAAAAGACAGAATTGGACCATTATGGATAATATGATCAATGTTTGTTTTAAATTTGAATAGACTTTGAAATCTTAAGGCATATCATTTTTTCATGTTTAGGCAGCTCGTAATATCTGGATAGTGCCATTAACATTAGCTATTCACGCCGGAATAAAGCAATATCAAAACGATTCGCAAAAGCCTGATTCAATTTTGACGATCGAAAATTTGGATAAAATTCCACCTGTAGATTTACCTAATGAGTAATTTTCCATTAATCTTTTACTGTAATGTTAACGAAATTTGTTTGTTCTATTTCAGGCCTGAAGAAATACAAAAACTAATGTATCGAAAGGTCAAATTACGTGGATATTTTGAACATGATAAAGAATTTCTTCTCTCACAAAGAACGAATTTTCAATTTTCCGATGCCCTTGTATCTCCATTGAATCGATCTGGCTATTATGTATTGACACCATTCGTGCTGGAAAATGGTCGCCGTGTTCTAGTCAATCGTGGTTGGGTTTCGGAATACCGTAAAAAACCCGAATCAAGAGAGTCTGGACAAGTACAGGGTACTGTTGAATTGGATGCCTATGTAACATTTAATGAAAAAGTTCGTTCTTGTTTTGTGATTGACAAAAATTTGATTGAAATTTTGTTTTTTAAACAGATGGATTTAGTCACCAAGATGCGTACAATGTCCTGCAAATATTTTTATTTGTATCGTTCGGAAATGTTAGATAATAACTTGGATATGGATAAACTAGCTGAGAAACTTCAAGTAGAACCATTCGCCTTATTTGTTGCGGACAAAAAAAGTACTCACAAAATGGGTCCAATTGGTGGCCAAATATCTTTCACAAGTGATTATGATTTTTTTCAACAATATCAAAAAGTTTTCAGTTATTTATTGTTAGCGTTGGTTATGTATATCATATTTTAATAATAATTCATTCATACATGTGATCGTATTTTACCAATTTTTGGTGGTTTCGGAATATTCAATTCTTTTCTCAAATCTTCAAAGTCCTGTTCAAAACGTTCTTCGTAATAGATGCACATGAATTTTTTGGCTTGATGACCACATTGCAATGCCCATGGAAGACCTTGGTTCAAGTATATCTGTCTAGCTTTAGGATTCAGTTTAATAGCACCAAATAAACCACCAAACCAACATAATGGCAATCCAGTTTGTATGGCTTCTACCCATTTAACAAGAACTTCTCCCAACATATTCGTGGGCATCGAAAGAATGCAATGTACAATATCATGTACTTCACGATAACGTTGACATACATATGCCAATTCTGGATCATCAACAAATCGAACCTGTTTTCGTGAATCTGGTGTAATTTTCTTTTTTTAAGCAACAGGAAAAATGAGTTACAGAATCCGAAAATTTGCAAGAAACTTACATTGACTCTCAAAAAATCGTAGTAATTATAACCAAAAGTATTAGGTGGTAGTTGACCCAATGCTTCTAGATCAATGGTTGTCGAATGAATTCTCGGCTGATCACGGATGACACGTTGTCCTTCTGGATTTTTAAGCATTTCAGCGTACATTTGTCGTAATGCATAATAACCAGTTGTTTCGCCGAATGTAGCAACTGCATCTGTAAAAAAATTAAAATTATATTTACTAGTAAAAAAATCAACGATTTTCATTAAAATTACCATCACGATATGGATCATTAAGAGCGGCTAATGCAGAACCGACTGACAATAATGTTCTTTGTATCGGAGATAAAAGGATATGACCATCATACAAGGGCAGTTGGTCGATATTATCATCATCTTTTTTGGAAGAAATATCTGATTCATCATATTGTTGTTGTTGGTCATTGCTATATAATCTTTGAGTTCCAAAAAAACATCGTCTATAAATCGTATTTCCTAAACTAATTTTGGTCAATTGTTGAATTATGTTCAGTCTTAACATTTTTTTGTGTTTGGAAAATAAAAATCTCTTTTTTTTAAAAGACAATTCTGAACTCTTCGAACGACCAATGTATCGATTGTAGACAATCGATTAAAATCGAATCATTTTGATATATTTTGAAACGCAATTGAAATCTTGCATCCACGATAACATGGTTGTGGTCAAATGAAGAAATAAAAATGCTGATTTTCGATTTGTTTATTCTTTATTTACTTGCAACAATATTTTTCCTTCTAGTCTTTTCATTCTATTCATCAATTCGAAAATATTTTGAAATATTGTATGATGAAAATTGTTTCGGTTTATCAACCTTATTCGATTATAGCCGTAATGTTTATCGAAATTCCAATGATCAATTAAACAAATGGATCAAGAAACTGAGTTACAAATGTTTTCAAAACATTCGATTTGATCCATTCCGTTATTGGTCTTACTGTGATCATTATTTCGATTTCGATGCGAAAAATTCCAAAGATTACTCGGATGATCAAAATATAAAATTGGAAATCAACAAATTGTCTGAAGTCATCTGTGTTAATTTTATTGATTTCTGGTATGATTGCATTCAATCTTCATTACCTCGAGAAGGTGAAAATTTTCGAAAACTAATTAAGAAAAATCTTAATGAAGCAATCTATAATTTTTATCTGCTGACGCAACAAAAGCTGTGTAATGATTCAAGTTTTGCAATACAAATTTTCGATAAACTCAATGATTGTCTAAAGAAGAGACGCCATTACAGACATCATAAAGATTTCGATGACATTGAACAACAAATCTTTTCACAAGTTTTGGATGATATTTTAATTCGAGTCTTACCAAAAGATGTAAATTCTTTGATAACCAAATGTGATGATGGACATAATTCTGTTCGTCTTTTTGTTTATAATATCCTTATTTATACAATAATTTTGCCTTCTATTCAAAAAATTACCGATCCTTTTTTTATACTCTACAATTACCTCTATCTATGTTCAACATGTTTTGGTACAATGTCGTTAGAAGATTTTGTTTTTCGGCTTGAAAATAAATCTCGTTCTTCAAATTTAGACTCGACAGATAATCCAGATCAAGACTTTCGACAAGACGAAACCGTTAATCTTCTACATAATGAGCAATCATCTAGTCCGAACGATTGGAGCAAAGGATTTTTCAATGAAATTCGTATTATTCAGGCAAAGATTTCAACATCCAATCCATTTACAAACAATAACATGAATAAATCGGAAAAATCCAAAGTAGATCCTTATATTGATTATATTATTGTCTACAATGTGCTAGTTATCGATGATAAACATCCAGATTGTCAATCTCGTTGGCAATCCTATCAAGTTTCGCGCCGATTCAGTGAATTTCTTTCGTTTCAATATCGTTTGGAGAAACATCCTGAATATCGTAAATATATGGTACGATTGAAAAGAAAGCCTTCTAGTATCTATTTTCATCCAAATTCATTGTTCAGCCATCTGATTCCGAAAACATCATTTCGTAATAGTTTGAATGCTAACTCAACATTTGTTCAACAGCGACGTGAACATTTATCGGATTTTCTCAATGAATTGGCACGTGTGAAAGTTATCAATGAATCCAAAGAATTTTGTGAATTTCTTGGCTACAAATATAAGACTTTGATCGAAGCCAAACAACTTCTTGTCAAGGGTTTATTGAACGAAGAGAGAACAGAAGGAAAAAAGAAAATTTCAAAATTATCATTACTTAATCTAAATCGAATGAAAGGATATTTTGACATATTTTTACCGGTAAAAGCAAAATTCGGTCAGTTAGCAACTCAAATTGAAAATCTCTATGTCAATCATCAAACGTTGAATAAATTCTCTATCACGCCGATCGAATTTGATGATCCGATGGCGAATGAAATGATCCTGAAAAATAATCTTGAAATATGGCGCAAAACACAACAACCATCGGATCATGATGATGATCAACATTCAAATAAAGAATATTGCGATCCGATTCGTAAAGAAATCAAGCCCGATGACTATTTGCCCCTTTATCAACGAATAACGAACACGATAATATTGTTGATATTTCGAAATGATAGATTTATTTCACTGCAATTTTTAGTCAACAAGATCAGTTGGTTTCTTATGGTTTGGTATGCTAAACTACAAAATAATTTTCGATACAATGAATTTTTTCGTTCTTATATACATTCATTACATCGATATATTAACGGTGATTGTGTTCAACCTTCAAATTTAATGACCTACGAACGTTTTGTTGAATTTTTCAAAGATTCGACAAATGCAAAAGAAATACTACAAAAATATATCGATTTAAACAAAGAACAATATGCTACACATTATCAACAAAAAATTGAAAATGGTAGGATTTATTACAAATTAATCCAGTTTGCATTGAATACAACATTCATTGTAATTGATTATCATGCAAACAACTTGATGACAGCATTCAACAATCAAAAATATAATCGTTTTATTGTCATGAATTTAGCTAAAGTTTTTCGAGATAAAATTAGTGTTTGAATTCTTAAAAAAAACAATGCTATTTCGATCCAAGTAACCAAACATAATACATGTGGACATCGATTCAATTCAACGATTTGTTTTGTTTTCTTTATTTTTTCAAATTATTGTGATTAAAACAATCAATTTTTAATCATGGAAAAATTATTAAATATTTATATACAAAATGAATTATCCATTGAAAATATTGAACAATGGTTTCAGGGTCGTCATGATATCATAAATGAAAATGATTTAGATGCGCAGCTTTTTATTTCATATTTCATTGAGAATCTTCATTTATCTTTCAATTGGCTATTGAAACAAAATAAAAACAATGTTGTCATGACCAATAACATCAACCCTTTGATTACGAGTGAAAATTTGAATATTGATGATGATGATGCATTCCCACCTTTGAATATTCAATCACAACAACAAACATTTAAAAAACGTATAAAACCGACATCGATCGATACAAATCATTCTTTTATCAAAACAAACGAAAACTTATTCAAATGTTCAAATGCCAAAAATAATTCAATATCTCCGAAAAATAGTGATTATTTAAAAGAAGAACGTGAAATGTTGAAACAATTCAAGATGAACATGTCAATTAATAATCGTCAAAAATATGACAAGATAAAACAGACAAGAAAAATTGAAAGCGAAAACATTACTGCTATTGTTGTCGAACCAAAATTCGATAGAATATCTACAACAAATAAGGAAATGATTCGAAAACTTCAACAATTATATAGCTTAATATTGATCGATAATTATTGGCCATATCTTTTTGAAGAAATTAAATTCATTGTCGAAGTCATTAGTAAGAAATCTGTGATTGAATCATCCAGCATGATTACTGAGTGTGATAATAATCAAGTTGTTTGTTTTGATCTAAGAAAACTGTTCGAATCATATCATAATTGTTATTACTTCGGTTGGCTTTCATTTGAGGAAATTGTTATTAAAAAGCATTTTTTCACATGTTTCAATGTGAATGTCATTCATCATCTTATAGATGATCCTTTTCTATTTAAATTTCAAGAATCATCATTTATACGGACAGTTTTAAATAATTTTTTGACACAAAAGCTGCCTTCCTTATCTTTGAATTTTTCGTCCGAAGGCGACAATCTTTTTGTCTCGTTTCAATCGGAAACTGATGGCAAACAAAATTTTCCCGATGGTTATTCATTTTCAATGTTTCGACGACAGCGAGATGAATTTTATCGTTTATTCAAGCGATATAATGAAAATTCTTGGTCAACAATCATATCTACTGATAAAACAATTCGTTCATTGTTTATTGTTGCTATTCAGAATATATTTGCGATGGTGAGAGATGTTGGTAACAGTTTTCATCTAGCCCGGTTATTCGTCGATCAATTATTGAAATCTTGCAACGGTCAACTTTATAGAGATGCTGATTCTATGAAAATTCTAAACGAATCGCTGGAACAGCATCGTGGTATCAAAATCAATCAAGACCGGTTGAATAAACTACAAAATCGTATCATAGAACGAAAACGTCAACCAGAAAATCCGTTAGAACCTGAAAATTTATACAGCGAATACTTTCGCTCAAATGAATTGTTTTTTCGCGATTTCATCTACTATTCAGATTCTCATTCATTCAACGAACAATTACGAATGATATTAAAGTCAAAACTGATTGAAATGACTAGTTGTGTTCACTCGACTATTCTCGCTGAATTATGCACACCAAATGATATTAAAGAAAATTTATCCAATTATTTGATCAAATCCGATTTATTGGCGAAATTTGCTGGATTTTTATCATTTTATTCACTTGAAACAAGACGTAAACTCGATGAAGAAAGTGATGCAGCATTATTTTTCAAACATCAACAAACCCTTAGACAAATTAACCATTCGCCATTGTTTGATATTGAAACTTATCTTGTCAATTCAATGCAAACACATTCATTATTGGTTTCATTGCCATGGGTCATTGAATTTCTTATGTTTATCGATCAGTTTTCTTTCTCTATGGATTGTTATGCTAATGTATTTGCTCTTTTAGTATTGATCTACAAATATTATCTGCCGAATTTGGAAAATTATCGATCAAAATCTACACATGTTCGTATCTTTTTACAGTTATATCTCGAAAAATTGTTTGTCAACAAAAAGATTGATGCATTTGATCGAATTCGACAATTGATAAGAAACAATCATCAACATCCGGAAGATTTTCCTAAGAAATTGTTTTCAAAATTTGTTTCCGATAATCAGTCTAGCGAAGTGAAGAATTTTTTCTTTCTTGATTTCATTTCACCAGAACTTTTAGATTCAAATCTAATTTCGTATTTTTTTCCTTGGTTTTCAAAATCGACTCTCGATATTCTTCGTCATTCGAGTTGCCGGACTGAAATACGTAAAATCACACCCACCACATTGTTACATGAAAAAAATTCATCTAGTTTATTCACAAAAGCTGCACTGCCTAAAAATGAAAAAGCAATGAACAGTCTTCAGATTCAAATTGAAGAATGTTTCTTTAATCTTCATACTGGTTCGTTACGAAAGTGTATCAATTTCCTAAATGATCGAATTCAAGCCAATTGTATCAAAAAAATTAAAAAAGAAATCTATCCCAAAGCAAATAGAAAATATTTTCAAAATATATCACCTGATGATACTAATGAAATTGAAATACAAAAAATCTGTGATCTAATTCGTGATGATTGTAAGAATTTTATCAAAAAATATTCAACCAATTCGATTGAAACAATGTTTCCATTATTAATTGCTGAAGACGATCTTGATCAAGAAACGATACAATTTATCATTCAACAATTATGTTTGCCCAAAATTTTCAGAAAATGTAATGAATGGATCGACACAAATGTGTCGAATAATTTGATCAGTAACAGACATTCGCATAATGCGGACAATCTAAAAGATGATTTAAACAAAGAACTTCCTGAACTAGAATCGTGTTTGTCGAAATCTAGACAAATTCTTTTTGATCTTACTCATGAAAAACTTGAAACATTTAAGCATGATTATGTGATTGAAATTTTACAACAGATGACACTGATGAGCTCATTGAATTCATTTTCTACATCAAATTATCAATTATTTGACGCCATCATTTTAGACTTAATAATGAGCATCGTAACTTTCGCACCATCCACATTTAATGATAATATTCTTGAAATAGCCATCAATTATTGGACAACCGATCATGTGACAACACATAGAAGACTAATATGTCCTAAGTATTTATATATGATTAATCTGTCCAAATCTCCAGCAGCAAGTTGGTCTAAATGGGAATCATTTTTGCAACGTATGATCCGATCCAGTGTATACGATTTTTCCACTCTCGAAGAAGATGTCATGGCCGTGTTGAAAAACGAATGGCCACAACCATTACTAACCCGACTTGCTAGCATGCTTCAATCTTTAGTCGATTTTGTCGAAAAAAATAACCTGTTCCGCCATAGTATTTCATTTCCTTCAGAAAGTCATCCAATAAATCATCCACATGTTCGAACTGAAATAATTAATTGGTTGGCTTGGATTTGCAAAAATCAAAACTTGGAAGAATGATTAATCAAATAATCAATGTTTTCAGTGTATTTTCATTGTAAAAAGAAAATTTTATTTATTTATTTTTGTAAATATTTAATAATATTTAATAAAATTAGAAAGCCATATGATTTTTACAGTTTGTACAGTTTGATTGTGTATTCGCCTAAACAAGAAAATAAACCGCGAGGACTTGAATGATGTCTTGATATTAGGCCAAAATCATAGATCATCATATTGGTTCTGATTGGTTGAGTGAAACGCTTTTTATAATCCCAAATCATAGCTCCTTGTGAATTATCATCTGGAGCGCAAATCAAAATTGAATCATCATCATTTAAATTGGTGAAAATTCGGGATTGTGATAGTTGAACTTGTTGATTACCACTTTCCAGGATATTTATTATATGAGGAACAATATTCGATGATTGGTCGTCATATTCAAAATCTAAAATCTAAAATAAAAAATCAATAATTTGTAGAAATATAATTAAATTATAGATAATAATATCTTACATAATGAGTTGTTCGTTGATGTTTTTGAGATGGTCGAAAAGATATCAATGTATAGCCACTTTTCTTGTCAAAATCACAGGACAATGTTTTGCCTTGCATTGGCAATTTGAAACATTCGTAATTATTGGTGATAAGATTATCTCTGGAAAAATATAACCAAAATGAATCTAAATGCATTGATAGAAGTGCTGTTTTTCGTTGATGATTGTGTGAATATTCAATAACTGACATTGAAGCTACCGGTGTTGGGATGTCAACCGATGTTGGTGTAAAAGTAAATGCTGGTTCACTTGTATGACGACGATCGTACACATCGATTATACTATTTCGATAACCAACACAAGATAGATTATTGTCAGGCATTTTGGCCACACTCCATGGCTCATTTGTTAATTGGATGTTGTCGATGACTGCTTTGTTGAATATAGAAGAATGTTTCATTGTTTTGTCTAATGAAATTGTTACCAGTGTTCCTTCGGAAGAATTGAGAACCATTCCTTTCATAACTTTTGTATGTAAGAAAAAAGCTTCGTTAGTGTTATTTTCTAAATTGAGCATTCTGACACCAAATCCAGGAAACATGGCATTAGGCGCTATATTTGAGTTCAAAATGTTGACCACCAATTGATCAGAAATATGACTGTAGCAAAGATACCGGGAACCTTTTTCTGAAAAAGTAATATCTTTCAGATGAGAAATTTGAAATGCTTTAGACCGTTTTGATGAGTTAGATGATATGGTGGATGACTTGAAACGATTGATATCGGTTTTCCCTCCACTTTTATCATGACTGTTAATTAATTTAGCTTTGAGAAAATCATTTTCGATGGTCAATTGTTTATTACATTCGTTAAGTTTTTTAATCTCAGCTCCCATTTGTTCTATTTGTTTTTTATAACATTCAATTTTTTTGATACTTTCATCCAGTTTCCAAGTATCCAAAGGCCTCAAATTTTGTGCATAGATTTTTATGATTTCACGGCGACGAGCAGTTCTGCTACATGTAGGACAACGTTGATTACGTAGCTCTGGTGATAGCCATCGTTCAATACAACTTTTTCCAAACAAATGACCACAACGAAGTGTAACAATATGATGAGTATCACTATTCGTGTATTGATCGCCACATATAATACAACAATCGGTTTCGGAATCTAAGAGATCATTGTTTTCAGCATTTGGAATAACATGAGAATTTGAAATTGGCAAGCTTGCTTCATTGTTGACCGCTGAATTAGAGAGAACAGGATTTGATGATTGCTGATTTGAAGTTGTTTCATTTTCAATTATTTCGACAGACGAATCATCATCAAAATCATCATCTTCGTTGTCGTTGTCATCGATCTCTTCGGAAGTATTACTGAGTTCATCGGTCATCTCAGCCATATCTTCATCTTCTTCGTCATAACTGTCGGTATCATCATTATATACTTCAATTGCATCATAATCATGATCTGAATGATATGACATATTGATTCATTTGATTTTTCACCAAAATGAGTGAATGTTGGTATGTTCAAATTCATGCATACAACAATCGATTAATCGATTCGATTATTGTAACGTACGAGCAATGTTGACGGAAAATTTTTTTTTGGAAATTTCTTGGAAAACTATTTTCTTTGTTGAATGACTTAGTTTATAATTCAAAAAAAAAAATTAGTTCAATAATTCATTTTAATTGATTAACTGATCTTATCGTTATGGTGAGCCCGTTATTTCCATCCTTAACACCACGTTATATTGATGAACATTGGTTCCATTATGATCAATTATTTGAAGAAGATCAAACATTATCAGGATTGGAGAAAGAATATCATAATCTAATATCAGAAATTGAAAATCGTGCCTACAATAATAACCAGGATACGGCAAACATCTATTCAGATGCCGAAGATGATGACGATGATGATGATGATGACGACGATTTGGACAATAATGATGATGATGATGTCGATGATAGTGAAGATAGCGATGATAATGATGATGAATTCGAAGATGATATTTTCAATGTTTCCTTACAAGCTAATCATATTTGATAATAAATAAAATGTAAATTTTTTGAATTTTGTAAAAAAAATGTATTTATTTATCATAATTTATTAGAAAAAGATATTCCATGTTTGACAATTTTGAAAGGGAAAAAGTTACAAGTTAGAAATTGACGGTATTATTGCGGAATATAAATCATTTTTGCTTTCCAGATGATTTTTTGTTCATCTTTTTTTTCAATTTTTCAGCTTCATTTTTGTAAATTTCTAATTGTTTTATAGCATTTTGATATTTGGTCAATAACGATTGATTGGCGGGCAATTTTTCTGCATATATTTTGATCAATTGTTTTGTTGTGGCTGGTTTTTTACATGTTGGACACTTTCGTTGATCAATTGGCTTTAGCCATTTTTCTATGCAACTATTTCCAAATATATGTCCACATTTTAATGTGACCAGATGATGAGATGAATCCGAATCGCCAAATGGTTCGAAACAAATCGAGCAACGACTACAATGATCTTCGCAGCTATCAATCGATAATGCTGATGATGTTGTTTCGGGTGAAGGCAGACTTTTTCCTAGAATGATAGATGATAAATCTAAAATTGGTGTTGGTCCTGTTTGAAATGATTGTGATGATAATAATGATGTTGATGGTGTTTGAGTTGATAAATTGAGTGCAACATCTTGAACATCAAATGTGGCAGGCGATCGTGATGAAAAATTGTTTTGATAGTTATTAGAAAAACGGCTAACTACTCCGACAAATTCTACATCAGGTGAAGTTGATGGTGGTTGTGTTCTAGGTCGTTTGCCTAGAAAAATGATCTCATCAGTTTCATCATCGATTCTTGATGTTGGTGCCATCATGGCTTATTGATTATTTTTATGAGTGAAATAATTATATTGCAAAATGAATTATTGTTTCAAATAATAACAAGTTCAATTAGAACAAAGAAAAAAATAATAATCGAAATGTTAAAATTGTTCAAAATAAGGCCATGTTACCTTGCTCGGAATGAAAAATCACAACGGATCAGAATCGATTTTATTGAATTCATAGATGGCGTTAGTCAAAAAAATGAAACAATTATTATTTTTTTTGATTTTTGCTCAATTGGATCACTTAACCTCTTCAAGTTTGAAGCGTAAACGTAAAATTTTCCAACTAAATGTAACTGACACTTCAATAGATAATGGGTACGTAATGCTCAGCCTTTTTTATTTTCCTTTATCACATTTTATATCAATTTAGATTTATCCAATACAAACACAGTTACGATAAAACCGTTCAATATGCGATATGTATCGTTGGAAAATTTTCCACCTAATGATCGAAAATGTTCGAGTCGAGTTGCAGCAATCAATCGATTCCGTGAAGAATATCCAATAAACTGTCCTTTTAAATCAATCAATTTGTTGCGGCAATTGCTACAGACAAAAATCAATCAAGAGATCGGAGACATCCTACAAAAATATCGTCAAACATTCCTGGAACCAGTATTCAATAATGTTCGTCAAAATCTGCGTAATAATGAATTGGCCAACGATTTAAACATAAATGCTTTCATGCATCAAGTGTTGGATGAAGCTAAAAAAATGTTTCCACTTGATGATAATGATAAAATGTTGGTCAAGCTACGTCAACAGGAACAAGACAATGATTGTGACAAAGAGCGACAACCTAATAGTAATCATTCCAATAATCAACAAATATCGACTGCATCAAATTCTAGCGGACGACCACGTGGCCGACCTAAACTTAATCGTACTGTTTTGAAGACAAAAGCAAAACGAAAACGTAAAACATTTATTATGTCAAGCAATGCTACCCAAAACTTGGTGATAGCTAACAATGATGATATGGCAGCAACAACAAACTCTTCAGCTAATTCCATATTGAAAAATGCGAACAAAAATAAATTGATCGATGATAATGAAAGCAAATGGGATCCATCCCGATTATCAACTAAAACATTGGTTTGTTTTATAAAATGTTTTTTTTTAATTTTATTATCTTATTCTCTTAAACAGTTTGTGTTAGGCTCAAAGGCAAATAAAGCATTAGGATTTGGTGCAGCTAGAGGTCGATTATATTCAAAACATTCAAATCTATTTCGTTATATCGGTGATCACGAGGACAAAGAATGGTTGCATAAAAATCAATTGATGCCCACTACTGGTGGCAAAGCATATCTACTAGTCAGAGATGATATAATCGAGTTATTGAACTCAGATGAATATCGTGAAACACCCGGTGTTGATGTTGATGAAATGGGCGAAGGTTTCACTGTACCACAATCAATGATTGATAAGATATCTACTAGTATGATACGAATGACAAATATTTCGATCAAACAATCATATAAATCGGCTATGAATGATCAAAGAATTAAAGTTCATCCTGAATCAATGGTTATCAATCGATCGGAAATCGATACATACGATGAAACTGGCCATTTATTTGACAATGATGACAACGGCGATGATGATGATGATAACTTTGATTACGAGAATGATGATGAACAGGATAAGGACTTTACAATCGATTAAAACAAAATGGCATTGGTTATTTCAATTTTATTTAATTTTTTTTTTAAATTTTCTCCTATAGTATTATTAATGTGACAAATCATGTGTAATAATTATTTCATGTAATATATTAGATAATATTTTTAAAGACAAACAATAATAAGAAACAAAAAAAAAATGTGCAAATTTAAATTCGATCCTTTGATTAAATATTTTTGTCGACAATTTTGATAATCACAAACAAACAAACAAAAAAAATTTATAATTCAATGTCAAAGGCAAATCGGGAAGCTTTTTTAAAAATCTTTTTTCGTTGTTTTTTTCCGCTGTTGTCGAAATAGACATCTAAGTTTTTTTTCCAAAAAAAAACATTCTATTTTTTTCAAAAAATGTTTATATTCAAAATTCCAATTGAATGAGCAATTAGTAGAATTTTATCTATTCAAGAAATATGACAGTGTAGTTGTTTATATATGATAAAGTCTTTAGGCTATGATTATTAATCGCACTACAAACACTAATTAATAAATGAGTATGCAATATATTATATTATATTTGTGTATAAGTTGATCCTGTATTTCATTAGAAGTTGACGTAGTTGATCAATTGAATATTATTAATTTTATATTTATATAAACAGTTTGCTATTTGTTTTCTGTTTCACAGGAACACATTTTATATGATATATTGTTATCATTGTTAATGGATGATGTTATCGATGATGATAATGATGGACAGGTTAGATTCGTAATTTATTTTTTTTTTCAATTGTTTTAATTAACAATTATTTCGATTATGATAGATACCATTGATATGGGTAAACATTTTTTTCTGTCTTATGATCGGGCCATTTCGTTGTTGTATGTTTTTATTCTGTCGTTGATATTGTTTTTTAGTAATCTGTTTTTTATTCTTTCGATAATCATTTTTATCATTTGAATCGATTATTGTTGCAATCAATGCTATTTGTAATGTAATTTTTTTAGAGGAAAATTGAAAAAAGAAAAGAAAATTAGAAATTGTATTATTTATTTGAAAACGATAAAGAAAAAAAACTTGTAATGTAAAAAATGTTCAATGCCATATCAAGAACACTTAATTCGTGGTTCTTATTTATAGAAGAAGAAGATAGATGCATCAATGTTACCATGAATAGAAAATAAATATATCCTCACTGGAAGAAAAGAGCATCTTTCAAGGATTCTCTTTTCTATTCGCTCGTTTTATATATTTTATTTTAGGCAATAACTAATTGTCAAATTACAGTTTTTTTCTCTGCAGAAAAAAAAATTTCATTATGGCAATATGGCGCCAAAAAAAAAATCAGCTGCTAAACTACGTAGCAAATCAATCGAAGTGATCATTGGAAAAAAATTTTTCCGTTGAGCTTATGCAGCAACAATGACCCAAAAAATAAAAAATTACGTGATGATGGCTAAATTTTTCCTTCCTTGTCCTATCAAATGATTATTTGAATTATTATTATTTACAAACCTTTATTATTGTTTCCATTCAATTGGGCCAATGGAACATTGTTCAATGTTTGCGATGATGATGATGAACCTGTACCATTCGATTTAGATTTTTTATTATTGTTGTTGCCACCATTTTCTTTATTGTTTTTCAATGATTGTTGAATTCTAGCCAGAATAATTTTTCGTTGTTCAGCTTTATTCATTGATGACAATGATTGCTTGATTGTGGCCGAATTAACGATTGAACATGATGGTCGTTGAACAGTAGCCAATGTAATCGGATTAGGTTTTTTAACAAACAAATCATCAAAAACACTCATCGATGGATGTTCAATCAATAGGTTTTCCATTTCTTCGGTCTTTTCATCATCATCATCATTATCATTATCATTAGCTATTGATTTTTCATGATGATTTTTACGTTTACCTGGTTTAAAACATTCCGGTGGATCAACTAACCATTTTTCATTCTTATTGTTTTTTAACGTTTTTATGGCAGTAGGATTTTTATTATTGCTATTTGATGCAATAGTTATATTGGGCAGTTTTGATTTTACCTTTTTTTCTTGATTCTTATTCTTTGCTTTAGCATGATCAATAAGAATCCAATCATTTTCAATATTGGTCAATGAACAATTTGATTCGGAATCATTTTCATAACAACCAGATGATGATGATGATGTTGTTGATGATAATGTTGTCGATGGATTTTCTAGTTGTTTATTATTACAATTGTTATTATTATTATTCGATTGTTGTTGTAATGATAAAGCCGTTGAATTTTCAAGTGTTTGATTATTTTCGTTGTCGTTAGAATTATTAGAATTTTCAAGTGATCTTCCTACGCCAAAAACATACTGAGCGAATGTAAACATTTCTTTTTATTCCAGGACACAGTAGTCAAGTGAAGTGAAGTGAAGAATTCAAAATTCCAAATAATTTTTGTTGGTGATAATTGAAAGAATTTGTAGATAAATATAATGGATGAGAATTTTGATTTTTGATGTATACAAAGAGAGAAAACAATAATTATTTACAACAAAAAAAAAATTTAAAGACAATCAGAGAAAATTAAAATAAGAATAATAAATTAATGATTCGAATGTCAAAGTCAAATTTTCTATTTTATATGTACAGTTTGAATTGAAAATCTAAACAAAATTCTGAATGAATGAATGAATGAATGACGATTGAAGACGACGAATTTATATAATTGTCAATCTGGATGGAAATATACTTTTCAAAACAAACAGAAAAAATTTATAAATAAAATATGTATAAATCGGTTGGTGGGTTAATACACGAATGGATTGTTGTTGTTATCGTTGTTTATATATTTGACAGAAACAAACCAAACCAAATCAAATAAGTAGGTGTTGAATGATGATGATGATAATGAAATATGGAACAAAATAAAGAGAGAGAGGGAAAACACAACTACAAAATCATTTGTCAATCAATGGATGTTGATAAACAGAAAGGATATATTTTGTACGTGTATATTAAATGGATTTCGTTATTTTGTTTTTAATTATAGAAATTTATTTAAAAAAAACTGATAGCAGAAAACACAACCGAAAAAAAGTATCTATTGAAGAAAAAAAAGAGAAATCATCCACAAAAAGAACAACAAAAACAAAACAAAAAAAATTTCAATTCAAATTGGAGAAAAAGAAGGTGGAGGACAAAACGAAATGGTTCACTGCGTCATATATATAAATGATCAACAAACATCCACCATTATAACAACAATGTTAACGACAATCTCAATACAAGTTTTTTTTTGCTATATCCAGTTGTCGTCATTGTTGTTGTTGTTGTTGGTTCCAGCCAGTTCTTTTTTCCCATATAGCTATCATATATAAATGTATGAATGGTAAGCTATATATAATTGATGAATGTTGGAAAGAAGAATAGCAACAACAACAACAACAACAAAAAATCCAGTTATAAAATGGGCAGGGGATACTTTTTTCTCTTTTGCTTTTTACTATTCTATATAGAGAAAATCGACGTTTCGAAACAAAAGTCAGTTGATTTTGTTGTTGTTGAAACATTTAAATCACACAAAGTTTGATGACATTGTTTTTTTCCTCTCTCTCTTAGTTCCTTTTTATCATCATCATTATTATCCCAACAACAACAAAAATCGATAATTTTTTTTATCAAAATATTTCAAAACAACCAAATTAATCATTTAAATCTATGATGATGATGATGATGAATTTAGGAATTACATTACACACATACAGAATAAGAGTTGAAAATAGAAATCTGATTTCATTTTGTTGAATAAGAATAAGGATATACAAGGTGCCTTTGTCATTGAATAATTCGCTGATGATGATGATGACGAAATGAAAATTTTCACATATAGTTAGGTGTTTCTAGGCGCCCAATTATTATTATTTTTATTATTTTTTTTTGTTGCATTCTTTCATTTGGTTTTGTATTATTATTATTATTATAAGTCTATAAATAATAATAATCTAATGCTTTGTGTGTGTGTGTGTACGTATGAAAGTCATATTATATCGTATTTTATGGCTCAATACACATCCTTTTAGATAGGAAAACAACAACAACAACAACAACACTCCCTTGGTGACAAAGATTTTATTTTATCCATTCTTTTTTGTTATGTTATTAGGCAATAAATGATATATTTCCTAATGTCATTTGATATATCAGGTGTACTTTTTTTTAGTGCGTTTTGTATGTGATAATAATGATTAAAATACGTTTTTATCTTACTCTCTCTCTCCTTCCCGTAAATGTTAGGTATATTTTTCAGATAATAAAAGTTTTCTTCTTCTTTTTTTCTTGAAAATAAATTCGAATTTGTTTATTTTTCTTCATCAAAATCATGTAATAATCATTATCATCTAATTTCCTATGAATCGAGAAGAATAAACAAAACAAAACAACAACAGCAACAGAATCGACACAAAATGTTGGATTAAATATAAATGTGTCATTCGAATGTTTTTGACAATATTAGAAACATCATCTTTTGTTTTTCTTCAATGAAAATAAAAATCGAGCAAATACTATTGATAATAATGTACATTATAACAAACAAACAGAAAAAGATATTAAATTTAATGTTCATTACTTATAGAATGATGATGATGATGATGATGCAAAAAAATAAATAAATAAAAAACAAATAGATTATATTAGGCGCCATTCTGGATCCAAAATATCTTTCATTATTGTTATTCATTCATACCAAATAATTGTTAATGTTTTAATTCGCTTCTGGTATTCATTTTTACTTAAGTGTTATTCTTTTGATTTTATTCTGATTTAGATTTTTGAAACACACAAACATGAAAACACAGGCATTAACCTTAAGGATTCTTGAATGAAATAAATACAAAATTCAATGGAAAAATTGAAGAAGAATATGTATACATTGGAATTCATTAAGAATATATACGATATTTATGAAATTATTATTCGAATGTCAAGGAGACATTTATTTTGACATTTAAATTTTTTTCTTAAAAACAATTATATATTGTTATATTTCATATTAATTTATGTAAAAACAAACAAACAAAAACTTTAACGATTCAATCTTATGACATGGAAAATTTGACAAAACATCCTAATACTTTTGGGTCGAGATTTTGATTAAATGATGTTTCAAACAAAAACCAAACAAAAATGTACGGGCACCCACACACATTTTTATTCAATAATTTAATTTACAAAACGAATTAGCCTAGATAAGATTTTTTTCTCTTGATCTCTCTTTCTACATTTATTTTATGATGATGATAATGGTCAAGCTTAATGATGATAATAATAATGGCTAATAAAAAGAATTAAAAAAACATGATAAATTCGAATGACCTTAATTGTTCATAGGTCAAGAACAGGTTCATCATATATAAAACTTGTAACGAAACCATGGATTGAATCTATGGAGTTTCCCTCTGATTTCTTCCGTTTATTGATCTGTTTTTTTTATATTTCTTCATGACTTCCATTTTCTGTTATGATGATGATGATGATCATGGTATGACAGGTTTTTTCATTCACATTCAAAATAGTGTTGTGGTCGATATTGTGAATATATATTGGTTTTTTCATTTCAGGTTTTTTTTCCTGTTCATTCTCTTTTGCGTTTACTTTCTGGATATATGTGCTGTTTGCGTGTGCATAGATATTTTGTGGCCATAGGATTGTATGGGTATCCGCTTTCGTCCATTCTTTCCATTTATTCGAAAAGCGCGCGTGCACACAGTTGAATAAAGGAAGAGAGAGAGAGGAACTCATCTTCATGTGCTTCAATTCTCTCATTTTTTTTTTTGGGTTATATGGTGGTGGCTAATATATATTTTTTTTCTTCAAAATATTTATTTTATATTTGAGGAGCCAGGATCCCGTTTTTCTTCTTTTTGTTACACATTCTTTATGACTATAGCCAATCATCATCATCATAACCATCACATCATCATCATCATCATCGTTTGAAAAGGTTGTCGCCTTGTCGTTTTATTTTTTTTTCTCTCTCTTCCTCATTCAGTTATTCTTTCATTCTTTTTTGTTGTTGTTGTTGTTGTTGGCTTTTACAATCTCATTCGATTCTTGGATCGGATCTTGTCGCCTTGCCGTTTTGTTTGTTGTTTTCGATTGATTTCGTACCGTAATGTTACTACTCACATTTCTCTCTATCTTTCGCGTTTTTTTTCTCGCACACTCAATTCTACTCAATTTTTTTTTTGATCGTCGCTATTTTCAATGCTTGAAACAAAGAATTTCTATTAGATCAACTATTTAACCGACTAAATAAATTTTGTCCATCATTCATCGTGTTATAGCCATCATAAAATTTTTGCTGTTATTGTTGGTTATTATTATTTTTCCTTTTTATTCACAAATTATGTGATACATAATAAAACAAACAAAACAAAAAATGAAATGGATGATAATTCAAAGATGACTTTTTTTTCGAACGCTGATTAATTGATTGATTGATTGATTAATCATTCGATTTGTTCGTCTTGTGCAATATTGAATGTTATATGAATATATCACTGAATGGGTATCTTTAAAAAGTGTCCGTGTTTCTGTACGGGACGACGTCGACGACGTTCACAATCGAGCTTGTTTATCGGCAGTGGTGGTGGTGGTGGTGGCCATCATAATACTAATGCCGCTGGCGATAATAACAATGATTATATTGGCGATGATAATGATCCTTCCATAATCAAAGAGCTTGATTATAGCCATTGTTGTTTGGAAGATGTACCGGCCACTATTTTTACATATGAACGTACATTAGAACATTTAAATCTAGAATCAAATCAAATTCGTGACCTACCAAGAGTAAGTTTTTCCGAAATAAATTCATTTAAGTTTATTTGTTCAATTTATCGATCAATAATCATTTCAATCCAATTTATTGGTTCGTTTTCTTTTTTTCTACTATCATTTTCATTTGTTCATCAATCAATCAATCAATCAATCAATCAATCAATAGGCATTATTCCATTGTGAAGAATTACGTCAACTAAATTTAAGTGATAATGAATTACAATCAATTCCAACTGCCATTTCATCATTGCATAAATTAGAGGAATTGAATTGTTCCAAAAATCATATATTACAATTACCCGACAGTATTAGACAATGTAAATTGTTAATGGTTGTTGAAGCATCAATCAATCCACTTGGTCCACGATTACCCGATTCATTAACACAATTAATCAATTTACGTGAATTATTTTTAAATGATACATTTCTGGAATTTTTACCCGCAAATTTTGGAAAGTAAGTGTTATCTGTATAATGAAAATGTGAACCAAAAAAAAAACATTAATAATGTTCATCACAATGTAGATTAACTAGGCTACAAATAGTCGAACTTCGTGAGAATCATCTAAAAACATTACCCAAATCAATCAATCGTTTAGTTGAATTGCGACGATTAGATATTGGTCAAAATGATTTTATTGAATTTCCCGATGTGATTGGTAGCCTTTACAATCTTAATGAACTTTGGTGTGATTTCAACAAACTTGTTACAATACCCGATGTAAGTTTTTGCATTTTTTTGATATTACATGCATAAAAACAAATTATATTCACAAACTACAATGATAATACATCAATTATTTATCGATTACTGTCTCGTTTTATTTATTTATTTACTAAGTTGTCTGTTTCAATTCTTTTATTCGGTTATTTTAACGCATGATTAAATTGTCATCTGTTTTTTTTGGCAGGTTATCGGCAATTTAATTCAATTAACTTATCTGGATGCTAGTTTCAATAAAATCGAAGACATTTCTCCTGAAATCGGTAAATGTATTAATTTAACCGATCTAACATTATCATCGAATAATCTACAAGAATTGCCCGATTCATTTGGTAATCTTCAAAAACTTCTTGTTTTGAGGCTTGATGAGAATGAGCTCAAAACTATTCCATCGTCTTTGGGAAGGTATTGTGTATTTAGATTTTTTTCCCTATCCTGTACACATAAACGTCAATTTTGATTTATGATTTTAATCAATTTTTTTTTTGATTTCAGTCTTAGCCAAATTGAAGAAATTACAATCAATGAAAATATGATCACCGAATTACCATCATCAATTGGACATTTACGAAATTTACAAACATTTATAGCTGATTGTAATAAGATTGAACGTCTTCCGGATTCTATTTGTAGCTGTAATCGTCTTCGTATATTATCATTGGCCGAAAATAATCTTAAATATTTACCTGAAGATTTGGGTCGTCTGTCATCATTACAAGTGTTAAATTTATGCAACAATTATCTAACTTATTTGCCATTTTCATTAACACAAATTACTAATCTTAAATCAATTTGGTTATCAGAAAATCAAACAAAACCATTAATGCCATTACATTCTGAAACATTGGATATTAAATCATCCACCATTGGATCGCCACCTCCATTAAAAATACTCACATGTTTTCTATTACCACAGACCAAATCTGAAGAGCACACGACCACTGCCTTGGAACATCATTCCACAAATAATTCACAACGAAGAAAACTTTCATTTTTAACGGTCAACATTGATAAACCATTGATAACGGCTGAGAAAAAAGAATCCATACAATCTATAAATAATAATAATCTAGAATCATTTGAATCAAATGAATCGTCGGCCATTGTACCATTAACTACAAGTTCAACTTCCAATACAAATAAAGCATTCCAACGACAACCAACACCATATCCAAAAGATCTCAAAGTTCAAGCAAGACATGCAAGAAATTTTGTCATGAAACATTTAGATCTAAATAATATCTATATCGAAGAGATCAAAACTGATGATAATGTGTGATCATTTTTATTTCACATTACAATCGTTATTATTAATTCAGTATTATCATTATTATCATTATTATTATTAATTGATTGATTGATTTGATACACCAAAGTCTTCAGATTCTACAATTGTTTGTTGCTTTAGATTCATAATTAATTAGCCTCATTGTTATCATTATTGTTTTTTGTTTTGTTTTCACCGTTAATTGTTCTTATTTGCAAATTTTTTTTTCTTTACCCATTTCCATTCTAATCAATGAAATGATGATTGTGTTTGTAAATTTGCTCACATTACATGATGATTCTTAACACAAAACTTATTTGATTAATTATTTTGCAATGAAAAATTAACATTTTTTTTAAAATTACACCTTGACAAACAGAATACTAAAAACATTAACAAATCACTATGCACTATAGATCAAATTTTGTTTTCATTTTCACACTTTTTAACTTTGCCACAACTTTATGAATCTCATCTCATTTCATTTGTTATTGATTATTCTCTGTGATACAAACACACACATACACATCTAATTGACCTAAACAATATTTGACCATTTAAAACTTTGATTTTTTTTACAAAAAAAACAGACTTATAATATAACACGAACATACACACAGACATAAAAAAAACGCCCAAACTATGATCTTAAACTGAATCAAACAAACAAACAAACAAATGAATCGATTATTTGAAATTGTTTTTATTTCCTTTTCACTTTATTCACATATTTATCATTTGAAATTTTAAATAAAATAAAATAAAATAATAATTTTCACTTTGAAAATGACTCCTGGTTCATTTTAAGTATCATAGATTTTATTTATTGTTTTTAAAATTAATTTTTCCGTGATCAAATATAACAAGTGTGAGAATATGATAATACAATAATGATAATGAGGAAAGAAGGAAAAACAGAATGATGATTAGATGTGTGTCAGTGTAATATAAAAAAATATATACATGTGAATCAAATGAAAGAAAATAAAATATTGTTATTTACATTTTAAAAAATAAAATCAATTTAAAATGATAAAAGAAATATATAAAATTATTTAAACAAATTTCAGAAAAAAAATTTTGTTTTGTTTCAAATAGATTTATACAAAACGTGTGTGTGTGTGTTTTTGGTATTACAATTTTTTTTCAAAATTATAAGCAACAGGTAATTTGTTCATAAGATGATAATTATTAGGATTTATAAATTCTTAATAAAATGATGATTGATATAAATTGAAGGATTGTTGTTGGTGTTGTTGTTGTGGTTGATGAGCATAAACATAAAAAATAATCTCATTGCGTTTTGTTACCAAATAAAAATAAAATCGGAAATTAATATTAGTAGAGAGAATATAAATAAAAACAAAAAATTTGTTCAGTCGTTTTTGTTTTGCATTTCAAATTTTCGGGCACTGATAAACAAATGTATAGTTATTATCATTCGATTTGATCGATCCATTTATATTACACATATTTATATACATCAATGAATTTCAAAAGCTTTGAGAATAATGAATTTTTGTATATTTTTGTTCATTCATGTTCTGTTATTTTTTCTTTTGTTTAACCGAAAAACAAAATTATAAAAACAAAAAAAAAACTAAAATTATTGAGATAATAAAATATACTTTATACTCCACTGTGTAGAGCTGGGAAAAAAACAGAAAAGTAAAATTACTTGCCATTTTTTTTGATTGATTGAAGTGAAGAAAAATAAAAAATAAAAAGATTGTTTGAAGATATGAATTGATTTATTGACTGGGTTGATTGGATTTGATTTGAATTATAACAAACGACCAGAATATGTATCAATGTGTATGTTTTTGTATATGTATATTAGTAATTGATTGAACATAAAATATTTTGCACATTGAGTGATGATAAATTTTTTGGTTTGTTTCTTTTACTTATTCGATAAAAATCCAAAATCGAACACAAAAAAATATAAAGAAGAAACATTACCCAAAATCGAAATGAGATTAATGTTGATGGTGATGATGCATTTATAGGCAAAAGGAATGAAAATAAAAGAGGCGAGTATATATAATAATTATTTCAACTTTAAATTCGATGCGAAAAAATTTCTCAATACATCACAGTTAAATTGATGGGGGTAATTTGGATGAAATGACCCGTTTAAATGATGACCACAATCCACCGAATAAGATGAAGGTATGTGTTTAGTAAGAATGACCAATTTGATTCAAACTTGATTCAAATTATATGATTGGGGTAATTGAGTTGTATGAGATGGTGGTAAGCATTTTGGTGAATTTGAGCTTGGTATCATAACATATGCAGTTTTTGCTACACTGCCATTATTATTGTTAATATTTGTGGTTGTCATTGGCGATGATTGCTGATTCTGTGATGAAAACATGGGTGTTCGTGATGAACAAACAACATGATTATGTTCCGGCGACGGTAAACTTGAGCTTGGAGCCGAATGTGTAGAGTTGGATGCTGAAGTTGCAGTAGCCGGCGTTGTTAATGAAGTGGCGGCGGCTGCTGCTGCTGCAGTTGATGAGGAAAATCTTGACCAAAAACTACCAATACCTTTACTAACACCCCCATTGTTCATAGGTGCATGACCATTACTAATGATTTGTGTGGATTTTTTCCCATTCGGTAAGAATGGTTCACGTAATGATTCATCTTGATTATAAAAATATTCCAGATTATCATGATGATTCATATCCGAAACACCTGAATCAGAAGAACAGAATTGATTCGATGATAACTTTATATAAGAATTTTTGGTCAAATTTTTTGAATTATTTCTACTATTGTCATTTTGTTGTTGATCATTATTGATCTGATTATTACTATGATTTATTAACAAAATATTTTGTTCGGCTTCGCCAGACGATGATAATAGTGCCTGATCATTAATAGTATTTGAACTGTTTGCATTTGTAGCTGTATTAGCCATTGTTAAATCACTTTCCATTAGACTAGATTCGGATACATTATTATTACTAACATTATCGATATTTGTTTCACGATATGGTGATTTTTGCGTTGATTGTTCAGGTAACATGTTGTTACGATTGGAATTCTGATTTGACCCAAATTTGGCCTGAAATTGATCTTTGAACGATTGATCTTCCATACTGAAATTTATAGTAAATTCATCATTCTTTTGTTTGACCGATTTAAACGTACGATATGTACAGAAAAGAACAAAACATAGAAGAATTATGAAAGAAATGAAGCTAATTATGAATAACAAAAAACGATTCGGAGACGTTAGTCCCGAATTTGATGATTTTGTTTGATTCGAAAATCCATCATGTGACGGCAAACCAACAAGCGTATGGAGATCTATCGGATTATTTTGTTGATAAGGATATGGTGAGCCTATTAATACCACCAGAATAATTAATTTATATTCGGTATCGTCTTTTAAATCGGTCAATGAATATTGATTTTTATCTTTGTGAACAACTTTAGATATATATTCGTTTGATTTTGTGTTTTTCCAATATCGTATCTCAAATCGATCAATCAATGTTCGGTGAACTCCACAAGTTAATTTCCATTTAATGATAGCACTGTCAGATGTTACATTTTCAGCCATTACATTCGTAATTATAACACCATCAATTTTCTTTGTTTTCATGTTTACTAAACATTTGGCCCATATAATACCAGTCGTTTGTTGATTATGACTGTTAAATGCAATACCAAATTTGTATTCATAATCTGGTAAGTGTAGAAGGCTTTGTTTTTCAGACATTGATTTCCATTGCACTTGATTCAAACATTGACCATTCGTAGCTAAACACCAAAAGAGAGTATAATCTTTAATAAGTGAATCATCGATTGATGTCCAATTCAGCTTATAACTTCCATTGGGAAATAAAAATACATTGATCATGCTATTCAGAATATTGCTTGCATTATTCCAAAGAATTTCACGTGTAGCTGGCAATACAAACAGCGAATAATTATCCGACAATCCAACAGAATTTTTAGAAAAAATATTGAATAAATAACTAACATTACTGCTTAATGTTAGTGTCAGATTTGGATAAAGTGTCGTTTGATTTATCCAATAATCTGGCTCATCTACAGCTGAATAAGAGATAAAATACTCAAAATCCGGTCCATTCTGTTCTTCATTGGCTAACGGTTTCCAATAGATCACTACTTTTCGTTCATTTTCCGACAAATTTACCGACAATGTTTCAAATGATTGATTGATAATCATGGGCGATGTTTCAGGAACTTTTATTTAGGAAACAAAGAAAAAAATTAGTGAGTAAAAATTATAATTCAAATTTTGGCAATACAATACTTTTTGGCTCGGATAAAACATCAAAAGAAATCATATCACTCCAATATTGATTGTTTGGATCGTCTACCTTACAGCTAATGTTGAAACGATATTGAGTAAACGGTCTCAGATCTTTCATATCCAATGATACAGTGTTTGATAGTCGGCTAATTTTTTTATTATAATCATTCGGATTGAAATCAATCATACGTATCGTTTTATTATTCATATCGAAAACTGAAATTCTATAAAGTATTCGATTCTTCAATGTCTCATCCAATAATAGATTTTCCGGCGCAATCCATTGCAAATGACCATCAACAAATTGTTCATATTTAGGTTTCATACGTGGTGGCGGCAATTGTGTAATTGATGTCTGATCAAATATAAATGTCTGATTATTGGTGCCAATTTTATTAGAACCTAAAAGTTCCAAAAAATAATGATTATTGTGCAATGATAAATCATGCGATGTATTCCAGAAACAATGTTGTTTATTATTTTCAATATAAACATTTCCACAATCTCTTTTTTCACTATATTCGAGGATGATCCAAGAAGATATCATGATAAAATGGAAAGAAAATCGATTTAGTAAAAGTAAAAATAATACTAATCAAATCGTTGAAACGTACATTTCTAGGCCTTCATGATAGTTATGCAATGTATATTTCGTTTCAATCCTATTGTTAGGCAATGTCCATGAGCATGAAAGTTTTTGACGATAATGAAAGATGCATTCAAAATCACTAACATTTAATGGTTTATCTGCATACAAGTGGAAAAAAGAAACATAATGAATTTTAATCTATTTGAGGTGGGTAAAAATTAATTTTTTTTTTGCTTACATGCAACATTACCATCACTATAGCAGATAGGTAGAGTCTCTCCATTGGTATCATTAAATTTGCAGGAATAATTACCAAAATCATCAGGGCTAGTATTTTTGATTGATAATCGTACAGTATATGGATCGATTATTGTTACAAATCGTTGATCGATTATAATTTCATTTCGAGCAAAAAATACACGTGAAATATCGATTTCGCCATTATCGACAAATTCTTTTTTCAATGTGCAATTAAATGATAGCTCTTCTCCTACTTCGACATTGGCTTCATTTGGAACAAGATCTAGGATAAAAAAGAACAAAAAAGGAAAAAAAACTTATAATCATATCCATAAAACAAGGTAATATTCTTTTTGATTAACATACCTCCGAAATTAATACCCATCAGACAAGATTCGACAATAGTAACAATAAGGCCATAAGTGAGAAAAGTGAAGAATATTATAGTTAGTAGTTTTATCATCATTATATTCTTTTCTAATTGTATTTTTTTATATATCAACGATAATGAGCGATGAAATTTTTTTTATTTTGATTTGATTAACGATTCTATCGTTATGATGTCATTGAAAATTGATAATCACTGCAAAAAGAATCCTCTTTGAATACAATGATTTTTTTTATATAGAAATTACCATAGTGATTGTTTGATCAATGCCATAAAAAACCAGACAGCGAAAAAAATCAAGGATCACATTGTAACTAAATCGGTCTGTTTTCTTGATAAATCGTTGATGAATTGAGATTATCTTACCAGTCGAAAGTCAATGTCTTCACAATGAAAAAGGCTTGTAATGATTATGATCGGACAAAAAGATTATTGATGCCGGATAGATGACGTCGGATGTACCGAATATTCCAATATTTAAAAATCGTAACATTACATTGGAATTATTTATTCCATAATAATGATATTATTAAACAATCAAATGTCATAATAGAAATTGAACTGAAATGTTCATCACTGACAACAAGTGTTCGATAATGTTTTTTCATTTAAACCATCAGAAATCATCTTTTTTTACAGATGAATTTCAATTGCCGATTCTATGGAGAAAAACAAAAAGAAAATTGTTTTCATCGAATTTATTTCAAAATATTTTTAAAAAAAACGGAAAAATGAGTATCAATTTCATTAATTCTCTCTCAATCAATTCAATCTCGCCAGCAAACAAATCGAATGAAGTATGATTATAAATTTCATCACTTTTACTTAAATTACACGCACACTTGAAATATCAATCATCAGTTTGTTCCGCCTTTTCGCACAACTGAATTATCAGCGTTGGTGATTGGTGAAAAAAAAGATTAACAAGTAAATCAAAGTAAACATAACACAAAGATTATTTGACATTTATTTTTTTTTCTTCTAAATCATCAATATGATTATCGAATTAAATAAATGAATTGGAAACCAAAACATTTTTTTGGGTCTAAATTTATTTATTATATTTGAAAAAGAGGGAAAGAGATTAATAGAAATAGATAAACAATCAAATCAAAACAACAAGCTGATTGTTAAAACATATCATAAAGATATAGAGAATTGGAAAAATATATGGCTGATTACTTTATTTTTTTTTAATTCTTTCATATCATTATTTTTGTATTAAATATTTAACGGATTACTTTTTTAACGTCAACACAATGATATTGATTAAAGCAAAATGTACAATAACTATAATTCTATATTCAAAATTGATCATAACCCGATTGCTTGAGCTGATGATTTTTTATTATTTTCATTAATTCTTTTCAAAAAATAACTGTAGGAAAAAAGTTTCATGGTCAATCATAAATGAATGGTTAGAATTTCTTTTTTTTGTTTCAAACATTTCCGCGATCAAATGAATAAAAACATCATCAAATCGAATGAATGAAATTAAAGAAAACGAGAAAAAAAAGAAATTTTATTCGATTAACAATCTTTCATATCAAGAGAAAGAAAAAAAACAACAACGATAATTGTTTGACAATAAAAAAAATGGGAAAATTTTCAACAAAACAAAAAAAAAAGTTATCATCACCAGTAAATTATCAATCATTTTAAAGTTTATCATCATCATCGATCGATTTTTACCCATTCATTGGGTAATAGCATGTTTCTCCCTCTCACATAATCATTCTGTTATGAATTTGATGATGATGAAAATGGAAAAAAATTGAATGGAACAAACAAAAATTTACAGCGACGAATCAAAAACAAAAAAAAATGAAAAAATACCAAATACAAGACATACGGATATGTTTCGATTTTTTTCAAGTCTTGACAACGATTTGTATAGAGCACACAACAACAACACAAAAATATACAAGCTGTTTTTTGCCAAGTTGATTATTACACAACACCGACGAATGATGATGATACCGATTTTTTTTTCTCTCTTCATAAACAACTCAACAACAACAAAAATTCGATTTTTCAACATTCAACAAACACACAACAGTCCGACAAAACAAAAGTTTGCTTAGAGATCTCTCTCTCTTCCTTTGGGTGCTGTAAACACAAATCAACAAACAAACAAACAAAAAATGATGAATGGAATAAATAGAAAACGAATTCAAAACATTTTTTATGAATAAAATTAAATAAATCAAAATTTAAAATGGAAACCAATTTTTTTCATTAATGAATATATTCAATTATAATCAATCATTATAGGGAAAAAAAATTTTTCAAAAAAAAACTAAACTAATTCTGAATCCAGGTTCTGAACCAAATGATGAAACGACAAGAAAAATTATTTGCGGTGTTGGAGAAAATTATTTTCAACACAAACATTGAAACACACACATTATCATCATCATCTCAAATAGATTATTTATGAAATTAAATATGCATTTTTGTTATTATTGAAAGAAAACATAGAGACGCCGCTATCAACAATCCAACGATGAAGATGATGATGACCACACGACGACGCAAATTGTTAATAAAGAATATATTTTCTTCTTCATTTCAATTCGTTCGTTTCGAGAGGTTTCAAAAAACTAAAAACAACACACACACACACACTATTAATATTAAGCTACTATTTTCATTTAAACACACTTTATTAAAACTATCCATTACACAATTCTTGTTTTTTTTCGAGATTCAGAATACAACAAGTTTAAAGATTCGGATTTAGTTTATATGGTCGACTGATGATGATGCTGCTGCTGCTGCTTCTACACTTTTTTTCGGCTTATTTGCTTGCTTGCCATCATCTATTTGTTGTTGTTTTTTCGTTCATTGCAGATTTTATTTTTGTTGTTGTTATCATCATCACCATCGTCGTAGCCGTCGAAACTTTTTTTTCCAATTTTGTTTTTGTTTATTATTTTTCTTCAATCCTTCAATTGCACAAGTTTTGGATTTTTTTTTATATATCAAATTTTTTTTCTCCTGGTTAATTTTCAAAATTCCCTCTTTCTTTCCCTCTATAAAATTGTAGGTTCCAAGTTGGACAAAAACAAAAACAAAAATTTTCAACTAAAGAAAACTTACCCGTAGCAGATGACACGTTGATATTGTTGATAATGTTTTGATGGTTTTTAGTTTTACACGATGATATTTATTTAGGTTTTGTTGTAAAAAATAGATGATGATATTTGTCTAATTGAAAATACAAATTATAAAGTGATTTTTTATGTTTTATTTGATGTTCATTTCATGTTTTTTTTATCGAAATGATAATTAAAATATTTCATTCTTTAAACTCTAAGCTATTTGTCTAGCTAATTTGGAGTTATAGAATCGGATAGAATTCAAGAATAAACACACACACACACATCAGCAAAGAAGAAGAAAAAAATCGAACACAAATGATACACACACCGAAAATAATGATTGAATTGAAGCACCCAAACAATTCATGGACCGACCATTCATTGGAACACATATAGTGGATATCATCATTACCACCACCATCATCACAATCCTCTCATCAAATAAATGTTTTTACGCATGTGTATTTCGAATTTTTCCAATTCATTCGAATCGCAATGTGTGTTTTTAGTTTTGTTGCGCCGCTTCTTACTTGCTGATGATGATGTTGTATGAATTAACTCATGAATGAATGAATGAATGAAATGCCACCTAGCGGCTAATTCGTCTTTTTTTATTATTTTTCGTTACTGAAAATAAAAATAAAAAAAATATTGAAATATTTCTCAGCGATTGATCAAACAACATTCTTCTATCATTTCTCACTATAGTTTTTTTTGCGATTCATATTTTTCTCATGAACATGTCATGATCATATGTCTGTTTGTTTCATTATCGTTTTTTTTTCGTTGGCAATGAAGATACATGCGCGCCAATACTAACATTTAAGGCGCGATTCAATTATAATTTTTGTTTCTTGGTGATGATATAGTTGATGTTCAATGCGGCAAGAAATTGAGAAAAAGAATAAAATAAAAATTCATTCTGAAATTTATATGTGTTTTCGGCATGGCATGTAGAGGCCATTAGTTCAAAAAAACAACAAAAATCGAAATTCAACATTCAACGAAAAAAAAGTCCGCAAAACAACAACAAAAACGAAAAAAAACTCATCCATAACCCGAATCGAAATCATCGACCGAAACCGGAAAGAAAGAGTGAAAAAAGAGGTTCCAGAAAAAGGCCCAAATGTTCGACATTTCACAAGCATTGTGATCATCATTATAAACGACAACAAATAATCGATCTGAACTCTTTTTTCTTTTCGTCATTCTGACAAATGTTTTTTTATTAAAAAAACAATAATTCTCTATTTTTTTATCTAATTGCTATTTCAATTCTCGACAAAAAAATTTTCTTTTGATCATTCAAACAAATTTTTAACATTTTCTATATCGTCATCAACATGACTTTAAAGCGACCCTTCAATGATTTAAATGATGATAGCCATCATCAACAGAATAATCAGGAATCATCAATTTCGAAGACATTTGATTCACCATCTAAACGTAAACGTAATAATGTTCATTTATTACAACAATTTCCAGCCAATTTAGTCAAGATAAGTGAGTAGTTTGAATGATTTTTAATTTTCAAAAATTGACTTTTCATATTTCAACAATCTAGATCCATTCACATCAATGACTTCGCATATAAATGAAGCAAAATCTGTACAGATAATGGGCGCTTCGATTTGTCATCAATGTAAAATAAATCAGGTTATCAATACAAAAATGTGTGATTTTTGTGATCGTATATTATGCCATGATTGTCAACAATTATGTCGTAATTGTCATCGATATTTTTGTAGCCTTTGTTCAATTCGAACTTATGATTATTCAAATGAATGTCTAAACGTTGCTATCTGTTTCAATTGTAATCGTTAATTAAATAATTAACTTAATTTGATGATTAAATTTTTGTAAATAATAATGTTTAGAAAAGCTAGACAAATGCTTTATTTTTTCCAATTATTTAATCAAAATTAATCATTTTTCATTCAAATTTAGTATGGCCATTGAAGCAAGACTGAATGCCATTACCATACCAGTACGATAAATAATGTTAAATTCTATGAATGAAATTGCTAAAATATATCCGACAATCATGGCCATATAAAGTTTATTTGATTTTCGATTCCAATACCATAATAATGAACATAGACAGATATTTTGCACAAGATCAATATTTGCACCACAAGCATCTATTAAATGATGCCAATCAAATTGTAATGATCGTGCATTTAAGTAAAAATTGACCAAACGAGTAAATATTGATTCTGTTACAGTCCAACCAAGTGCTGTACCTATTTTTACAATGTTTAATAATTTAATTTGATTTTCAATTAACATTTTTACAAAATGATGATGATAGTAAGTACTTACTAAGAATTTTGACCGATGCAACCGAAGCTTTTTGATAATATACCATTGAATAGTAAAGGCCAATACAATCGATTAAATGTTCCCAAAATTCTGTTAGATTAACAAGACCGGCTATTATAAGCATCTTACTAATCTGTGTTAAAATGTAGGCTAATGCACCGGTTACAACACGCATCAAAGTTCCATATTCGGATCTGAAATTTTTTTAATTTACAATCTTAAAAATTGGAAATGTTCCATTGTTTCACATATATGACTTACATGACTGAAAATCGATATAAAATAACCGGTGGACCAAAAGTTAATAGTACACAATTTACAAAATGATATAATGTCATTGTAACGGGATAATTATTTAGATATATGAAAAAAAATTAATTCAAAATTTTTCGTATATGAAATCTGATAGAAAAATATCGATAAAATTTGAGCATCTGATAAATAACAAAAAAATTAAAGAATTTGATGGCATGTTATTAAAAAAAAAATTATCATCATTGAGTTTATGAGCATGACAAAATAGTAGTGGTATTTTTTATTTTTGAATTGACGCATGTGTGTTAATGTTTGAGGAAAAAAAACGGTTGAAAATAACCAAAACAACACCGCTGGCCTCATTAATTTTATTTGTTGTTGAACAAATTTTTTTTTTCAAAACACATCTTATGTTATGAATTTTTCTCTCACAAAAAATTTTGTTTCAAAGAAAATAATAATTAAAATTTTCCTTGTTTATCATCAAATTTTGTACATTCAAATGTTTCGATGGACGATATAATAAACGATCGAAATCAAAATGACATCATCACCATTAGCATTACACATATCGATTCCTAATAAATCGGTTATCGTTCGCAATAATCATTTTCAACGTTCTATCGATGAAATGATTAATGAGAAAAAATCCGAAAATGAAGAAGAAAAAGATGAGATTAAAATCGAAACACAAGATGAAAATTCACCAATACAGAATTCATCATCGAGCACCAGAAATCTTACGAAAAAGCCAAAACGTCGTCGAAGATTGTTTTCAGCAACCAAAACAAGACGATCATCGAATAGAACTAAAACTAATTTGAATAAAATTGAAAATGAAAATGATGAATCCGAAAAAATTCTCAAAAATAATGATGATGACAATTTGGATACAAAAACTATTAATGGTGATGATAAAAATGTTGATGTAAAACGAAACAACAACCACCGACAACAAAAACAACAACCGAATGGTGTTGATAAACAACAAATAAAGAAATGTGATAATATTTCAAAGCAAAAATCATCACATAGGATGACTAAACGACAACCAACTACAATTACCACTTCTAATAATGTGATTACGAATTATTTTCCGGTCATTTCTCGACGATTATTGGCCGCTAAACTTAAAGAAGAAGAATATAATCAACGTATTATTGAATGTATTGTAAAACAAACCGATCCATTCGACTATTTAGCCATTACTGAATTTCAATCAAAAGGAAAAGCAATCATTGCAAAAGAACCGATACGAAAAGGTTCATTTATCTGTGAATATAGTGGTGATTTGATTGATCTAGATTCAGCCAAGGTTAGTCAATCATTTAATAATGGTGAAATAGCATTGATATGATTTTTTTTTTTGAATTTTGTCATTTAGAAACGTGAACTTGAATACGAACAAAATCAAGCCGGTTGTTATATGTATTATTTTAATTGGAATTCAACAATCTGGTGTGTAGATGCTACCAAACCGACTGATCGTTTAGGTCGATTAATCAATCATTCAAGAAAAGCGCCTAATTGTAAAACAAAAATTTTTGAATATAAACAACGACCACATTTGATATTTATTGCATTACGTGATATTAATCAAGATGAAGAAATTCTTTATGATTATGGTGAACGTGATCCAATGGCAATCAAATCACATCCATGGTTGACGGCTACATAACGGAAAACAAAACCGAATTTTTTTTTTTGTTTATTTGTATATATACAATGTGTATTAACTTTGATCATTATATCGTTTTTCACATTTAATTTTACTCGAACAAATTTATTTTTGTCTCCATTATTATTATACTAATCCACCGTATTCCACAATGTTTGCATACCCACACACAAACAATCATTTAATTATCTGTAATCATCATCACTAACATCAATGATGGTCAACAGTATTAAGAAAAAAAACTTCCACTTTCACCCTAAAATAATACTGGCAAAGAAAATACTGAAAACTTTTTGCTACACAATTTATTTTGAAATCTATTTTTATTATTATTATTATTTTTCATTCGAAACTTTATATTCATTTCATTCGGATTTATCGGTATTAATAACAATAAATGATTATAAAATACTACTAATATTTTCAACCAGTTTAAAGAGAGAAAGTGAGAAAATAATTCTGAAACAAAAATTTGCATTTTTATTCAATTTCAACAACAGCGCCTAAAAATAAAAACATTCGATGTGTGTTTGTGCATACATTATAAAGATAACGGAATTTGATATTGAGAAAGACCAGTTGTCCGTTCACGAGATGTTTTTAATTTTTATCAAATTTTGTTGTTGTTGTTGAATATTGAAATTCCGGTGTACGTGTTTGGCCATTTGAATGTGAAATCTATTTTTATATATGAAAATGTGTGAATCGAGATCATGTGAATGAAATGGTTTCTGGTTGTTTTTGCCATGGCTTAATATTATCAAAAAAAAAATATCTGCACCGAGAATATTATTTTTATTTTTTGTTTAAATGAAAAAATTTGGTTCGTATGCTGTTGATGAAAATACACCTAAACAATTTTTTATTATATCAAAGATTGACATATATGATACCGATAATAGGTGTGGATGTTTGTAACGTGGGCGAGCAACGGAAGAAAAAGATAACGGCGAATCCAAAAAAGAAAATGACATTTACATTTATAATAAGATATTTTCTTGAAAATTCTTTAAAATGAACACACACACACACATCATTAACCATTTTTTTTCAGGATGTTTTCATTTTTTTTTCTGAAAGATTATTATTTTTCTTTTGTCAAATCAATTCATATGAATGAATGACATTTGTATATGCAGTTAATTCAAATTTATGCATCCAATGTTTTTCCGGAAGAAAATGAATTAATTTGGGTTTCATTTTTTTGTCGGGTAAATTTAGTTAATAATGTTTACTTTATCCTGATGATACAACAACAACAACAATATATTTATTTATATCATTATTCTGATTAGGATAATGTTAATAGGATATACGGTTAATATAAAATAACCGAATGATGATGATGATTTATTAAGAATCAATCCAGTATTGTAAATGTACGAAAAGGAATTCATTCATTCAGTTTTTTCTCACTTCAATCACACAACATCAAAAAGTTAATATATAAAGTTAATAAGTGAATTTGCCTATTTTATTCGACAAAAAAAAAGAAAAAGAAAAAAAGACAAGTATATAGCAATGCAAACGATAAAATTGGGAGAGAGAAGAAAAATGTTTGTTTTTTTTCATCATCATCATCAATATTATAATTTGTTGTTATTCTGTTTTGTTTGTTTGTTTGATATTACAAGACAAGACAATTCGATTATTAATGTTATTTCAATGGAATTTTTTCAATTTGGGAATCTTTGAATTCGATGAATTCGACCGAATAAAAGAGAGTGAGAGAGAGAGAGAGACTTATTCATTTTTTTTTCTTCATTTATGATTTTTGTTTTTGTTTGTTTCCGCTTATCGTAATGAGAATAATGATGATGATGATGACAGTGATGAATTTGGTTGGAATTTTTGTAACGAGCGAGCGAAAGAAAAAATTGATGTTAAGGTAGGAAAAAATTTTTTTGTTTGTAATAATGCAATTTGGACTTTTTTTTTATATATGTGTGTTAGAAGTTTGGTGTGTGTGTGTGTGTGTTGATAAAAGAAAAATTGTAATTTTTTTTTCGTAGTTTGGTGGAAATCAACTTTACTTGTTTGTTTGGGTGTATGTGATGTTAAATTGTGTTTTTTTTTATATTGAAAATTCTTGCTAACAATTTTTTTAATTTTGTTTGTTGAAAATTTTCAACAGGAAAAAAAATGAATGAAATTTTTATTTTTTAACAATTACAATTCTGATTCTGTGGCATAGGATTTTCGGCCAAACGTGTACCTTTCGATGCATTCATAACATTTGGATCAGAATCCAAACTTTCGCTCATTTTATCGCATATAATATCGACTAAACGTTCAAATACAGCTTTAACATTAATATTTTCTTTGGCTGATGTTTCAAAAAATTCTAAACCTAATTGATCGGCTAATTGTTTACCACGTTCATATGAAACGACACGTTCATCTTCCATGTCGCATTTATTGCCCACCAATATTACTTGTGCATTATCCCATGAATATGTTTTTATCTGTGTTACCCTATTATATGATCAAAATATACAAAACATAATTAATTGATTAATCAATCGAAATTGAAAAGGTAAATGAATGAATGAATGAATGAATAGTTTGACAATACTAACCAATCTTGTACTGAATTAAATGATTCTTCATTAGTTACATCATACATTAATATGAATCCCATTGCACCACGATAATAGGCAGTAGTTATTGTACGATAACGTTCTTGACCGGCCGTATCCCATATTTGTAATTTAACACGTTTATCTTGACGAAAAACTGTTTTTACTTTAAAATCTATTCCAACTGTACTGACAAATGCCGATGTAAATGAATCATCAGCATAACGAAATAGGAATGATGTTTTACCAACACTACTATTTCCTATGATCAAAATTTTGAACATATAATCGAAATTTTGATCGACCGTATCTTTTTGCCATTTTTGATCCTGATTCATGATATTATTATTATTATTATTTTTGTTTTCTGTAATCAATTTAAAAAAAATCATTAATGACGTAAATGAAAATCAATAAATGTTTAACACTTACTTTTTTTTAGCTCTTCAAAAGCATTCAATGCTTGTTATTTTTTTTTGTTAGTTAAAAATAAATTAAAAATTTGGAATATTTTTATATTTTCAGTGAACAACAACAACAGAAAAAAAACAACAAAAAATCACGATTTTCTATCCCCCAAAAAAATTTGATAAAGTGATAATTAATGATGATGAAAATTTCCAAATCAATCGGATGAATATGATGAAATAAGAGTGATGAAAACTTTTTTCATTGAAGCCTAAAACTTTTTGGTCGTTTCGTTTAGCTAGTTTATTTGACGACAAGCTAGTTAATAATTACGAACATTTATATCAAAATGTTATTCGTGGTTATTAATTGATGAAATCGATAAGTTTGTTGTTGTTGATGATGATGATGATGATGATGATGTTTAATTATTTCAAATATTGATTAGAATAGAACCACAAATCAAGAGTTCAAAAACAAAAAACAAGAACTAAGCTCCCAAAAAACCGAAAACAACAATATCTATTGATTCCCAAAGATTATTACATAAACCAATAACCAAAACACAAACAAAACCGTTCCAAACAAACAAACACACACCCGAACCACACACACACAAAAGTTATTTGTTTGTCGTCAAATATTTCAAACACTGGACACACAAACACACAATTTGGAATTGCTCTAATTAACTTGAATAAATTTCTTAGTGATTAACGCAAGTATCGATTGTTATTATTAATATGGTTTGATAACAAAAAAAAATATGATGAATATTAGGAATCAATCAATAGTGAAGAGTGAAATGAGAACAGTAAAATTTTCAGTGAATATGATCATCAGAATCGTTTTGATTTATAAAAATTGATAAAACGTTTTTGGGATTGAAATGAACTGGTTCCAAAAACTTGAACATTAGTCAACAACAACAACAAAAGAGAGAGAGAGAGAATAAAGTAGTTTTTTTTGCTTCTTTTTTTCTGGTTGGAATGAAGAATGAATGACTTATGATGATGATGATGATGATGATGATGAGAATATTCTTCTTCAATGCACAAACAAACAAACGAAAAAAAAGGAGAAGAGGTGTGTTTGTATGGTATGTATCCAGAATATAACGTCAGAATTGAGCTTCAACAAAAAAAAAAAAAAAAATCCGCGTATAGTTTCGATTTCAAAGCAGCTAGTTTTTATTATTATTTGGTAGGTCGTTGAGAGTTTGAATCACAAGAATGATTTGTCGTCGTCGTNAAGAGGTGGGTTTGTATGGTATGTATCCAGAAAATAACGTCAGAATTGAGCTTCAAAAAAAAAAAAAAAAAAATCCGCGTATAGTTTCGATTTCAAAGCAGCTAGTTATTATTATTATTTGGTAGGTCGTTGAGAGTTTGAATCACAAGAATGATTTGTCGTCGTCGTTGTCGTTTCAAAATACCACTATTACTTGGTTCTATATATACGATTGGAATATTGGAAAAAAATTATGTTCTTTTGGCCCAATTTTTTTCCCTGAACGAATACACTGAATTTGGAACACTAAACAGCAGCAGCTGCTAAAAACGATTTTAGGTTATTCTTTCTTTTTTTGTTTTGTTTTGTTTGTCGTCGTCTTTTTATCTTGTTTGTCGGTAAATACAGACGCCGATATTATACAGAACAAGAGAATAGTGTAACAACTCTATATATGGTAGAATTAAAATTTTCATATATTATATAGACAGGATAGATAGATAAATGGAATGGACACCCAATTTCTTCGATTATGGATAGATGATATGTATGTGGAAGGAATTTTGAAAATCGAAAAAAATTTTCTTTTCTTTTTTTTTGTCGTTGGGAATGTCAAGATCAGATGTTGAGAGTCGACTCTTGTTGTAAAGAAGCTTAAGATTCTAAATTTGATTTGAACTTTAACTTTTCAATTTAAAACAATTTGATTATCTGATGAACGAAAGATGAATTTAAATTTAGAACCAGAAAAAAAGGTGCCGGTGAAAAAATAAAATAAAATAATTCAATTTTAAACAAATTTGAAAACAAAAACCCAAAAAAAAAACTAATTTGTTTAAAACGAAATTTGTAAAATTGAAATAATCGATAAATTATTTGGTTTTGGTATCGTATAAACATACACAACAAACAAATTGTTTTCTTTCTTGTATAGAAAACGTCACCATTATTTTTCTCCGAATAGATTATATATTATGGCTGATATGTACATCCTTTTTTTCCCTACAATATTCCACACACACACACACACACACAGACACATTTCCTATTCATATGGATCTGTTGTTGTTATTATTTTGCTGGTAGCATTGACAAACAAACACACTAATTGATATAGTATTTATTCAAGGTCTACACGATTTGAATAAAAAAATAGATAAATAATTTTTATCATATAAAATTATCCATCCCTTATTCATATTTGCTGTTGTTGTTGTATATTCCGGATACATTAAAATTTTTTTTTTGGTTGTGCGTTTTTTTATTATTCTTGTGTGTGTCAAGAATTATGATGGAATATTTCATGTATAATAATGACAATGATAATGATGATGATGATGATGATGGTAAATAAATGGCAGTGGACATTTAATATTGATGATCTATGATAGAAAAGAATTCATTCCATTAGCATTGTTTTCGATGCAGACGAACCTAGTTTTTTTCGTTTTTTCGTTTTGTTTATTCTTGATCACGATGATGACGTAATATTTTCTATTAATTTTTTGTTTGTTTGTTTGTTTTTTCGATTGCATGCGAATGGAAACGAAAATCAAGATCGAATATTATTATTTTGGTGGTTTGCCATTATTTTTTTTTTGGTTTTCGATTTCAAATAGTGTTTTGGGCATTCATTCATTCATTCATTTTTTCCTGCTATTTGTTTGTTGTTTCATTGATTAATTGGCTATAGGTTGAATATTGTTTTCAACAAATAATAATGAAGATGAAATTCTATACCTGATCAGTTTGGTTGCCTGGTATTCAGGTATGCAGGTAGGTTTGTGTTTGTGTTTGTGTGTGTGTGCGTGTGTATTGTATTGGTATGTTTATGCAGGTAATAAATACTTTGTCTATATCAATGTAATTATTCGATATCGTTGTTGTTGTTGTTTCTAATAATAATAATATTTTGTAAATAACAACAATCATATTTTAATATAGTTTTTCAAGATAAAGTTTTTTACATTCAGTTTATTCATCATTTTTTTGGAAACAACGTGAGCTTGCATAAGGAATCAATATAAATGTTAGTGTATATGATGTAAGAGTAGATTTTTTGTAGTAATAATAAGCTTCGTTTGATCCGATCAGGAAGGAAATTTTTTTCTTTGGCATTTTTTCTTTCATACAGATAGTTTCGAAATATTATTAATTAATTTGATAGAAAAATTGGCTGACGGTTTTTTTTCTGTTATTGACCAATTTGTGTATTTTCTTTTTGGAATTTAATTAATAATGAACATGATCAATAAAATCAAATATAATTCAAAATCACTATTCAAACATAATTATGTTGTTGTTTGTGTGGCAATAGTTACGACTATTTTCAAACAAATCGAAATGAAAAAACAAATACAAGAATTGAATTGGAAAATTTTATTTGACATGAAAAAAAATCAAGGTTTCATTCATTAATAATAAAGACCAAGATGAACAAGTTGAGCTTTCGATTCCAGTTCATATAATTGTTGTACATTAGTGGCCATTTGTGCGACATGATCTTTATAGGTATAACCACCAGCATTGGATGCTTGTTTAGCTCCATACATTACTTTTCCATCAAATTCATTTACTTCTAATTTAAAATCTAAACCAATTTCCGATATTATACAATTTAAATGTTCTTCAATATCGGCCAATAATTGAATTTCGTTATACCATATACAACATCCACCATGATCAACTAATTCGGTGTTCCAGCAATTTTTGCCACGTGAACGACAATTTGCATGAAACCATACTTTTTCTGGTACATTCGAAACAAAACTAATAGCTAAACCCATTCGTTCTGCACGGCCTACGCGACCGATTCGATGTAGATAATTAGCTTTATCATCCGGAAGTGTAACTTGTAATAGATATGGTACACCGGTAATATCGATACCACGAGCTGCAACATCCGTACAAATTAAAAATTTACAATTTTTTGTTTTAAATGTTTCAAGATTAGCTTGTCGTTCTTGTGGCGTACGATCACCATGTAGACAAACACATGAATAATCCTTATGAAGTTTAGTGGATAGATGATTGAAATATGCTTCAAGATTATCGCAATCAAGTTTTGTTCGACAAAAAACAATAGCACAATCAATCTGTAATGCATCGATAGCTTTGATAACATAGTCGGCTAGACATTGTTTGAATTAAAATAATTGGGAAAATTCATTAATTTCTCAATTTCGAAATTCATCAAAAGAATTACCTTTTAAAATTTTGACCGCTTCACTCAACGTTTCTTTATCCGGATTATTATAATTTCGAATATCATTCTGATGAACACCATCAGTTGTGATTGTGTTTGGTAGATTCATCCATGAAGTATCTTTACGTGGATCAACACGTAAGATAACATGATGTACGGTATCCGGTACGGAATCTTCACCCTTAAGATCGACCCAATTCGGAAAAAACATAACTCGTTCGGCTAATTTTTTCACATCAAAGTTATGTAAGGTAGCTGAACAAACAATCATTTGCAGACGTTTACCATCAGGAAACATTCGTGGTATACGGCCATGTAATTGAAGTATGGTTTGCATATTTCCTTGTGCTAGAAATGCATCCACTTCATCGATGATGAAGAAACGACATGATTGTAATGATAAATGACCAGAATTGACCAATTCATTTATTCTTCCTATTGTACCAGTAACAATATCGATACCAGCTTGTAATTGATACATTTGATCTTTGGCACTAAGACCGCCAACTAAAAGACATTGACGAATTTCACCGGAAAGATATTTTTTAAAATTAGCAATACAATTATGAGTTTGTTCAGCCAGTTCACGACTTGGTTCCAGAATTATAGCTTTTGGGCTATTTTCATTCGTCGAACTATTAGCTGAAAAATTATTATTCACAATTTGATCCGATTCTAATTGGCCAATCCATGTACAACTAAACGGAGCATTTTGATCACTATGAAATGTAGCTTTTAGTCCGGCATTTTTAATACAAACACAAGGGAAAAAACAATTCTGTTCACAAAGATTTTGAGGAATCTGAAAAGCGACACCTAAATCTTGGCCATTTTTAGTCCATGAAATTGTACAATAATCCAGATCGATTATATTTCCAATAACATCGAATTTATCACCAAATTTTTCTCCATAATCTTCAAAATTTCGTGAATTACTTTTTTTGGCAGTACCACCGTAACCCCAACTAAAACGATCAGTACCAAGTTCACGAGAAGCATTATCTAATGCCCAACCAACTCGAGCCAATCCCGATGAAGTAAATTCCACTTCATAATAGAATCGATTCTTTTTTCCTCTACACTGATAATTGTAAGGAAAAATTTTCAAGACTGTAATGAATGAGAATGGAATTTTAACTTACCTTTTTAACCGCTTTATTTGCTCGTACACCTTGCCATTGATTTGATACTTTGCTTTGTGCCGAAAGTAGATCGGCTGCCAACGATAGATTAGGATCAATGTCATATGGACTGAATAGACATTTATCCGATACTTGAGATTTATTTGATTTTGATTTTGAATTTAATGTTTCCCATACAATCTGAATTACAGGCAGACAAAAAGCACCGGTTTTACCGGATCCTGTTTCGGCTGCCATCAAAACATCGCCACCGCCAAGTATCAATGGAATAGCTTCAGCCTGAATGTTGGTCGGTAAAAGCCAATCCATTTCTTCCAAAGCTTTACCGATCTCTGGCATGATGCCCATTTCTTCAAAGGCGGTCATTTTTTCGATTAATTTCAAATTAACCAAGAAAAAAATCAATGAAAATGATTAATTTGAAAAAATAACTCAAACACGCGAGAATATTGTGCAAAATTAAAATCAACAATCCATTCGAAAAGTACGTAAATATTTAAAATGAATAATGCTTGATGAAAAAATGATCTTTATTTATTTAAAAATTAATAAAATTGAAAATTAACTGTTCTTAAAAATAGAAATATTATTCATGGTTTGGTAACATTTAATTCCGGTGGAACAATATTTTGAAACGAAAATCCACCCGAAGCCATGATCGTATAACGGCGACGACATTTACGTGATGATTTATCGAAAAATTTTGAACAAATTTCTGAAAGTCCACGTATTTGTTCGAAAAGTGAATTGAATTCACTTGGATCGCAAATGAAATTGATACTGGAAATCAGACAATGTAGATATGTTGATCGAAATTCGCAGCAAACCTGTTGAGCACTGGCAATAGATTCAACATCATTAACAACTTCTTCGTCGATCGTTGTCAGATCATAACGAAGACGACTTCTTTGATAAAATTTTGCCATACAAAGATCATTAATATCTGTTTTATATTGTTGACATTTATCATTGCTCGAGATATTCGCATTTCGTAGAATTTCGAGCATTACCTGTTTTATCGTCAATTTTTTTGCTGTCGGTGTTTTCTCCGTTGAAAGCTCATCATCATCAGCATAGAATAGATTAGCATTATTTTCATCATCAATATCGATAACATCTAAATCATATGGTTTTTGTTTCAATTTTAATGAATCACATAAATTATTGCCAATCAAAATGGCCAAGCAAATTATCGTAAAAGCATGATGATTCGAAGCCATGATTCGTTCAATGAATTTTATCTATTAATCTGCTATTTATATATATTAAATAGGAAGTTATTAAAGGAAATGGATTGACCGATGAATCAATGACCGATGAGAAAATTTTGTTGTACAACATCATCGAAAACGCAATTTGTATTTTGATCATTTTTTCGAAATTTTTTTTTAGCGAAAAAAGAAAAATTTACAGGAAATCCGTTTTGAACTGGAAATTTTTCCTGCAAATTGTAAAACGATTTTGTTCGAAAAATTCGATTCGAATGAACATTCGATACAGAAAAAAATGGAATCTTCACAGGTAAATAATTATTAAGATTTTTTTTACTTATTTGATTTTTATAACAATTTATTCAATTATAGGAGAAAAACCAATCAAATATGAATAATGATGATTTAAAATCATATTTTTGTAAACTCACGGGCTACACACTATCGACCATTTTATATGTTAGAAATTTTTTCACTGAAAATTCTTACTGGCCATTGGATTTTGGTCCAATACGATTGCGTATTCTTAAAAAAAGTTCTAACGAAGCTGTTGAAAATTTGATAAACTACATGAACAATTGTTTTCAGCCATTGAAGCGTCAATATCTAAAAACATTGATCATGGAAATTCATGATTCATTCGATGCGATAGAAAGTTATGAACTCAATTATGATTATTCACTGTAATGACTGATTACTTGATTGACTTTTAATAATATTTTTCTCATACTTTCTAGTCAACTAAATGATGATCATCTTGGATTTCCTCGGAAAAACGATATAGATTTGATGTTGAATTTACTCGATACACTTGAACATATGAAATCGATTCCGAAAAACAGACATTATCATGTTGTTTTTAAATTGTATTACAATGATACTGCTCCTTTGGATTATGAACCATTTGGATTTGTACCACATAAATCGAAAAACAACGAAACTTTGAATATTATCCACAATATCACTACTCGTGAACAACTTTTTTCAATTCAAATCAAATCTCGTGAAGAGAATTCTAAAGATCCTGATTATGATCACCAAGAGTCGAACAGACGATTTCAACAATTATATCGGAATAGTTAAAAAATCTCATTGATGAATGGTATCTCACAAATCAAAACACAAACAAATGCTTATCACGTGATTGGTATCACGTTTTTTCATTTTTTTAATTTTTTCCCAATAAATTCAGAATTAATTATTCAATTAAAAAATGCCTTTAATTGTGATATGTGGAAAACCTTTGACAGGAAAATCGACAACTGCAAAAACATTAGAATCATTTTTTGGTGAAAAATGTTGTTTAGTAGTTGTTAGTGATGAAGAGAAATTATGCGATCAAGGATTGGAAACAATTTATCGTAATGCCCAGAAAGAAAAAGATCTACGTTCTTGGCTTAAATCCGAAGTTCAACGTCATCTTAGTTCACCAGAAACGCTAGTAATCTTAGATTCAACTAATTACATTAAAGGTTTTCGTTATGAACTGTATTGTCTTAGTAAACAATTCCAACATACATTCGCACTAATTGAATGTTTACCACCAATGGCAAAATTGGATGAATATGAACAATTTATTAATGAACATTTCAACCAAACACTCACTACTATCGAACAGAACAGTCCGATTCGGTGTTATACCAAAGAGATATTCAATGAATTATGTCAACGTTATGAGCCACCTACATCTTCGAATCGTTGGGAAGAACCTTTGTTTCGGATTGAATTCAAAGCTCAACAATTACCATTGGATGAAATAAACCAAGCACTTTTTCAACGTACAAAATTAAAACCCAATCGAAGTACACAATCAATGCCGATGACCACCGATAATTTTATAATGGAATTGGATAATCAAACACAGTTGGTAGTGAAACAAATTCAAACGGCATTACAATTGAATCAGCTACGAGAAATACGAATCACCGGCACAGATGTAACGGTGAATCTAAATCGAAAGATTCCTATAGCCGAAATGAACCGATTCCGGCGACAATTTATTAATTATGCCAAATTGAATCCATTCAATGATAAAGATCGTATTATAACAGCATTTGTACAGTTTATAAACAATAGTTCAAATATCTAATCAAATAAAAATTTTTAAAAAATATAAACAAAATTCTTATCGAACAGATTGATTATTGCGTTTTTCAAGTGTTTTAAAATATTCTGGATCAAGTAGATCGGCCAGATGAAAATCCTTACAATGGAAAGCATCTAATGAATTATATGCTTGTAATAATAATTTTTTAAATTCAACGCCGCTAACATTTTTACAAATATTCAATGTAGGTTCCATCGGATTTTCAATGTAAAGTGGTGAAAAATCGGGTTTTGTAAATGATTTTCCTGTTTGTATTGATATGGCTACGAATGAAAAAAAATGATAATGTTAAATTTTAAACAAGCAACAAAATAAAAATTTTTAAAATTTACCTTCTTTTTCGAAATCGAATGAAATTAAAAATTCAAAAAACGAGTAGATCATCTTCATTGTATTCATAACGTTTGTAATGGACTGTTGTTGTTCATTATCGTCAATATTGACGATCGGTTTAAGAATTTGTTCCTTCTGAAGGAAATAGATGGCCAATGCAAGTATTTGAAAATTTGAAAACCAATTACCCGGAATAGATTTGACAACACCTTAACAAATATAAAAAGTAAACTGATAAGTCAATTTATACCTAAACAATTGTTTTACCATGTTGTTTTGACCAATATTTGAGAAAAAGTAAAAATTGTTTAATGTTTACATGTTGTGAAACACAGTAATGAAGATAATCAGCCATTAAAAGGCCATGATGACCAGTTTCGGTAGATAATTCAATTGAAATATCGATATCGATTGGTGCCAAATCAAAACTCATTTTAACTATTGGTATTCTAGCTCTTAGAATTCGATTCACCTTTGATATATTTGGCATAAAATTACGAATAATATCGGCAATAAGTGATAAACATTGTTGTGTTTGATCACGTTCAGATTTCAATTCAGGCATCGCAAAATTTATGTCCCTATTTTTTCGCCATTGATGAACATGTAATAGAGCTAAATCTAAATCACTGGTTGAATCACCTAAGCCAATCAATGATGAACCAAATGGATAGATATTAAAATCAGAAAAAACACTCTGACAAATAATATCTTCCAATTGTGTGATCAGAAAATATCTAAGCAGTTCGTCTAATTCATTTAGAGAATTCATTTCGGTCAGATGAATAATTAATTGTTCATTAGTTGGAAATCTTTCCTTTAGATCCGAACAACTTAATGATTTTTTGACATTTATTCCAAGCTCATATGGTGATTGTGATGATTCATGATGGTCGATAGCAGGAAAATTTGTTTCAATCATTCGAGTTCGAATGGGCAATGCATGCAAATTATAACCACAATTCGATTGAATTTTCATTACATCATCAATTTTATTTAATTGGATTAAGGCGAAATTTCTTCTTCTATAATTCCATGTCCAAAAATTATCGATTTTAACATTAAAACATTCGCGTAAAGAATGGCCATTTATCGATGAATTTTTTGCCGACAAATTTTCTACCAAAATCAATTTTTTGCTATCATTTTTATTTGTTTTGATTATATCTTTGAAACTAATTCTATTTGTAAATTCACGTCTTGAATTATTATGTAGTATTAAACGAGAAATAATATTTGATCTTCTTAATTGCATTTTGCTGAATAAATTTCACACAAGAATCTCATCATCGATGAAATTCATATGATATTTGAAAGCATGCTTTAAATTACACATCATTCATAAATATTGTTTTTTTTTTGAATTTGGATGCCAAACATCGTAATTATTTTTCTAATTAAGAAATTTTTGGATTGTCGATATTTAGAAAGTCTGATAGCTTTTTACTTTCATTAATTTTCAAAGTCAAAAATGGATTTTTTTAAAATTCATTTTGTGTGTGAACAGAAAATTTAATAAATTTCATAGGATGTTGGTTTTCTTGAAAGAAAATCTTACATTTGTTGATGAATTTCGGATTTTTTTTATCAATTTGATAAGCTGATTTTTTTTCTCGTACGATATTGTAATCAAATCGAAATGAATATAAAGCACAATAAGTATCACATGTATCCGATAATTAAATTGTTTTTCGCGTTTTTTTTAAATGAATAAATAAATTGTATTAAGCTGAAAATGATGGTGAAAATAATTTTATTTCATGTCCATTTAACTCTTCTATTCATCACCAATTTAGTGATGAGCATTATACAATGGTTAAACTACATGATTTTATCTAAAATAAATCGTAAACTACAATTACGAATCAATTTTCTTATGCAAGAATTAATATTTTCTCGTAAGTAAAAATTGTTTGATTTTTTTTGGAGAAAAAAACATTGTCATCTTTTATTGTGAGTGTTTGTATAGAATTTGTTGTTTGTCTTGATTGGTTTTGTCAAACTCGTTTACGACTATTTTTTAAAGATCGAAAATCATTCGATAATTATGGTAAAAAGCCGGCATTATTGATTTCCAATCATCGTTATCCGATTGATGTTTTGTTCTTCATCGTATTTGTTCGAATATTTGGACCATTAGGAGCGATTAGATCTTTTGTTAAATATGAATTAATTAATGTACCGATTTACGGTTGGGCATTTTACTTTAGTGAATTCATCTTTCTCAAACGAGATTGGCAACAAGACCAAAAAACGATTACAGAATCGTTGAAAAATATAGGCAATTCGATTGCATCGATTGCTTTATTTTTTGCTCCCGAAGGAACACGATTTACTCAAAGAAAATTGGAAGCAGGTATCGATTATGCCAAGGAAAACAATTTGCCTATATTCAAACATCATTTGATTCCTCGTACCAAAGGATTTAATTATATTCTACGATATATACGTCAGAATTGTGAGAAGAAAAATTTTTTTATTTGCTATGATTTAAATTGCTGAAATTTTTTGTTAATTTAGATTCGAACGATGAATTTAACATCTATAATGTGGAATTAATTCAAAAGCAAGATTCTGCAGATTTAGATTGGAAAAATTTCCTACTTGGTCGAAAATTTTCGGTGGATTTTTACATAGAACAGATTCATTCAGATCAATTACCAGAACCGGATGCAAAGGATAGCAAATATTCAGAAACTTTGTATGAAATATTCGCAAAAAAAGTAAATACATTGAACATTGGAATGATTATTTAAAGAAAAAAAAATTTTATCTCATAGGATCAGGTTGTTGAACAACATCGAACACATTCATTCATACCGGATTGTGAAATGGTCATTGATAATCAAAGATCCGTATTGCTATTGTTACGTTGTATGATCATGAATTTTGTCATTGGTGGAAGCATTGTTTACTATCTATTGTATTATTTAACATTTGCATTCCATAATTGGATTATACGTCTAATTTTCCTGTTGATCGGCATCATAGGTAATTTTTAAAAAAATAATACAAATTTTTTCATAAGATACTTTTATTTATTTTTTTTACACAGTAATTTTCACCCTTTATAAGATATTCAAAAGTGCCAAAATTTCAAACTATGGCGAAAAGAAAACCAAAAAAATGCATTAATCCAAAGAAAAAAATATTCGTAATTATTTAAATCAAAAAATATAGATGATTATAACTGTTGCTTCTTTTAAATTAGAAAAAATTATATTAATATGAAATTTCTGTAGAAAATTTTATAATCATGATTCGCTTTGATTATCATTATTATTGTCGGCTACTATATCATTATTAACTTCGATACTTGGTTCTGGTTCTTGTTGCGTTGATGGTTGTGGAAAAATCGGAAAAAGATCGACATCAATCGGTGCTGGAACCCAAGTTTTAAGATTACTTTCTTCGAATGTAGCAAATAATGCTATTTTAGCTTGATGATATGTACGTGCAATATGCTTCAAAAAATGATAATCTTTATTCGCACAATTAGAAATCGATAAAGTTTCAACGTTTACATCATCAGATGTATCGGTTAAATGTATTTCCTTGCTAATATCTGGATAATTAGAGATTAGATTCAGAAATCTTTCCAACAATTTTCGTTTTGATAAACGTGAAATTTCATCGTTGAAATAGTTTGTCCCCGTTTCACAGCGAATAATCTCTATATCTCCGAATATTTGTTCAGATGATTTTTGTTCAATAGGATTGTACCAATTGTGAGAATAAGATGGAATGAATGAAAACTTTGAAAAAAAACATGATTAGATTAAATAATTGAAATATAAAGATTTCTTACCTTCGGATCTTTGAAAGTTGATGATTTATCATTGAATCCAACTTTACATTCATTGATTCGGTAACCTGTTAAATTTTCAAGTTTGCTGTTTAATTTTTCTTTATCAATTCTTCCATGCAAAGCACGGACAAGATGAGTATAACGAAATAGATTTGAAACGACTAAACTTTCAATATAAAGTGGTTCTAAAACTAAACTTAACAATGATCCTTGAACACCGACAACATTCCATAGGGCCAATTTATCTGAACAAGACATGAATGTACAACGTTGGTAGGACAAAAGAATACCATCCCAGGTAGCCATATAATTTGATGGCATTGGAACAGTGCCTTGTCCCTTTTCAATTTTACATCGCAATACTCCTTTAGGTGTACGAATATTTTTGATGTTCTCCTGAAAAAAATGACAAACATTAGAAATAATGAAAAACTAAAAAAACACAATAATTACATTGAAATTAAATACTCGAGCATCACCACACGGAGGTGATGTTATAAATAAATGTAATTTAAGATGACTTTTAAGTCGAAAACGTTTTCCACTTGAATCAGCAGGTTCAAGAATAAACACCGGTTTATCTAATTGATAAAAAAAATGACATGAACTTTCTTATTTAATTTTCACACAAATTACCATTTAAATTGTTGGCTAATAGACTTTCCAATTGATCATATAAAATATGTATTAAACTTCGACGAGCTATCACTTCAGCATGTGAATCCTGTACAACATTACCATCAAGAGATAGATGTTCACTTGATAAACATTTAGTTCCAGTTCCTAAACATAAAACTTGAATACTTTTATCGATATCCGAGACCAAGACAAAGCTTGCTAATTCTTTGTATCGCCATAAATCCTGCTCAACAAAATTAAGTCTAGCACGTTCATCGCAGATTAATTTATCAATCAATTTGTTCAGATTGATTGGATTGATTGTTTCGGATAATTTCTCAAACACTTTTTCACAGATAAGCTTTGAAAGATCTGCATCTTGCATAAATTTCAATGAATAAGACGTGGGTTTAACTTTTTCATCGACATCGGTTAATTTTCCATCATCATTTGATTGCGAATTTTCTGAATCTTGTTTTGGAATGAATTCTATTTGGGGTTGAGAAATCTCTTCAGAAGTCATTTCAACATCTGTTTGATTTTGTTGACTATATTCGACGAATTTTCCAATAGTAGAATCACCGGTTTTGTTTCTTTTATTTTTTCGTTTACTTTTACTTTTACTTTCGGATAATGGCAAAAATCGAGTTAAAAAACCAATGGCATTTTGAGCTGCTTTTTGTTTCGATTCTTGTTTACTTTTAGCTTCACCAATAAAACTACCAATATTTTCAATCGTTATACATGTTAGATGTGTGGGTTCATGGGCTAAACCATGAGAACCTTTATCAATGATTCTGACAGTATTGTTAGTACCGGGAAAAAGTTCATGAAGAACTTGGACAGGAGATTTGTCTAGAGAAAAAACTAAATCAAAGATGAAATCATTAAATGAGCTACAATCAGATTAAAAACATATCCATTTACTTGTTTTCAATCGGGAAGCGATTTCACCGATTTCTTGTTGGCTTATTTTCATATTAATATCTTCTATTTCATTGTTACTTGAAAACATTTCCAACATTTTTCGTTTATTTTCATTTTCTTGTCGAACATCTTGTATAAAGTTATCCAAGAGTTTAAAATTGGAAACATTATTGGAAGTGTTATCAGTTTCCATTTTTCGAAATGGAAAATTGATTGTTTGAAGATTTTGAAAAAGAATTCGATTTATTTGGATCGAGTAAAATGTTGTTACAATATTGTACAGACAATCGATACAATCGAATTCGTGAAAAAAATGGATTCATCGCTCCGCCCACAATTTTTGTTTAAATTATCCAAATAAATTGATTTTTTTAATTGAAATGTGATAATTAATATTAAATGTTTTCATATAATGAATTCATTAGGTATTATTATAATCTTAATAATTAAAATTAGTTATACAAAATGCGATAAATCATCATTGACAATACGTATTCCATTGATTCCTTTGCAACATGTTGAATGTTGGTTACGTAATCAACATGATGTTGATAGAATAAAATTAATCGATTATTGTCAAAATAATCATAATTTAATTATTATCGATTATGCTAAAGGTATATTATTGTTTGTATGATGAAAATTTTTATTATTATCAATAACATTTGATATTTAATTTCAATAAAAAGATGATGATGGACAATATAAAAATCAATTTTGTCAAAAGATTATTCAATTTCATCAGCAAAAGCGTTTACCGTGTTGGGGTTATGAAAATGATTTGGACAACGTGACGGATTGTCTTTTATACAAACCTATTTGTGATAGTTCCAGTCAATCATGGGCAACCGATTCTCATGAACAATGGAGCATATTTTTTAACACAGCCGATTTCGGTTATATTCGACAACAACGAAATGAACTTAAGTATTTTTGCAGTCCGAATTCCAATAAACAAACCTCTTCAATTGAATGTACCAAATATACACGATTTTGCCGCGCTAAAAATATTTACATAAATTTTCGGAATTTAGTTCATCTACCTGAACCTATCCGATACCGAGAAGATATACTTGATTATGGTGATATTGGAGGCTATGATTGTGATTATTTTCGAAACGATCTTCTTAATGAAAGTGGCCATAAAAGTCCACTAATGTCTTGGTTTGCCGAAATTTCTCAATTTCGTAATATATCTCAACAAAAGCAGGTAAAATGTGATGTAAAATTTGATAAACCAACTTACATCATGAAATTAGATGCAACAATTAACATGTATCATCATTTCTGCGATTTCATCAACCTTTATCTTAGTTTTCATCTGAATGGCTCATTCGATCGTGATAATCAAATCATAATCTGGGATACCTATCCATATCGATCTAATTTCGGTATCGTTTGGCAAGCATTTACTCGAAATAATCTAATAAATCTATCCATGTTGAAAGACAAAACTGTCTGCTTTACTAACATTATTTTTCCATTATTACCTCGAATGATTTACGGTTTATATTATAATATGCCATTGATACCAGGCTGTAGCAATAGTGGAATATTTCGTGCCTTCAATCGCCATCTATTATTTCATCTCAATCTTAAAGATTCTGAAAATATTGTGACTGATTATCAAGATAATGTGATAAATATAACATTCATCAAACGTAATACACGATATAGACAGATACTCAATCAACAGCAGTTAATCGATTCACTGAGATCATTTCTCAAAGTCCAAAATCAGAAGATCAAAGTAAACATCCAATTGGTTGATTTCAATCATCGAATGCCATTCATCGAACAGATTCGTCTATCATCACAAACGGATATATTGATCGGTATACATGGAGCTGGATTAACTCATACATTATTTCAACCGGATTACGGAATCCTATTCGAATTATACAATTGCGATGATCATGATTGTTACAAAGATTTGGCACGTTTACGAGGCATACATTATCTTACATGGCAAGATAAGACTAAATTAAAAGTCATTATGGATGATAGTCAAAAAGCTGATCAACAAGCAACAGGATCAGCACATGCTAAATTCGTTAACTATCATTTCGATTCAGATGAATTTGTTCGAATAACTTGGCAAGCTATCAGTTTGGTTCGCAAAAGAAAAAAACTATTTATTCAGGATAAAATAAATGAATTTATAAATCAAGGTGTTAATGATAATAATTATAATATATCAAATGCTAATAAAATTGAATTATAATAATTAATTACAATCGATGACAAAAAAAATCAAGTCAATTTAAGATTATCTTTGATGAATTCGAACAATTTTTTATACTCTTCTTTTTGGTGATTTTCTAGAATTTCCTCGATTAAATCGAGACATTCATCTAATGTTGCTTCGGAGCTTAGTTTGTTACTGATTTTAAGATCATGAATTTTCCGGCAAACATTTCGTATTGAATTGCAATCCACTTGAATTTGTGATTGAAGTTTAGATTTTTCGGCAAGCATTTTTTTGACAATTTTTTCAGTTGACGATAACCGAAGATAAATGTCGATTTCTTGTTTCTGAAGAATTTCGTATTTTTTCATTAGATTCATTAAACTTTTTTTCAAAAAATATTGGTTTTCTGTCAATAAATCTATAGATTTTAGATCACAATTGAGCGTTTGTAATTGAAAATTATCGTCAATTTTCTTCATTCGACTATCATTGATTGAAATGATAGATTTTTCTGGATCAATATCTTCAAAGGAATTTGATGTGAAAACATCTGCAGCCAAATTAATATTGGTGATGATTTTTTTATTCTTATTTTTCATAATACCATTTTGAGATTTTTTCGCTGCTAATCGATTATAAACAATAGTTTTTCGTGATTGAAAGGCGACCTTTTTTGATTCTACTATTCGAAATTCATGATTCAAAAAGTCTGATTACAAAAATCAATTACTTACCAATTTTAGATGCTGATAATAAGTCGTTATTGTCGGAATTTGATTCAGCAAATGATGATTGTAAGTCTTTTAAGGAATATTTATTACCACTCAACATGCTTTCCATTTGTTCGATAGTCATATTGCTTTTTTCCAGTTGTTTTTTAATCATTGGACAACGTTGAATACTTCGATGATAGGTATACATGCTTTTCGTATTTCCAGAACCATCACAACCAGGTGTTGGACATTGTTTTGTATCGCTTTGTTGTTGTAGCTCACTAAAACGAAGACTTAATGGACAACCGGAAAGGCTACGATGTGAAGAGAATAGACCCGATATATGTCCACTTCCATCACATCCTTGCATCGGACATTGATTGTCCATTGTGATTATATAAATTTGAATAAAATATGAAAACAATTGCTAAAATGTTGGTCGTGCAACAATATGATTATATAAACATGAATAGCTCTAAAAATCAATTAACACAATAATGATACAATCATGTAATAGAAAAACAATTTCTTTTTAAATAATCAATAAGGTTAAAATGTTTGTGTTATATGTAATGAAAATAATATAGAATTGAAATTTATTAGTGTTTCTTTTTTTTTTTGAGTGGTCGGACTTTATCCCACTACGACTAATTGAAAAATGGAAGAAGTGAAATTAAATTTTTGATTTTTATCAAAAACATCTATTTTTTAAAAGTTATTATCATCATCAGGGAAGATTTCACGAAAAAAAAGAGTACAGGAAATTTGTTTTATTAAAAATAAAAGTTTGATTAAAAACGATTATTACCGACAAAATTCATTTGCATTCAACAGAGAATAATAGAAATAAGAAAAAAAAATCTAATTTTCGTTCTTTACGAATAGCACCATATTCTATAAATTACCCTGTATTCAGAAGTGTGAAAGCTCTTGATTAAAGTCAAATTCGCACATTTTTGAGGATTGATCAATATAATAAAATCAATGCTAAACAATTAGTTTTAGATTTTTAAGCGAAAACAAAAAAGTTACATTTTTAATTTGAGAAAAAAGGGTAATAATAGTTTCGAAATATATCGTTCAGCCATTGTGAATTCGATTAAAATTATCAATTGTCATAAATCATGCCATACGCCAATCAATCATCAGTTTATATTCCTGAGAATGGAATTCTTGAAGATAGTTTCAAGTTTCAAATTTATGAAACCGATCTATCTGTTGCCAATGCTTTGCGTCGAATTTTCATTTCAGAAGTTCCAACATTAGCCATCGATTGGGTTCAATTGGAATCAAATTCAAGCGTTTTGAATGATGAATTTATAGCTCATCGTTTGGGTGAGTTTCAAATGTGAGTAAAGAATTTATTGTAAATTGAAAATTTTTTCGGTTGATAGGTTTGATACCACTCACATGTGAGGATGTAGTCGATAAAATTCAATATTCAAGAGAATGTACATGTACTGATTTTTGTAGCAATTGTTCGGTTGAATTTGTATTGCATGTTCGTTGTGATACCGAAGAAACTCGAGCAGTAACAACAGCCGATTTAAAATCAAACGATCCGCGTGTTGTTCCCGTCTCGTCTAGAAGTCAGACAAGTGAAGAATATGGTGAGCCGGAAGGTGATGAAATATTGATTGTTAAATTACGTCGTGGTCAAGAGCTTAAAATTCGAGCCTATGCACGTAAAGGTTTTGGTAAAGAACATGCAAAATGGAATCCAACTTGTGGCGTTGCATTTGAATATGATCCGGATAATGCTTTTCGGCATACCACATTTCCTAAACCAGATGAATGGCCACGTAGCGAATTCAGTGAATTTCCGGATGATGATCCTCGAACTGAAGCGGATTATATTCGCGACGGAAAACCAACAAGATTTTATTTTAATGTCGAATCAACTGGAGCGTTGAAACCTACCACACTGGTTAAATCCGGTTTGAAAGTATTAAAAAATAAATTATCCGACCTATTGACACATCTTTCACACGAAGTAAACAGTGATGGTCTTACTATCGCACAAGATTAAAAATTTATTAATAACAAAAATTTTCTATTTCTGATATTCCATTAAAGATTGATTAATTTTTTGTAACAAATTTTTTGCTTGTTCAAATTGTCGGTCCGATTGAACTTGAATGTTTAGAAGGGGTTTATATTTCAAACGAGATTCGAGATAGCTGACTCTTTGAGTTTGTTGGGGATATAGCTTCCTTACGTAAGACATGTTCATCTTATTCTTAAGACCAAAATGACTAGTAACCATTCCTGGATTAAATTCTTTACGCTGAAAATTTCCACGATCTGGATGATCTTTCTCATAATTTAATAATGCTTTATCAATTTTTTCGTGTTTCAGTCGGCCATCTTTGATTTGATTAATAAAATCGATTGAGTATAATGTTTTCTAAGAATAAAAAAAATAATTTTTTTTTAATTGAACAATAAGCAATAAATACTAACAAAGAATTTTTCCTTATGATCATAGGAAATTATATGCCAAAAAATGTATTTGGGTGAATAGATCAGATCGCATAGATTACATTTATATTCGACAGCTTTATCCTCATTGTCTTTATATTCTTCAATCTGATCCATGCCAACTATTGGTTTGATTCGTGTACGTCGCAATAATTGGCCAATATCTTTATGGTCATTGGAAATATGAGCATTGACCATTTTCCAGTTAGATAATTTCATGTCACAAATCTGAATATGAAAAAATTATCATTATTAAAAGTAATCATACATCAAAATCGTTATAATACTAACCACACAGAACAAAGAACGAGATCCTTTTTCATCTACATTAGTTCGAATACCATTATGAAGATCATTAATAAGAAATTCAACTCTCATTTTTTCATCATTGATATTTTGTATAAATTCTTTATCTCGTTCCACATCTTGAATGAATGTAAATAAAATTACAAATTGTTATTTTTTTTTCTTTAGCAGCTACCTAAAACATACCAATTTTTGTAATATCGTTGGGTAAAAGACGAAATTGCAGAGAATCATCATTGAAAACAAAAGACATTTTTCTACAAATGGAAATTATCGAAATGTTGAAAGATCGTGAATAAAAATTGAGAAAACAATGGAATTCGATTTTATTTCAGACAATTTTAAACGGCCAATTAGAGTAGATATAGTCGTAGAGAATATTCGATATTCTCATGAATTTTTTTTCACTTATTGATCAGAAACAGAAAAATTGATAGAACGATTTTTTTAAATAAATGTTTCTATCATAAATTTCAATATGGATTGGTATTAAATAAAAAAAAATAAAGTTAGGATTTAAAGAAATTGTTTTATTTGTCAAAAATATTTCAAAATTCAGATGGTGGCATAAAATATGTAGCATTTTCAATGGTTTTTTTAGCCATCTTACGATCGACCGAAATGTTTGGCAATGATAATGTAACTGAAGCCAATGTGCTCATGGAAACCAATGCGGTATCAAGAAGTGTTGAAATTGATGCCATTGGACAATAACGAATTTCACTATTATATTTAATACCACGTTGAATATAACTACTGATTGTCATCAAAGAATCACCAAGTATACTAAGATATGCTTGAGCATCAATCAATTCAGTACCGATATGATGTTTTTCGCCTTCGATTGATGATGTTTCTGTATTGATGAAATTTTCACCATACGTTTTATCCAATGTTTTTGTGATAGGCAATGTAAGACTACCAAGAACGATTTCGGGTTTTAGGTCTTCATCATCATAATCATAAATAGCACCCATATTAAATCCAGTACCATATTTAGTCATTAATTGTGCTTTTCGTGTCCATTTATCTTTTTCCGTTTTTGGTAACGTATGCCAAATGCCGCCCATTTTTTTCGATAAATTACAAAAATCTAATTCCGGATAATTGGATTGAATATGACTTCGATTCTCTTTACACCAAAGTACATAAGCTGATATTGCTGGTCTCTTTGGTACTTTGACAATCTCTTCGTTATTATTACTCGTAATAATATCCGATTGTTGTTTGTTATTAATCAAATCTAATTGTTTTTGTCGAAATTCATCCTTAAGTTGTTGTTGTTGTTGCATTTGAAGTCGTGCACGATTAGCCTGATTAATTCGTCGTTGTTCCTGTATGGATCTAGGTAGAATTTGTCTAGATGCAATGATCGTATTTATCTTCGGTGTAGAAGATGCAAATGATTTATGAACAAATTCTTGATTCATCGTTGTTTTATCAGTTATTGGCGAAAGTGTACTTTTAAATGGCTGCTGCTGTTGTTGCGGTGGTAAGCGTGGATTGGCTATGATTCTTACAACAGGAGATTGGTTGTGATGAATAGAAGATTTTGTCTGTTCTGTTGTCGGTTCGTTGGGCTTAATTCGTTTGACATCGCCTGTAGGAATATCATCTTCATTAGAACGTTTTATTGAATCATTATTAACTCTGAAAATTAATGATCCAATTGTTGGTGATGATTTTACAACGGGCATAACATTTGGTCTGATCTGAATAGGAGTGGTGGAGATGATAGATGGATTATTGGGCCTTGGAATCGGTTCACTAACAATGGTAATTTTTGGAGGTTGTGGTAGCTGTTCACTATGATTAGATAAATTTAATTTCAGCCTTATATTAGTTGGTGGAGCTGTTCCAATGATATTTTCTTCTGGTAATGTCGTATTTGAATCATTACCAATAATTGATATTTTTCCTGGTTTGGATCCACTTTGTCTAGGACTTTTACCAATCACTTCGGTTTCCATATCTAAAAGTTTAGTACTTTTTTTCAACACCCTTCCGGAGCGTGATATAGCAGGTGTGTCCATTTTTTCTAGTTTTTTTCAAACGATAAATTTGTCAGCCAAAGATTTTGAAAAATGATGTCAATGTTGCTAAATACAAAAGGCGCACAGAAATAAAATCTCATTGAGTGATGATCACATGACAAACATCGATTGTTTGAGAAATCGATTGTTGTCGGTGCTGTGACTTTGTTGACTTTTTTCATATGCATTCAAGCTGATTTTTATCCATGTATTTATAGTCAACATTGAATCCAAATCAAGAAACAACAACGATGGGAAATATTGGATTGACAAAAGATCATTTAAGTTTGGAAAAATATACATTTCCATATCTACGAAAAGATAATTATCCATCAGATCGTATAGAATCACCATATGATCCATTAGAAGGATTTCCTAATGGCCGTAAAACTCGAGGTAATTTTTTGCATTAAATGCTTATTTTCAAAAAAAACTCATTTAAAGGATTATTTTTATTTTCAAGTTATGATTGCTACCGAAGAGGAAATGAATTCGGCCAAAGTACATCCAAAATTTCGTGATTATTGTGCTCATAAATATATTGAATTTCAAGCTTGTTTGAAAAATAATCGACCATTTTATTGGCGATGTAAACATGAACGTCATGAATATGGTGAATGTGAATTTGAAGATGCTGTATTACGGATGAAAGAATGGGAACGTGAACGTCGTCTTCGAGAACGAGAAAAACAACAGGAAAGAAATCTCTAAATCGAATTAGTCCCACTTTTTTTGTGATGATCAAAACATATGAAAATTTATTTGAATTGATTGTCTCATTTAAATGTATTTAATATATCTGTTTGTGTAGTTTTACAGATATACTTGTAAACAAATTAAATTTCTAATTGAAATAAAATTGAATTGAATCAACAAAAAAAAATACGAGAATATTTCCATAAAAATATTTTCCTGGGAAATTTTTATTTTTATTTTCATTATTTGAAGGAATCTTTTTCCACGAAATAAACAGTTTGAATTTCAAATGAATTGATTGATCTTATCAATTCGAATGATGATGATGATGATAATGAAAATGATAATGAGTTGAAATATACGTGTGTGATTTAATCAAAAACAGTTTGAGTATAAAATTTCAATCAATCTTAACAGCAGCATCTTAAACATCGCTCTATTAGTGGTAAAAACTTGAATTAAAATCAAGGACAACGGGGATTTCACTTATAGCCACTGGCGTTTAGATAACTGAACATTTTTTATTCATTCTTGTTTTTAACATTGTATCCAATCATTTTATCTTCTGAATTATAACCAATATGACTGGTCAATTTCGTATATTGTCAATAAAAACATCGATTTTTAAATCGATTTTATTTCGCTCATATTCAAAAAGTCAACCACAAATTTCAAAGATTGTTTCCAATGCTGAAGAAGCTGTCAAAAATATTCCCGATGGTTCACGATTGATGGTCGGTGGTTTTGGTCTATGTGGTATACCGGAAAACAGTATTCGTGCTTTGGCAAAATTGAATAAACAACGATTAACTGTCATATCAAACAATGGTGGCATTGATGATAAAGGTTTAGGACAATTGTTGTTGAATAAACAATTAAAACGTATTATTGGTTCGTATGTGGGTGAAAATCGTGAACTAGAACGACAATATTTGAATGGTGAAGTTGAAATTGAATTCGTACCTCAAGGTACGCTTGCTGAACGAATTCGTGCTCGAGCGGCTGGAATTCCAGCATTTTTCACACCGACCGGTCATAATACACAGATCCATCTTGGTGGTGTTCCAATACGTTATAATTCGGATAAAACGATCGCTGAAACAAGTCGACCAAAAGAGGAACGTATATTTAATGGTAAACCATTCATTATGGAAGAAGCATTGATGGCGGATTATGCATTGGTCAAAGCATGGAAAGCTGATCGGGATGGAAATGTTGTTTTTCGCAAAACGACTGCCAATTTTAATATTCCAATGTGTAAAGCGGCCGATCATTCGATCGTAGAGGTAGAAGAAATTGTTGATGTTGGTGAATTAGATCCGGAACATATCCATGTACCATCGATTTATGTAAAAACAATTTTCAAGGGCGAAAATTTCGAAAAACCAATGGAAAAAATAATATTCCGTGAAGAAGGTGGAATATCAAAACTTGATCCAGTTCGTGAACGAATAGCTCGACGAGCAGTTTTGGAACTTCAAAATGGGATGTATGTTAATCTTGGTATTGGTATGCCCGTTTTGGTGGCAAATTATTTACCCGAACACATGAAAATCACATTCCATAGTGAAAATGGTATTCTAGGAATGGGTCCATATCCATTAAAATCAGAAATTGATCCAGATCTTATAAATGCAGCAAAAGAACCCGTAACAGCTATTCCCGGTACATCGTATACATCATCCGATGAATCGTTTGCCATAATTCGTGGTGGTCATCTTGATGTAACCATGTTGGGTGCAATGCAGGTATGATTATTTTTCATCACAAAAATGTTACAAACAGAAACAATTTTGTTTATGATTTAAGGTTTCACAATATGGTGATCTGGCCAATTGGATGATTCCAGGTAAATTGGTCAAAGGAATGGGTGGTGCTATGGATTTAGTTTCATCACATGTATCCGGAACTCGTGTTGTAGTCACAATGGAACATAATAGTAAAAATGGGGAATCGAAAATTGTGTCCGAATGTTCATTACCATTGACCGGACAGAATTGTGTTGATACTATTATAACGGAAAAAGCTGTATTTCGTGTACATCCAAAAGATGGTTTAACTTTAATCGAAATAGCCGACGATCAAACTGTACAAACAGTGACAGATGCCACTGGTGTAAAATTCAAAATTGCTACTGATCTTAAGCCTATGCAACAAGTTTGAGGAAAAAATATTTTTTTTAAAGAAAAAATAAACAAAAATTCGAAACAATACACATTTCAAATACAATAAATAACAGGATTGAGTGAATTACATGATATTTTGTAAAAGTTTTGCATGCGAATTCCATTTAATTTCTACCTTTGATGGTGGCTGTAACCACGGTTCGCCATCAATTTGCATTGGCAAATGTTCATCGAGACATAGTTTAACCTGACTAGCTTGGCCAAGAAATATTGGTTTCGATAGTCCCATCATAACTTGTCCAATATGAAATGTGGATGTTAGCCCAAGAACTTCAACGCGTAAATCATCAAAACGATTCATCTCGCCGACCATTCGAACACCACCACCCCAACTATGAATGTTCAACACGACAATCGATTCTAATTCGGGAAGACGAATTGTTTCGCCATCCAATTCTACACGTATTTTTGTCTGCAAATTTTTACATCTTCGTTCCCATAGATCTTTCGTGCCGAATGTAAAATAGATAAATTTGTTGATGAATGTATTGCTGAAATTGAATATCCAACGAAATAGAATTAAATAAAAGAACTTTTTTCAAAATAATGATAATACCTGAATAGAAAATTATAAATCTTAGATTTTCTTGTCTGATGAAAATTCAATGCTACTAACGCATCAACACCGATAGAGAAATAATTATACATGAATAAACTTCGATTGCCCAAAGGCATGATTGATCGTGGTATTCGCAGAGATTCAATTAGAAGATTATATGACCGATGATAATAATCAATCTGTTCAATTTCAATTAACCACCGATCTAATTGAATTGAACGAGCACCATAAACATATTGAATGATTTCATCATGATTGATTCTTGCAGCTGAATCAAAAATATCTGACCAACCAAGTACTCGAGCCAAATCATTTCCAGTTCCAAGAGGAAAAATTGCCACCAAAGGTGATGGATTCAATTTTAATTGATGAATAGTGTTCAATACCCAGCCAATAGTACCATCTCCACCAGCAACCAATATTCGAACAGTAATGTTTTCAGGTAACATTCGACACATCTGCAGACTAAGTTCTAATTGATTCGACTTATCACTCAAATCAATCACTTGTAATGGATTAAGAATGGGTAAAAATTTTGATAGAATATTACCGGCATCATTGTTTCCGGATTTTCGATTAGCAATTACAAATAATGGTGACCAATCAGGTTCTTCGCAGGAGAAATCTCGTATCTCATCCAATGCAATGGCTCTACCTTGTGATGTTGTCCATACTCTACGATGAATGATATAATGTGGTGGTATGATCAATCGACGATATCGGCCAAAATCACAGTCAGCTTCGATTCTGTCATTCGAATCGGATTTATGAAAACAATTTTCATGGACTGTTCGTTGACACCAACAACAACGATAATGATATAATGTATGCTCGGCCATTGTTGTGCCAATATTTTCCTTTTCAATTGTTTCATCATCATCTTCACAATATCGATGACAAATGAAACATTTTGAATGTAATGGAATATTTCCATGCACCCAATGATGTTTGAATTGATTCGAAGATTCTTTCGAACGTGATATCGAAACACGTTTACAATGACTAAGTGGTTCAAGTATCAAATTTTTTTCCGATTTTTTAAGCAGATGAAAATATTTGGATCGAGTTACAAGATCATAGCATTGAAAATCTAGACAAACTCCACAAGAATCACAAAACATTGCATCAACTATAAGCGAACGGCACAGGCAGCAAGTTGCTCGATGTGTAAGACATTGTATAAGACTCCATTGATGAGCACGAATACCGTTCCAACTGGCTGGTAATACCCGAATCTGTTGTTCTCGTGCATGACGCCAGAATTTAAGTAGTAACCAAACAGTGGTAATAAAACCAGCAATAATAGGAATCTGATAATACCAGATATTGAAATTATCAAATGATAACATATTTAACATAGAATCATAACCAAAATGAATTAAATAATAATGAAAAGAACGATGACGATATGAAATCGATTTTCGTCTAAGTCGATGATTACCTTGACGATTATCACAACAACAAATTTAGATTGGATTATCAATAATGATCGAAGAGAAATAATAATTACTTTGGTTTTTTGAGTTTTTGGAATCGTTGATATCTCCACAATTGGTTAGAATGTGAAATCGATAATGGAATGATGGTATCCAATCATCGAACATGATTATTAATTTTAAAAAATTGTTTACATCATTTCAAAGATGAATTACGAACATTTTTAATGACAACAACAATTATTCACATTGATTTACCTTATGCAATAAGACTGGAATTTTAAAAGAAAAGTTTCCTTAAATGTCAAGAGAAAATATTTCCCGGAAATCAAAAAATTCAAATGCATGAAAATTTCAATTGAATAATTTATTCAATTATTGTTTAGTTTTTTATTAGATTTAAAATCAGCACCGATTGCATCGTTAATATTTTGGAATCCATCTTTTGCTAACATGTATGCTAATTCATATTTAACTTCACGAACAATTGGGGGACCCTATTTTGAAGATAGAATTTAAAAAAATCAATGAATATATTTCATTAAAAAAAATTCTTACAAAATAAACCATCGATGTATAAAGTTGTACCATAGATGCACCTGCTTTGATTTTTTCATAAGCATCTAATCCACTTTCAATACCGCCAACACCAATGATTGGTATTTGTCCATTCGTCAAACGATACATTTTTCGAATCATTTCGGTAGACAATTGTCGCAATGGTGGACCACTAAGTCCTCCTTCTTCTTTTATAAGTTTTCTTGGACTTTTTAAATCAGAAGGTCTTGAAATGGTTGTATTCGATATAATCATACCATCAATTTGGCCATGTGTTTTAGTTTCATTCGAATATTTGAGCATAATTTTTCCAATATCATTTATCTGTTCTTCATTTAAATCGGGTGAAAATTTCACTAATAATGGTTTTCGTAACTGATTTTTCTGTTCCAATTCTTTTTTTACACGAAGTACTCGATCCATTAATTTGTTCAATTGATCTTTGCCTTCTAAATTCCTTAGGTTAGGTGTGTTAGGACTGGAAATATTTATGACAAAATATTTAATTTCTTTTTTATCATGGAATCTTTTCAGTCCGGTGATATAATCTTGTATTTTGTCTTCTGTCAATTTATTAGCACCAAGATTTAATCCGACAATAATATTTTTTTTATTTATAATCGATTCTTGTCGTGATAAATTTTTTTCCATTTGATCATGACCATAGTTATTAAATCCATAACGATTGATAACAGCACGATCAAGAGGAAGACGAAAAATTCGTGGAAATAGATTTCCTTTTTGTGGTTCGGGTGTTATAGTTCCAATCTCGAGAAATCCAAAACCAAATCCGGATATTTGACCGATAGCTTCACCATTTTTGTCAAAGCCGGCTGCCAATCCAACCGGATTATCGAATTCAATATCCCATAGTTTTGTTTTCTATGAAAAACAAAAAAGTAAAAAAAAATCTCATTTCGAAAGTTAGTGGTGAGTGATTATAATCACCTACCAAATATGGTTTAATTTCCTTATCTTCGCTTAATCGTGGTACTAATCCTAAACGGGCAGCTGTAATAGCAACAATGTGTGCCTTTTCAGCATCCGGATACATTAGATGAAATATAGGTATAACATGACGGCTCCATAATCGATAATCACCATTATACAAATTATATCCTATGAAAAAACATTCATTATCAATGAATTTGTATTCGATTCGAAAAACTGACCATAAAAACAAACGGTTGCTCCTACACCGACTGTTATCAATGATTTTAATTTCTAAAAATAATTAATGATAAACCAATTATTATTTATTCCATAAAGTTTGAAAAAGTGTCAAAAAAAACTAACTAACCCTTGACATTTTAATATCAATGATTCGAACATTTGATAATGAGATTTGATCTTTTGATGGGTCACATGTGGTATCGTATTATATGGACAGTTCATTGTTTATAAAAAAAAAGTCCCAAAAAAAACATTGATCCTTTTTTGTCTGCCATCTTATCGTGCATGCACACACACACAAACAAACAATATTGCCCGCACTCATCAAATAAATTATGGCTCGTGTTCGACGTTTTTGAGTTCAAGATGTCGCTCATTTTTTTTTAATTTTTCAGCATCTTTAATTTTATAAAATAAAATATTATCATCAAACGAAAAACTGTTCCATCATCATTATCATCATCATCAAATCATTGGCAAAAATGAAATGGAATTGTTCCATAATTTGAGCATTGTTATTTGATTTTCGTTACTTCTATGTTTTTGATTCTGAAAAAATCTTCCAACCGCCGACAGGACAACAAAATATGCTCAATGTTCAACAATTACCACCAACAACGCCGCGTGCGGCACAACAGTTACAAAATTTGATTGATTTTGAACAAAATGATTCCGGTTATATTGGTCTATTCTTACGTCATCGGCAGAATTTTGATTGGTTCGATAATGATTTTAATCGACAAATTCATTATGAACTTAATTCAAAATTATTTGCCATAAATGAGCCATATCTAATGAAAACCGAACGTGATTCATTGATGAAGCTGAAAAAATTGAATGAAGAATCAGCTAACATGGTTGATGATAAGAAAAAATCCAATGGAACTTTAAGAAAAAGGAAAAAAAATTTGGATAAAAAATTAGCTCTTTTGGATGGTAATTTTGGATCAACTGAAGAAAAAATAATGGCTACCAATTTGATTGAAAAATATTTGATTATAAACGACGAAAGTGACGGAGGCTGTAATGGTGGGAAAAAGAATGCAAAGAAAACATTGCTTAAATCGATAAATCTAAAAGAAATGAATTCCAATCTTGAAGCTCAATCATTCGTCGATTCATTATTTTGCAATCGTTTTGAATCACTCAATTATCGAACGAAATTACTTTGTAATCCATTCTCCAAAACAATCAAAGCTAAATTCGGTCTATCGAACTTTTTAATTCCACCAAGATGTTCATTTGCCGGTATAGATGTTATCGATGGTGTTAAAATGTTGACCCGTTATCTAAAACGAACTTCGATCGATATGACCAGCTCATCAAAATCATTAATTTGTACAAGAAATCCATTCATATTCATCATGGATCCAGCATGGGATAATAATAAATCTGTAAAAAGAAAACGTACATATGAAACAGTTAGTCTTGATTATATGCGACGTCTTTGTAAAGAATCAAGAATTCTACTTGATCTAATAGACAGTCTACGGCAATCATGTCCAACACAAAAAATGTTGAAAAAACCTTCATCAACATCGATTGTTTGTGCGATTTGGACAACAAATCTGGACAAAGATTTTGTCATTGATGAAATGTTACCATCATTAAATTTACGATTATCACATGTTCTTAAATGGCATAAAGTGACAAAAATTGGTCTTCCAGTCAAAGTGCATGGTGGACAAGAATATCTTATATTGGCAACAAAATCATCAAAAAACAATAATGATGATCAGATAACATCGAAGAATAATAATAATAATATTGATAATCATAAAAACGGTATAATTGTATCGATACCATCGGCAATACATTCACATAAACCAAGTATAATGCCAATCATTCATCGTTTGTTTGATTTTAATCATAATGATTTTGGTGATATTCATCCTGATCTAACATTACATTGTTCTATGTCTAAATGTTCGAATGTGGAAACGGCAGCTGCAGCTGCAGCTACTGCCATCAAAAATGATGATAATGATTTAAATAATCATTATTGGCTTGTTGCTAATGAATTTATCAATTATCTATGTGGTATTGAATTATTTGCCCGTTATTTACAGACTGGCTTCCATTCAATTGGTTATGAATGTATTAAATTACAGAATGAAAAATTATTTGGACACAATGATGATTGTTGATTTGAATCATAAATTTTGTTTGTATGGTGCCTATATATGATGTATTTCATTCATATATTAATTATACGTTTGATTTATTTTGAATAAAATGTTTTTTTTTTGAATTTTGAATTTTTCGTAACGTCTTATTTGTATGGGCAAAAAAAAATTATTTGTATCACGATGAGTTTTTTTTTGGGAAAGAATTTTTTTCCAGGCCAAGTTGGAACCCAGCCAGCCAGCCACACAGACAAACATAAAAATCGAATCATATGGTCGTGATGTAATTTTTTAAACAAAAAATAAATTATTACAAAGATAATATCTTAAAAAGATTCATGATTATTGTGATCAATTATTATTATAAGTAAAAAATAATCAATTGTTTTATCTTTAAACCGGATATCATCAATATCACACAACCAAACAATAAACAGTCTTTGTGCCTACCATACAATTCATCATATTCGATGACATTTGGTAATTTTTTTGTTTTGTTTCTGTTTTCCAAAAAAAAAAACAATGACATTAATTCGAAATTTTTTTTCCAGATACTTCCAATTTATATGAATTATATTGTGATTGCCAAAATGCCAAAATCAAATTTGATTATCCAACTAATCGAATAAATTTTATTTAAAAAAAATAATATCATTGGTTGATATGGTGAGAAATAGAAATCCAGTTTAATCGACAAGTTCTATAGATAGACAACTTCTTTCTTCTTTTTTTCGATTCAATTCGTAAATGAAAAAAGAAAAAGAAAAATATTTTGAATACCATCAATGCATTCAACTTGAATGGTTACCTTGATTTTTTCTGTTCTTTTATTATTATTATTATTTGAATAAAACTTTTAAACTGAACAGACAACATTAAAACCAGCCTGAATGGGTGATAAAGAAGAACACTAAGTGGTTATATAAACCGGTAGCAACAAAAAAAAAAAATAACTTTTCGTGACAATTGCAAACGAATATTTTTTTTTTGCTGTCGACAAAAAGTTAATAAACCTCCTTTCAACTTTCACCTTGCCGGTTGAACTAGTCTGGCTGTCAAATGAATTACTCTTCGAATGATATTAATCCAGCAGCAACAAGCCATGAAAAAAAATGGCAAAACATTACATACACTAATCTGAAATGAATATGAATTCTTAGATACATTTTTCTATCCCCGAAAAAAAATCCACATCAACCAACTAAATAAGAACAACAACAAAAAATCGAAAACAAGAACATCGAACGAATCAACTTTTTTTGTTCATTCTTCCATCTAATGTCAATTTTAAAAGAAAAAAAACCATCGATTCATTCAGTTCGATCATTCAAACACCTAATCTAACCATTGAATCCAGAGCACTAAATTAAGATAGTGGGCTAAATGTTACCATCATCATCTCTTTTTTTTATTGCTATCTTTTAAAATTTTTTTTTCTGATTATCATCGACATATCAGCATAACAACAACACACACACAAACACACATAACTTCAACACAATTTAACGTCACCGTTAAAATAATTGATAAAAAAAAGACACTAAATTCAAGTTTGCATCGCCGTTTTAAAAGAATTTCTATAAAACAAAATCATCATTATCCTCATCATCATCATCACCAGTCGTCTTCAAATATCCAAAACATATGTATGTATGTATTTTTCGTATTGTTTTGTTTGATGCTACTACCTCGAGCAACGACGATTATCATCATCAACAAGACACATCATAACATCCACACCACTCTATCGACTGGTAACCAATAACATACAGCAGACACTTGTAGCCAAATTCATTTAAAAAACATTGATTGTCTCTGATACATTTTGAAAAAAAAAGACAAGTTTGAATAAAAAGAAAAAAAAACAGAGATAGAGAGATATATTAGTGATAGAGTCAACTTCGCACAGAAAAAAAAACTAGATCCTCATCATCATCATCATCATCGGCAACAGATATACAAGCAAACCGAACCAAACTATCCTCTAACAAACAAATACCATTTCGATAAAAAAAAATATATCCTCTTTTTTTCTCTCTTAACGCATCATAGTTATCGTCATCATCATCATCGTTCGCCGCCATACCATCATCATTCATATATTCCACGTCGAAAGGTATGTTTAATAATAAATAATCATCGTCATCACCATCATAGTGTGGTCCGTTTTATTTTTCAATCCTTGCTTGCTTGCGTGTGTGTGTGTGTTATGTTAAATGTTTTTTAAAAAAACAATTGATTAACCAATTGTTTTCTTCTTTTTTTTTTAAATTCTTTAAAAAACCGACAGCAATAACGACGTATATTCAATGTTTTAGCTAATTGAATTTTTTATTTTCTTCAAATCAAATTTATTTTTTCCCGTTATTGAACGATCCCAAATAAAAAAACGATTCAAACTGGCCGAAAAACGATTGCATTTTTTCAGTGGAAAGCTTTTACGGATTTACAAACAGTACGGTAAGTTGAAATGTTTGTTTGTTTTTTCAACATCATTATTCTTGATCTAAGAATTAGAATTTGTTATTCTGTAAAGTTTTTCCTCTGATAATTTCAAAAAAAAAAAAAAAATTTCAATTCATTCATTAATTGCCAACGTGTCATTCGGATTTTTCTATTTATTATTATCTCCCAAAATGCATTTTAAACAATTTGCTTAGATTGCGGAATTTACTTTTCCTTATTTTATGTCCAATATAATATATCGATAAAAGCATTTAATTGCTGAAATCATCATTGATTTTTTTTTTTGGTTTGATGATAATAAAATGCTTGATTAATATGTTGTCAATGTAACAAGTAGTCATCATCTAAATATATCAAATCAACCATTTTTTTCTTATTTCCATAAATCGACAATATCTTTGTCGAACCTTGTCGAATTCAAATTATTATCAAAAATAAAGGTCATGTTTAAATATAATAGGTTAATTATTATTTTATATTTTATTTGTATTTATCATTGTTTATTTGTTTTTTATGTTAAGTGGTTGATCAGTTTTGTTTTAATTGATCTAATCTTATTTTTTTAAAAAAAAAACCTCTCAAAGGATGCAATTAGGGAGGGGGTGGTTATTTGTTGCATACACACATTCATAAAAAATTGTCAGTTTTTTTTAATATTCTGTATCATTATCGCAAAATGTCCGCAACAAGTGCATTCGTTTTGTATTATTATTTTAATGTCGAATTTAAAAATTATCCAAAAGATTTTTAAAAAAATGATAGTAAAAAAAAACATTAAAAAAAATTGTTAGCAGTAGCAGCGGCGCGACGTGTATTGCAACGATGATGATGAGTACAAGTGTGATTTTTTTTTTTTTTTTGAAGTCGCGATCCACGTTGTGTATTTATTTGTATGTGTGTTTTTTTTCATACCACTGCCACGAAAGCAACAAATGTGTGTGTGGTGAATATCTCCCAAAAAATGGGTATTATTTTTTTCTATTGGAAAATCAAAATATATCCAACAATCATATGAAATTCGGCAAATTAATGAAGGATCATCATCGACAAGATTTTCAAAAAAAAAATGAGATTTATGGTTATCAATAGATAATTTTTTTACAGTTAAAAAAAATCATTTTGTTTGTTTGTGTGTGTGTGTGTGTGCGTTTTTAATCGACTCACTTTTATTGTTAAATGATGATGATGATGATTTGTGATGATATTTGGCCATCGAAATGTTTACAAGTTGGCAATTATCATTATTAATTTTTTCAAAAATAAATTAAAAATTATTTTGGGAAATGCACAAAGTGACCAGCGGCTTTTTTTTCACTCTCGATCATCAGGTTCGATATGGTTTTTTTCCCAACTGTTAATATATTCGATTTTTTGTTTCTTGTAAACAAAAACAATTTTATTTCATTCAATAATTGTTTTAATTTTATTTATTTTAATTTTATTTAAATTTTTCTTTTCTTTTTATTCATACAGATTTCGTACTGTAAACAATTGGCCCGACTACTGGAAACCCCTTTTTGAATGAATATTATTATGATTTTCTGAACCTGATTTTTATCTCTTGAAATAATTTTGGTCTTTTTTTTTCTTTTGCCTATTATTATTATTTATATAAATAATTTACAAACGAGTGAAAAAAAATATTCACAAGTTTTTTTTCAATTGGAGAAAAAACAAAACAAAAACATCAAAATCGATTGAATTCTCATTTTATCTTGAAGATATTCTTTCTTTTTATAAATTTCAAAAACTTGGATTTTGCTTTTCTACATACACTGTTTTTTTTGCAAATTTTATTTTAAAATCAAAAAAAAAATGGCTGAAATGGATGGAACTGAAATTGTTAATGAAAATATACAATTGAATGGTGGTAGTAGTGGTGATTCAACATCAACATCAACGCCAAATGAACATACAATAAATGGCCTTAATGATGATGTTATTGATTCATCATGTTCTACATCAGATAATATGATGGATGCAAACATGTCAACAACCACATCAAGCAGTAAAAAACAATCGGCGCCAAATTATGATGACATATTTCCCGCTTTGCCAATGGGAGGTGGTCCACCAGCTGGACAATTTCCTATAACATCTTCATCACCAATGATGATGCATCCATCCAATTCCGCTGTAAATCACTGCCAGTATCAAGGAAGACCGAAAATACGATCAACTACTGCTAATCGTGTTTATCATGTTTTACCTGAAGAGCTTCGTTATCGTGATTCGAGTCGTCGTCATGAAGAACTATCAAGAATTTGTGCCGATATTATGAATAAAACACGAACAGAAATTCAAATCACCCATTCAAAAGATGGTACACTTACGTTTTTGTTATCGGGCAAACAAGAAGCTATCGATATGGCACAACGAATGTTGGCTAGTGAATTTATGGCACAAACAATTCATAATCTACCAATACCGAAAGAACATCATCGATTGATATTTGGAAAAGCAGGCAAAAAATTGATGGATTTAGAACAGGCTACGCAAACAAAAATTCAGATACCTAAACAAGATGAAAAATCCGATGTGATTCGGATAACTGGTACCCGTGAAGCAATCGATAAAGCTGTGCATGAAATAAAATCCATTTCAAATGATGCATACTCTCGTTCAATCGAACGTATTAATGTGCCTAAAATTTATCAACCATTTATTTATGGTCCATTTGGACGAATAGTTGAACAAATTCAGAAAGAAACGGGTGCCAAGGTCAACATACCTCCACCATCAACGGACAAAGATGAAATTACCATAACCGGTGAACGAAACAATGTTCTTGCTGCATTGGAACGAGTCAAGACGATTTATGAGGAAAAACTGCGTCGTTGTCAAACGGTATCGATTGAGGTGAAAAAATCGCAACATAAATATATTGTTGGTCCGAAAAGAAATACATTGAATGAAATCTTTGAACAAACCGGTGTTTCCGTTGAAATGCCTCCATTAGATTCACCAGTCGAAATTATTGTTCTTCGTGGTGAACCTGAAAAATTAGCCAATGCATTGGCTGTACTTTACCAGAAAGCCCATTCAGAAACGGAAGAAGAAATAATTGTACCGGGTTGGATTCATCGACACATTCTTGGACCGAAAGGAGCTAAATTTCAAGAGCTATCATTGGAATTTCCAAAAGTTTATGTTAGTTTTGAAACAGAAGAAAATCGTATCAAATTGAATGGCCCTATTGCTGACGTACAAAAAGCAGCTCAACTTTTACAGCAACGTGCAAAAGAAATTGAATCTCAGTATGCTGTAGCCGAAATCAAAGTTTCCGATCCGAATCATATCAAATTTATTGTCGGTAAAAATGGTGCAACACTTCGACAGATTCGCGAAGAAACAAAAGCAACTATACAAGTTATAGGCAATGATTCATCTTCGAATGAAAATTCAAAAAATTCAAATAATAAAAGTGCAAATACCGGCAATCAATTTGTTCGTATCGAAGGTTCAATAGAATCGGTTGCAAAAGCTAAACATGAATTGGAAACTTTGCTACGAAAATTAGAAAATGAAGTTACCTATGAATTGGTTATTGAACGACGATTCTATGGACAAATTATTGGTTCGAAAGGTGAAAAAATTCGAGATATTCGAGCAAAATTCAATCAGGTTTGTATGATGATAATGATAACCGAATGACTAAATATAATGACATTATCGATCTATTGATTTTTAAATAAAGGTTACTATCAATTTTCCCGAACAAAATGGCCACAGTGAAAAAGTTATAATTCGTGGTGCCAAACAAGATGCTGAACCATGTTATAAATATTTATCCAAATTGAATCAAGAACTTCTTATTAATAATTATCGTCTTGAAGTGCCTATTCTCAAACAATCCTTACAATTTCAAGGAAAAGATTCAATCAAAAAGGTAATTAATTTTGTTATACTATATAAATTAATAAAATAATAATCAACACATTTTCTACTCTCTGTGTATTGGATAGATTCGTGAAGATCTTGGCGTTCGAATGGATGTGCAAAATGATGGCGACTTGATTGTGATCACTGGGCCTAAAGATAAAGTGGAAAAAGCTCATGAACGAATTCAAGCCCTTCAGAATAGCCTTTCAGATATGAGTCAAGCAGACATTATAATTCCAAGTAAAATCCATAATCATATTCTTGGATCCAAAGGCCGTAATATTCGAAACATAATGAATGAATGTGGAGATGTTATCATAACATTCCCATCGGAAAACTCTAGTTCGGATCGTGTTACGATTCGTGGTTCAAAAGATGCCGTACAAAAAGCGAAACAATTATTAATCGATATGTCAAATGATTTCCAAACAAACAATTATAAGGAAGAGTTAAAAGTTCGTGTTGAACATCATCGTTATTTGATTGGCAAAAATGGCTCTAATATCAATAAAATTCGTGAACAAACTCATGTACGATTACAATTTTCTTCCGATACTAATAACAATAGTAACAGTCCAATAAATGATTCTGATCGTGTGGTGATCATCGGAAAGAAAGAAGATGTTCTCAAAGCGCGAGCCATGCTTGAAGCTAAAATCAAAGAATTGGAAAAAATAGCCGAGCTTGAAATGCATGTTGATCCAAAATATCATCATCTATTTTTGTCCAGGCGAGCAGCTCTTTGCAAACAACTTTACGATGAATTTGGTGGTGTTGATGTTAGTTGTCCATCACAATCGGACAAGAGCAATGATTGTATCACTTTGAAAGGCCCGAAAGAATGTCTGGAAGCTGTTCGACAACGAATTTTGGAAATCATTTCCGATTTTGATGCTCAAGAAACGATTGAAGTAGAAATTGATGCCCAACATCATCGACATATACGACATCGAATCCATTCACTTCAACAGGAGCATGATGTTCGAATTAAATTTCCACTTCGTTCTAACCGATCGGATAATAGTAACAGCAATGATGGTGAAGAAGATTTGGCGGATAATAAAGCCAATATTGTTACCATAACTGGCCGTCGTGAAAACTGTGAAAAAGCTAAACAAGAATTATTGACATTAGTACCTGTTTCGATTGAGGTTAGCATTCCTTTTGAATTCCATCGTTTCATCATTGGCCAAAAAGGTGTTGAAGTGCGTGATCTTATGGACAAATTTAATGTGAATATTCGTGTTCCACCACCGGCAGAAAAATCGGATATCATTATTGTCACTGGAAATCGAACAAATGTTGAAAATGCCCGAAAAGCACTGCAAGAAAGATTGATAAAGTTGGAAGAAGAAAAGGCCGATAGAGAAGCTCGTAGCTATCAGGTTACCGTACAAGTTGATCCAATTTATCATCCAAAAATTATTGGCAAACGTGGTGCTGTCATTACATCGATTCGTAAAAAATTTGATGTTCAGATTCAAGTACCGGAAGCAAATAGAAATAATAATAATCAGAATAATGATAATCAAGAACAACAATCATCGCATGTAAATGATACAATAACGATCATTGGTTATAAAGAGAATGCTGAGAAAGCTAAAGAAAAAATACTGGAATTGATTCAAGAGCTAAAAGATATGGTCACTGAAGAGTTGGAGATCGATAGTAGAATACATTCACGGTTGATTGGAACGCGTGGAAAAACTATCAAAAGTATAATGAGTCAATTCAAAGTGGATATCCGATTTCCTAAAGTGCAAAATGGTGAAGATCCAAATGTGGTGACCATTAGCGGAGCCTCAAACAATGTTGAAGAATGTAAACAACATTTATTAGAATTGGCCAATAATTACGTAAGTTTTTAATTTCATTTATTCTTTTTTTTTATTAAGTTTAATTATAATTATGTTTTTGTGTTAGCTTGATGACATTGATGACCAATATCAATTACCTGCTGATCATGAATTTCGATTAAATTTCGAAGATCTATCTACATCTGGTGTTGTGAAAGAATCGAACAAAGGATTTGTTGTACGCGGTGCTCCATGGGAAAAAAAGACTGTTCGTGGTGGTGGTGATAATAAAAATGAACAATCGCCTGGATCACGTCAAAAATTCATTGGTGGCCATGGTGTTGATACATCAAGTGCTCAAGATTTTCCTGCATTTGGAGGCACAAATAATGATTCGTCTAACAACGCATCAAAAATGATTAACAACGATACCATGGAGAATAGTGATAATTCACCTATGAATGGTGATGTTACTTTGGTAGGCGAAAAAAATGGTGATACAATAACTAGCAATGAGCAACCTATTGTTTGGGGTCCTAAACGAAATTGAATTCGAAAAAAAAATAAACGACAATGCCAATCCACAACAAATTAATAATCAGCCAATAATAAAATAAATCAGCCGTTACATGTTTCCATCGATCGATGACCAGACCGACCGGAATACAACAAAAAACATCAAACAACCCGAGCCACAGCAATAATAAATTTATTTTTTCAGATATATTTCTTATATAATAATTTTATAGTTTTATATTTACCTATATATTTTTCATTTATTTGATGCTAAATGATGATTTTGAATGAATTATTATACAACTGCATTACAAAATAAATAATGTGGTGTTTTTTCATTTTAATAATACTGATAATGATGATGTTATTAACGGAAAAAGTGTAAGCAACGACACAACAAGCAGTGATGAGAAAAAAAATGAAATCTTTTTTTAAAACAAAAAAGTCAAGATAATCAATGTCTTTGAGCCCTAGGATTCTGAACTATGTCCTATATATTGATCAAACAATTGGTTCGCCTAATAACAATAGATGGTTTTTAACTATAAATTTTTCAAATTTAACAAATGTGTGTCATCAGAATGTAACTTTATCAGAATTTTATATGGCAACACTTATTTATTAACTCACTGAAAAAAAACAACAAAAATGGAATCAAACAGACAAAACAAAATAAAATAGAAAACAAACGAAAAATAATAAAATATTCGACTTTTTTCACTGCAGTATTGATGTGAAAAACCAGTGGATTGATTAGATGCAAAAACGATGTTCTTTACCATCGGCAAATAATAATATGACTAATTTACTAGATACCCAGACTAATTTAGCCGATTTTAATGGTCCTAATGATCTGACAGGTTCGGACATTGGTGGACATGATAATGATTTTACACATCTAGTTTGGGCATTTCCAAGGCCAAATAAACCGACGGCCTGTGTAAGCCAGAATGAAATCTTATTCTCTGTACAACAATAAGATGATAGATATTTTCCATCGGGTGAAAATGCACAACAAGTGATCAATCCATTATGTGCTTGTATTAATTGTGATTTTCCCGTTTTCAATTCATAAATGGCCAGATTTCCGGTTTTTGAACCAACAGCAACACGTTTAGATGACAAACAATAGGTAACATTTTGAAATCGAGTTAAAGCGGGAAACATTTCCCCCAAACCTTTATTTTTGAGGGCATTTTGATCCAATGAATAAAGAACAATATCAGTTGTTTCAATGATTAGATCATAAACATCTTTTTCATGTTCTTTGATTAGCAATTCAAGATTTCGTAGAATTTCAGGACGAGAACGATACAATACGGTTTGATGTGGAATAATATTCAATGATGCTTGCTGTTGTTGTTGTAATGTATTATAACGGGTTACTTCTTTGGCCAATGTCGTTATGAATGCTGCCGGTCTAGCTTCGGCAATCATTTGAAGAGCACAACGTGCTGTACGTGCTGAATCAGCGGCCGGTGTTAATGGTAGGCCAAATTTAAGACTTGGAACCATCGATTGTTCTGTGTCGGTACTACAACAGAACTCTAACAATGCAAGCAATATTTTCGATACATCAAGATATGGTTCCCATACGACAAAACCACGACCAATCAAATCAATAGAAGCCCTACGTAATGATGTATGATAGGGTAAGGAATTCGATGGCGGTGCTAACAAAAGATATGATAATGCTTTGCTTGTCTTTCGGGCTAAGTTATAATTCCCGCCACCACCGAATCCATCAATAATTGAACGTCGACGGACCTGTTGCGGTGGTTGAAGATCATTGGGATTCAAACGATTTGTTGTGTTAATTGTTGTTTTGTTTGATTCGATTTCACTTCCATAAACCGAGCCAATAACACCCATCAAAACAATAGCAGTAGCTTGTCTGCGACGACCTTCCGAACCAGATGTACTGAATTTAATTGTGCCCGAGTGAGCTGGTGTTCGAATATCATCACCATCATCATCATCATCGTCGTCTCCATCATCACCATCTTCACCATCAGAATATTCATGCAATTGATGATGATTATTAGCGTTGTTAGACATATGATGATGATAATTATCCGATGAAGGAGTCGTCGGAGTGGTAGCATGAGCATTATAATGAGCTTGAATATTATGCGAAACGGTAGAGTTGGCGTTCGTTGTGATATTATTATGAACCGAATTGGATGACATGTGAGAATCGGATAATCTATCATCGTAATTGGGTAAATAAAGTGACCATTTTTCTACGATCAATCGACGACCTTTTGATCCTATTGATTTCAGTTCGGATAGAAGTAAATCTTGAGCAGCTTGACGAATTTCAATACAACGATCTTGCCAACGTTTGGCAAGTAAATCAACTAATGGTCGTTTTAGAAAAGGTGATTTAATAAGATCGGGCAACATAACACAATGTAATGCTCCAATCAATTGCCATGCATCATGAATTTGCTGCTGTCGAACTTTAATATCGTTTTCATTTTCCACAATAGATGGCTCTTTGATTGGAGTATTACCACTTCCGGGAGTATAGCTATTTTGTCGACTTAATTTTCGAATCAAACGTCGTCGATTAGATTCAAATTTTGATGATGAAAACGAAGCATTCGCCATTATCATGAATGTATTAGCTAGTGAAATGACTGATAAAAGATGATTAGTGGTTATAGATGCGGATAACTCCCAATGAAAACGTGCCGTAAATTGTCGTGCCATTTCTTCGCAAATTTGTAATTCTACTGGCAAAGTTGATGCAATTTTCACACTTTTAGCTCGAATCAAAGGTTGGTTAGTTCGCTGCTGAGATGCCATTGAAGTTTTCGATGTTGTTAAAACATCATTTTCTTTTGATTTTTCTGCCAAGTGATTCAAATACGTCGGTAATAGTAATGACATGTGACCACCTTTCGAAATCATTCCGAAACAAACGGGTCTTAATGGCCTTAAAAGACCAAGTTTCGATTCACAAACTTTATCCAGATCTGAATCCAATCCCCATGCATAAAGTAATGACAAAAGTAATCGAGCTATCTCCATAGGCATATGATCATCACTGCTATATAGATTATTTAATTTATTTGGAGGATCTGATCGACGTGATTGATCGCTACCATCACCACCGGACGCTGTGGATGCGGAAGAATTTTTGCGATAAAAACCAACGCTTATATCGCCAGAAACATTTTTGAAACCAACAGATTCGGCTTTTGCCTGGATTTTCTGCGCAGCATTTTCAGCTGTATCTTTCATTTTAGCTAATAAACCTGTTAATTTACAATTTAGATTCTATTCATTTGAATTTCATTAGTGTTTCTATTACCCGAAAGTTTATTCGATTCAGTTGAACAGGCCAGTTCAGAAAAACGTTTATATTCAACATTCGATGTTAATCCAGTAGATTCCATCGTATTAGGTGATAATAAATCATATTCTTCACTTAATAATTGAACAATCAATGCTTCAACATCGAAGAATAATATATGACTCTCCTGATCTTTCGGGTTCGTACGCAATCCTTGTATCAGCAATGGATTCGTTCGTGATCGAATGGAAGCATCGATTATATCTTGTCGCTGTTTCTGTAGATGTTCACTTATATTATGTAGGCCACGAACGGCTGCTTGTCTTATGGCGGCCAGATTTCGGTGTCGTAGTCCGCGAAATAAATGTACAGCAGGATTGACAAACCGATCACCCACCGTATTCATTGAAGCTCCATCACAAGCGTTCAGTACTTCTTCGGCGGACATTCCATGAAGAACACGATCCAAATGACCAGTTTCCATTTGCCATAGATAAACCGATCCATCTATACAACCAACAACAAGAAAATCATCACTAGCACGCCATTTTATCGTTGTTATTGGAAATAAATGACGACTTGCAAGCATTAGGCAACGACGTTCTTTCAAAGATAATAATGCTACCGAATGATCGGATGCAACCGAACATACGCAATTCAATACACGTGGATTACAATCTTTAGGCGGTGCAAATAGTTGAGTAATTTCACCTGCATGAACTGGGAATCGATGTAACAAGGAACCATTGAAAATATCCCATAAACAGACGGAAAAATCTACACCACCAGAAACAAGATGAGCAGCCTCATAACGTTCTTCAAGATGATGTGGATATAATAGCGTATTGACACGACCGGAATGGCCACAAAGAACTTGATGATGAGGCCAATCCTCATAGGCCAAATGACGTCCAAGTAACAATTGTAACATAATAGTTTGATTACCCGATACAATTATAATTGAACCATCTTCACGACCACAAACTAAACGACCCAAAGTAGGTATGTAAACTGATGCGGTTATTTTATAGCTATTCGGATGATCATCGATTTTTTTCAACTAAATTTTATTTAAAAATTAAACCATTTAGTTCAGAAACATAATCCAAATACATACCAAAGTATCAATGACACCGCAAGGTAAATCTTTTAGTTCTTTCCATGCAGCCGTTAGTGAATGGGAAACATTTGGTTCAATTTCTGGAATGTTGTCCTGTAATGAATCAACCAAGTAATCATTCAACTTCCAGATTGAGACTCGACCATGAGAATCACCACATAGCACAATTTTTGAAATGTCTGAAGACTCATCGTTCATTTTCTCAGAAAAGTTATAAAAGGCGATGGCAGGTGGACAAAGTAATCGCTAATATTAAGAAAAAAAAAAGAATATAACCAAGGTCTAAAGAATTCATTCAAGACTAACTTCATTATTTTTCATCATCAATGTTGCATATAAAATTGGTTGATTGGTCATATTAAGATTATGGAATTCACTGTTACCAGGCACACAACTATAGTTTATGTGATTTACAAACAAAAAAGAAACATCGTCAGAATAGTTAATTAAATTTTCATTATAGACATAGAAAACAATAGATGGTAAAATACATTTACCTCTTTACAGCTTTGCCTTTTAGTTTACTGTATCATTATTTTAAGGAGAAGATTAAGAAAGCGCGTGTTAAAACAATACAAAAGGAAAAATGTTTTGATATCGACAATGGATAAAAATGATAGGATTGTTAATTAAGTAAACAAAAGGAAAATTCAAACAGAATTATTAAATCAAACAATTGGCTTACTTTACGGGTAATTTATAAAGAAATGATTTTCCCATATCATTCCATATGATGACACGATCAGTGGAAAGAAATTGGCCACCTAGCCATCGTTCACCACGATTGTTTTTCATCATACATAATTGGGCAAAATCTCCAACATCATAGATTTGCCAATATTTTGGTGAAATGATTAATAATGTTCGCTGATTATAAACACAACATGTTAGTTGTGTTGCATTAGCACAACGAATTGGTTTTGATTCATTCTCATAAATCGGTTCTAAAGATCGTTTTTCATGACCACTTAATGTCCATACTTTCATTATACCGGCAATGGAAAGACCGATAATTACATCATCTAAACACGAGATGTATGAAAAAATATGAAACACAGAAAAAAAAATTTTCAAAATAAACCTTGAGTTTTAGGCGAACGAAGTACATGGATAGCAGAAATCCAATCAGGATTTAATTTTGAATTCAATGTAAACAATGTTTCCAATGTTAAACCATCAATAATAAATATTTCAGAATAATAGCCATTGCAAAAAAATCGAACTTCATCATCATTCATCACATATGTCTGAATGTTTGTATGAATATATTGATGTTTTACCGTTTCAATACATCGTGAATCGGAAAGATCCCATAATGACATTTCACTATTGAAAAATAATTTTACATTCAAATAATGATTTGAATTGTTCGATTCACACACAAACATACCCAGATTCTGATGAACTAACAAAATGCATAATATCATTTTGTTGTTTTCCATTAGCTAAACATAAAACTGCTAACGAATGTCCGAATAATAGACTTCGAGGTGTCAACTAAAACACAAAAAATTTATTCGATATTTTTGTTAGAAAGAAAAAAATCATTACCGAATCATTTTCATATGAATAATCCCAGATACAAATCTGTCCATCATTACAGCCAGTAATGATTGTATGATAATCTTCGGTCATAATAATAGTCGAAACACAATGTGTGGGCGATTTTGATCCCCATAATGTTATCGGAACAATTAATTGACTCGATAAATTCGATACAGTCATCTTGATGATCAATTGATTTAATCGATTCACATTGATTAAAGATGAATGATCAAATTAATTGAAAATAAGCTGAAAAATTTAATTTGTAAACAATTTGAATCATAATAATAATAATGATTGGTGATAAAATAATGATGATATCAACAACATCGCAATAATCAACAAACAATATTTATCAAAATTTTCAATATAAATCTGACAGAAACAATTGCAGCTGACAGATCGTAATGAGCAATAATTTTTTTTTGCGAAACGCCCATCGGCGCCAATAGATGACGCCAAAATTATAAGGTCAAATGTTCAGAATATTTTATATGGCCATATTTTGACGCGGGCGCAATTCATTCCGTTATTTTGGAAAAAAAAATCAAAATCATGATCTAATTTTTGGATTTAAATGAATTGTTTCATAAAATATACAACTCTTTCAAATTCTAAATTCTCAATATTAATTGATTCGTTGAATTTTTCTGAATCTTTGAAAAAAAAATTATTATTAACAACTCCGATGCCGGGAATCGAACCCGGACCGCCTGGGCACTTTTTTACAGTTAACCCTGATGTCATCACCAAGAATTAACCAGCTTTACTTGTTAATTGAAAGCCAGAAATCCTAACCATTAGACCACATCGGAACTCGATAAGTGATGTTGCTTAATATTTAAATTTCATTGAAATGATGTTCAATGAAATTTCAACGTTGGCAAATACTGTTTAAAAATCAAATGTAAATGATCTAATTAAAAGTTCAAAATTCAAATGAAAAAATTGTTATTCAAAAAGAATATAATTTGAATAAATATGAACGATTATCAATTCTGATCAATGATATAATGTGTGTAAAGTTTTCAATCAAGTAAACATTGTAAAATCAAAAAATCTTATTAAGAAAAATAAATCCTGCCATCTATCGTTGACCGGCGGTTATCTTTTGGCTCCTCATAATCATCCGCAAGCATGGTATCCAATTGAAATTGAATATTGAATTGGCTTACATGCTGATGCCACATCATCAAAGAACATCGACCTGTGTGTATCTCATTCAAAAAAAAAAAAACTAAAATAAAATACAATCAGACATCCAAAGCCAACTCAGCATTTCGTTTTTAGATTAAATAAAAAAAATTTTTTTTTGTTCAGATCTTCGATATCAAATTGATAATAATTTTTTTTTTTTGCAAATGAAACATCAGTGAGCAATTTGTAATTTGTGTGTGAGCGTGTGTGTATGTTCTAAAAGCCAAATCAACAAAGTTATCGCAATATTCATATTCATTGATCACACGATTGTTCTATTGTTTTATTCGTTCATCACCTTGTGTTTTTTAAAAAAAAATTTATCGGTGTGCTATCTTTAATTCTAATTCTGAGTAATAAAAAAAAATTGATTTTGTTACAACAAAAATGTCCGCATCACAAACTCTTCAAAATGCTATTGTTAAATCCGTATGTATTTTTAAAAATTTTATTTTTGAAAAAAATAATGATTTTCTAAATGAAAAGGTTCAATCTGGCGATTCAATTATTATTCGTAGCCAACCAAAAGGTGGCCCACCACCAGAAAAACAAATCAATTTAGGTAAATGTTGATATTAAATTTTTGTTTTCTCAAACATTTAATCAATAAATCGATATTCAATTTCAGCTTATTTGATAGCACCAAAAATAAGTCGTAAATTACCCGATGGTAGCCATACAGCTGATGAACCATTTGCATGGGAATCTCGAGAATTTCTTCGAAAAAAACTTGTCGGAAAAGTTATACAATTTCGCGTTGAATATAAAGTTCCATTCGGTAATAATCAACGTGAATGTGCAACAATATTTCTTGGAACGGAAAATATAAACGAAACATTAGTAAATGAAGGTTTAGTTGAAGTTGTAAAACGTGCTCAAAACAAAGATAATCCTGATGTTGTTCGTTTGATCGAACTAGAAGAAGCTGTAAAAAGTAGCGGATCAAAAGGTAAATGGGCTGGTAATGCTATTAAACGTACAATTTTACAAGAATTTGAGAATAGTCAATCATTTGTTGGAAAAACTTTGGATGGAATAGTTGAACATGTACGAGATGGTTCAACTATGAAAATTGGACTCGTTTTGCCGTCAAATGACCAATCATCGTTGATGTATCAGATGGCTATGGTAGTGTTGAGTGGTGTTCGTTGTCCACAAACAAATGAACCATTTGGTGAAGAGGCAAGATTTTTTACCGAATCACGACTATTGCAACGTGATGTTCAAGTACATGTTGAACAGATTAATCCTGGCGGAAGTACAATTGTTGCTACCGTTGCATTTATGGATCGTGATATTGCTGAATATCTGTTGCGCGAAGGCTATGCAAAATGTATTGATCGAACGTTAGGAATGACAAAAGATCCTAAAAAATTGCGTTCTCTCGAATCTGAAGCTAAAAGCCGCAAAATAAGAATATGGAAAGATTTCAAAGAAACTGTACGATCAAGTAGTTCAATGAATTTTGAAGCCAAAGTATTGGAAATATCAAGTCCTGATTCATTGGTTATTCAGCATAACGAAAGTAAAGAAATAAAGAAAATATTTTTGGCTTCTATTCGTGCACCGAGATTGGTTAACGATGATGGACAAACAGTTTTAGCATCGAGTGGCGGTACCGATACAAAGAAACAATTTCGTCCGCTTTATGACATTCCATTCATGTTTGAAGCTCGAGAATTTTTACGTAAAAAACTGATCGGCAAAGCAGTCAAAGTACGTGTGGATTATGTTCAACCGAAAAATGAAAATTTTCCAGAAAAAACATGCTGTACCGTTTTAACTAGTGATGGGCAGAATATCGCCGAACAATTGGTGATGAATGGTCTAGTTACAGTGGTTAAATATCGTCAAGATGATGATCAACGTGCTTCAGATTATGATTCATATCTAGCAGCTGAACAAAAAGCTCAGAAAAATAATAAAGGTTTGCATTCAAACAAACCTGAAGCCGGAATGATACGAATAGCCGATCTATCAATGGATTTATCTAAAGCAAAATCAATGGCACCATTTTTGACACGTTCTACAGGCATTCGTCGTGACGCAGTTATTGAATATGTATTTCCATCATCGACTAAATTAAAGGTTTATATACCAAAAGAAAGTTGTCTGGTTAATCTCGTATTGTCCGGTGTAAATACTCCGCGACCAAACGATCCAATGTTAGCTGATGCTGTACAACATGTTCGTTTACGTGTCTTACAACGAGATGTTCAAGTTGAAATTGAAACCGTTGATAAGATTGGCAATTATATTGGATCTGTTTATTATGAAAAAAATAATAATCTGGCATTGGATCTAGTACGCAATGGTCTACTGTCGGTGAGAGAATATAATAAAAATATGGAATTAAACAATGCTGAAAAGGAAGCAAAAACTGCTCGACGTGGAATCTGGAAAGATTATAAGGAAGAAGTGGCCGTTGAAAATGTTGAAGAAGTTGATTTGGATGGTGACAATGAAACGGCGCCCGTAGTTGATGACATTGCGCAAAGAAAACGTGTCATAATCACAAATCTGGCCAAAGATTTTACCTCGTTTCATGCGCAACAAGTAAAAGATGGTCAAGAGATTGAGGCAATGCTTCAACGATTACGACAAGAAGCAACAGCCAATCCACCCATTGCCGGTTCTTATAGACCGAAAAAAGGTGATCTTGTTATGGCCAAATTCAGTGAAGATGGATTATGGTACCGTGCACGAGTGGAAAAAACAGTGAACTCCAATGAATCACAAGTTATCTACATTGATTATGGTAATCGTGAAACATTAGATAATAAAAATATAGCATCACTGCCATTGGGTAATTTCGCCAGTATTCCAGCGGCGGCTAAAGAATATGCATTCGCATTCGTCTTTCCAGATACGGATGAAGAATTCTTGGAGGAAGTTAGAGCCGTTTTTATGGATATAACAGCTAATAAAGTACTGCTACTCAAGACAGAATATAAAGATGTCGGCAATGGATTGGAAGCGGCAACATTGTTGGATGAAACTAGTAAAAAAGATATTGTTCTTCAAATGGTAAAAGATGGTTGGCTTTTTGTCGATACAAAAACTCGTCGTGATCGTCGATTGTTGAAAAAAATTAACGAATACAAAGAAGCACAAGAATATGCTAAAAAGAATGGGGTAAGAATATATTTATTTTTCTTTTCTTTTTTTTATAAATTATTAATAAATTGTATCATTTTTCTTACAGCTTAATCTATGGCAATATGGTGATGTTACACCCGATGATGCTAAAGAATTTGGTTATCCAAGCCATTGATGGAAAACGATAGAAGCCGTTTATCGTTTGAAAACAAAACAAAAAACCGGAATTTGAATTGAGAATTATTTTCTACCATTTTTTTTCTATTTGAGCATGAATTTTTTCTTTTTAGTTCAATAATGATATGTGAACAATATTCAGACGCCCATACAACAAGAAATTTATATTTTATTCAATTTTATAATGTTATATTTTCTATTCTTCTATGAATATTGAATTATTAAAATATAAATTTTTTTATTAAAAAAAAAATTAATGAAATTTTTTCATTTTAATGTTGGATGTGTGTATAAAAATGGACCGCGAATATTCGATATTCTTTCAGTGTTTTAGCTTTGTTTTGTATTTTGAGTAATTTTGTTTATTTTATTAGAAAAAAAAGTATCGCTTGATCATGTCCATTTCGGAAATTTATTCATCCATACGAAAAGTTTGCGAAAAAGTTGATAAAGATAATGATTCAACTTGTTTCAGTAAAGCTAGTAGTCAATTGGAATTTATATTGACGAATAATATGAATTTAAATAAAGATTTTTCCGAATCATTTGTTCCTGCATTTGAACGAGAAATAATGCGTACGAAAAAATCATTGGAAGATGCACAACGATTTAAACAATTTTGTAATTTATATAAAAATATGACCGATGCATCATTTGCAGATAAAGCAATGTTTAATATTAATATGGCTATTATTTCGGCACCGATTCGTGATAATAATCTATTATTTCAATGTTTTAGTCAACGATCGATATTGCATTCGAATCAGAATGATTATGAATCAAGTTTGAAAGATTTAGATCATGCTTTGGAGATTCGTTTGTCATATACATTAATTGAACGTAAAGTAGACATTCTTAATCGATTAAATCGACAATCTGAAGCGTATCGTATGTTGTCAAACATTGTACAGGAAAATGAAAAAATTCTATCGATTGATAAGCTTAAACAATTTAAAAAACTTAAAAAACAATCGAGAAAATTTAAATCTCCTTTTGGAATTGACGATCGACAATCATCAATGGATGATTCTCTTGATGTTACAATTGATCGTCGTATAAAAATTGCAAAAATTCAATGTGATCGATATGATTTCCAAACCAATGCTGAAATCGCAGCCAATACAGAAATTCTATCTGAACAACCAATGATCATTTCATTTACAGCCGATTTTCTTCATGATTATTGTCATAATTGTCACAAAAAAGTTACAAATACATTTTGGCCATGTTTTAATTGTACCGAAGTTGTTTTTTGTACCAAGAAATGTGCTGAACATGCTTTACATACTTTTCATCAATATGAATGTGGTCTGTTGTCATTGATGCGTGAAAAACTTGGCAATCAATCAACTACTGTGTATCGTGATTTCATTCAATTACCACAGTTAAATCTTGCTATTCATCGTGATGAAGTGAGTAATTTAAATAAGGATTCTCATCAATCAATAATGAAAAAAATTTTATATTCGAATCACACACTTTCACAGTTTCAAACATTTTCCTTTCAATCATGTTTGGATCAATTAGAACAAACTACTAAAGGATTAGAATTGGAACAAGCTCGTCAATGGTTTTTCATTAGTCAACGTGAATTGTATCAACGAATTGTTCGCCGTAAACCATTACGACGATCAGTAGAATTATGCAATGCAATCATATTGTTCATGATTTATTGTTATAAAATGAATGTTGATATGCAACAATTCGAAAGAAAAGATTTGATCGAAATTATCGAACATTTTGCCATTTCATTTGTTCGAACACAATTGAATGAATATAGCTGGCAACAGAAAGAAAATCAAGAAAGACAACAGGTTGCTTCATTTCAATGTCTGTTTGGATCACATATCAATCATGAATGTGAACCAAATGCTGAATGGACATTTGATGGTAAAAAATTCGTTGTTAAAACTATTAAGAATATAGCGGCCAATGAATCAATTACAATTACATATGGTGTGCCTAAAGATTATTCATTACTCAAACGACAACGTTATCTACAAAATCTATATATTATGTGTGCCTGTACTAAATGTTTAGAGGAAACACGTAATTCATATTTTGCCATTCGTTGCGAGTATTGTAATGGTCCAATACCATATGATGTGAATGAATTTGTCAATGATTGGTGCATGATGTGTGAACGAAAATATGAAAGTTCATCGATAATGTCATTGGTACAAAAACAATTTCAAATATTACAACGAGCAATTCGTCTAATCGGTGGTATTACTAATCAAAAAACTATACTTGAAAATATTGAAGAAATGATGGGTTCATTGGCTAGTTATATTTATCTTGAATCATCATTATTCATTCAAATGGTAACAAAACTTTGTGATCGTTATTTCGAATTGCAAATGTGGTCACAAGCAATTGAATGGTATCAATGGTTTGTCAATGTAACCAATTTACATATATCATATAACAAAGAAAATGAGATTATTTATTATTATAATCTGAAAAAATGGTCGAATGCATATCTGAATTATTTGGAACAGAATGTTCGAACTGGTAAAACAAACATATCGATTGAATATTTACAAACGGCTATCTATCTATTTGCCGAACAGCGAAAACTATTGGAATCATTACAACAAATGAATCGTTTTGAAGTTATCGATTCAATACAATTAAAAAATATGACACGTTCTTTAACACAGGATTTACAATGCAAAGATTATCGATTGAGACAAGTTTGTTTGGAAATTTTGAAAACCAAAAACATAAACGATTCAATGGCTAATGGTGATGAACTTGTGAAAGATTTATTTGCCGAAAAAACTGAATTTGATAAATTTAAACCCAATATGTATAATTATGCTCATGAGCTAAGTGCTAGTATTAGTTTGGAGAGTTTATCATTACGATGATAATTAGTGAAAAACTTTGAGCTTGAAAATTCTGATTAAAATTTCAGTTTTTTGATAAATAAATTCGTGCACCAAAAAAAAAAAAAAGATTCGAAATTCTGCGAGGTCATTCATAGAATATGTATCACAATTGTCGTGATCCAAAAAACAGAATAGATTGATCCAAATCATGTTTAATCATCCTTGATGATGTCTTTGCCACCATATCATTCACTAAGTAGATTAGATTATCTTCTGCTACGATTACAGCTAGAGTTGAAAAAGACAAGCACATTACGAATTGTTATCATTGCCATCGTATTACATTCATTATTTTCTATTCTATTAATTCATAATTATCTTAATTATTATAGTGATACCTATCATAGGTTAGTGTTAACATTGTTTCCTGGATCTTCAGTTTTTAATTTCATTAAATAAATACAGTAAACATTCAACTAGTCATGAGCATCCGGACAAAGGAAAAATATCTATATTTTCCAAACCAATCACCAATGATGACATTGATTGCGAACGGCGTTATAAATTGATTAAAATGGATTTCAACGATCCAACTGTATTCGGACCAAATGCAATTAATTTATTGCATTCAAATCTAATACAATCAAAGCAGCTCACACACATCGGTTGGTTCAGTGATCATTTTCGTTGGGATGAAAAAATTCAATGTTTCAATAATCGTTGGACACTTTGTGATAAGGTAGTATGATATAAAATCCAGTCATAGTGATTTTGTTGATTTTAATCCATTACACAGATTTTCATTGCTAAATGTAAACCAAATTCAATACGAGCCATTTATCAATTTGTACCCTTTAAACTTGAATCGAACGTTCGACATTTGTTTTTTAGTCTTCGTGCTACAGCCGAACAATTAGTCGAACAATCTCATGATGGTTTCTATGGAATGTTAGCATTAATTGAATTCATTGATTTCACTGATGAAATTATCAAGTATGTTTAATAATTTGAACTTTACATCAAATTCGCAAATTTGTTGTTTCTGTTTAGGCTAAAATTTCGTTATGAAAGTGAATCCTGGTCACTTCGTGTAGAAGATTATCGTTCAACAAAAACGATTAAATCGGTTACAATTATGTTGGCATGCTATGGATATTCTGGCATTGCATCATTTACCGATGTTCGTTTGACCAGTGAATCTGGTTAGTTTTCATTGGCTTTTATAATGAATTTTTTTTCAATATTACACTTGTTTTTCTTATTATTTTAGCTGGACTTGATCCACTTTTTTCAGCTTATGACATATGTTCGTGGTGTTCATTCAAACTGACGGATCATCAAGTTAAGAAATCGAATCAATTTTCGAATCCAGAATATGAAATTCTGAAAATGCCTCGTTATGAAAAATCGATCTCAAATCATCAAATAACATTCGTTTCGCAAGTATCTATGGATCGACTAGTCATTCTTGAACAATCATTACGTACTTGGAATGGACCGGTTTCCATATCCATTTATATATTGACCAATAATTCGACAAACGGTAGAATCCAAGATTGGCAACGTCTATACATTAATAAAAAGATTGGCTCATTGAAAATATCATTGGAAAAAAGTACAATCATTTTAGTGCCTTCGGTCAATCCAGATCATTATCCGATTAATGTTTTACGTAATTTAGCCATCAAAATGGTTCAGACTAGATTCATGTTTCTGGTGGATGCAGATTTTCAACCATCACCTAATCTTGAGGCAAATTTTCTTAGCTCAATGAATAAATATCATTCCAACTACCTGCGACAACACGATATGAATGGCTGCCGTATTGCTTTTGTTGTTCCAGCTTTTGAATACCTTGATATACCAAATAAAGAGGATCCTATCTTAAAAAGCAAAGATGAATTGATACAATTAATACATCGTGATGATCCAATGATCGAACCGTTTCGTTTACATGAATCAAATGAAGTTCATGGCCTAACTGATTATTGGAAATGGTATCATGCTAATAGGCCATACAATATAACCTATAAATTCCATGATAAATACGAACCATACATTATAGTCGAGAAAAATTCCTATTTTCCAATGTACGATGAAAATTTATTCAATTATGGAATGAACAAAGTAATGCATATCACTGAAATGTTTGCTGCAAATTATACATTCGAAGTATTGGACAATGTTTGGACCATACATTTTCAACATCGTTCAACACCTTATTATACGGATTTTTTGAAAAATCTAACCTACAGACTTCGCAATCGGGCTGAACGTTTTAAGGTTTTACAACGTATCATCCATCAATATGATGTTCTATTAGATCAATGTCGATTACGAAATTGAGAAGAAAAAAAATTTGATCTAGTCATTTTAAATTTAGATGTACATTATTTTTATTTGATAAAGAATTTAGCAATGGTCTAAATTTATTAAAATGATTTTTTTGAAAACAAGGGTTAAAAATGAATAGTAACAAAATCTCAATCCATGTTAATGTTTGGTTGAAGTAATACCGGAAAGAAAACGCATATTTTATGTAGCTGTCATTTTTGGCAAACCAAATTCATCAACCAATTGACCATCCTGAAATAAAACAGAATAGTTTGAAAATAATGAATGAAAACAAAATAACTTACAGTATTAACACTTTCAGCTCCCGGTTCTTTAGATGGTACTTTAAGGTTGGACACTTCATCTAGATAAGAAGTATCATCCAATGCAAGCTCATCATTCAATGCTTCTAGTTCGGCTTCAAGTTCATCTTCATCCACATCAGGCATACCATATGAACGGCCTAAGGCTTCTTGTACTTCATTAGCGTCTTCCATCATATCGGCTAGATCATCTTGTAAGTCTTCAATCTGATCAATGTTGACCTTTTTATATTCTTTTTTCATCTCTTTGACGCCCAATTTCATTGCATTTACCTTGAACAAAAACAAAGATGTTAAATGAGAAAACAATTTTATTTTACATACGGTCACTTGAGTATCTTTGAGCGTTTGTGTTGCCATATTTGTTTGTTCCATGTTGAATGATTGTTGCATCAACTGTTCACGTTGATTTTCATACATTTTTCTTTGCTTCAAAATGTGCATCGCTTTTTGTTTTATCGCATTTTTGGCCGGACCTTCTCGCATTTTTTTCATCTGATCTTTGTATTTGACTAGATCAGCTTCCAATTTTTGTATTTTTTTATCGATGGATTCGGCACGACTATCAACCTGATTCAATCCATAATCGGTGAGAAAAGGATTTTAATCAATAGAAAAATGTCAACTCACATTGGCAATCACATCTGAAAGATTTGGTGGTGGCACCTTATCTTTCGGTTTACCAAACATTCTATTCATCATTTTGTACAAATTCTTTGGTTCAAATGATTCTTGGAAAAAAATTGAATCAAAACATTCAAAATTCAATCCTGATCAATTTTGTTGTCGAATAGATTGGGTGGGTTGATTGTTGCGTTGTAAATAAAAATAAATTGACATTCATCTCTTTTTTTTGGGAATACATTCATGAACAACGTATATGAAAACATGTGATCATTACTAATTCAAATTTAAAAATTAATTTAATTGAAAACATTTGATAATTATATGGAAAATTCAACGAATAAAGAATCATCGTCATTAACAAATCATGAAACGAAACAAAAAGATAGCAAATTTTGGGGTAAAATTAATTTTAAAAGTTTTCTAGATTTTTTTTTCTAAAATTTCCATTTTGTGATTAGAAACGTTATTTCTTAGTTCGATTGCTGCCGTTGGTTTATTGATTGGTTTTTCCAATGGTATATCTGTGGCTAAAAAAAATGATGAAACAGCATTCAACAAAGTATTTTGTTTGATTATTTGCTTTTGATTGGATAAAATAATTTTTTTTTCGATTCAATCGTTAGGGTTTAATGATGTTGCCCGAACGACCAAATCAACCGGGAATACCAAAACCACCACCGATGGAAAGCGGTGTACGTTTGGCAGCACGTGCACTTGGTATTGGTTCATTGTATGCAATTGGAGGCGTTAGTATCATATCCGCTATGATATGGTTCGGTGTTGGGGCCAAAAATGTATGATTAAAACGTTGATTTTTTTAAATATTTCAAAATTTTATTTCAATTTAAATTTATCAATAAAAATATAGCTCAAAGATTTTCGTGAAAAAATTGGTGAAAAATTACCACAAATTCCTCGCAATAATCCTCCACAAGGACGAACCGAATTCGAATCATTTCGTGATCTGTTCACATATCTTGCCGAAGAATCCGAAAAAGAAAAAAAATTGAAAGAGGGTGAAAAAAACGATACAAGATGATAATTTAGATGTTTTTTCTTATTCAATTCATTTATATATTTTTTATCAATTCTTTTTTCTTGTATCAAAAACTGTAAATTAGTGAATAAATTTCATTTTGAAGTGTTTGATAACGATTTTCTTTAACTTTTTCCAGCAATAAATCTTTGATGCAACGTTTTTGATTGAAATCATCGCCAAATTCTTTAGCAACACGTGCCAATGCTAATATTGGTCCACTTAGATCAGCATCTTTACGTGGTGATTTAGAACGATCTTCAGCTTTTAATAAACCACAAATAGCTAGTAAAGTATTGAGTAGATTAAAATCCGATTCATTTTTTAGAAATTTTTTTCTCCCAAATTTGATGAGGGCATCAATTTCTATAGTAGTATTTTTATTTAATGATTTTTCTGTTTTGTTGAAACCATTAGTCGATACAGCAAAAAATCTTTTACATAATGATTCAAGATCTGTGTACTGTGTATCAAGATATTTTTGTAATGCTTCCGGATCAGCCAATAAATTGTCATCAAGCTCATCGTTTGCAGAAGTTTTATTATCAATTGATAGATTTGAATCTTCTAATTTGCTGTCATCATCACCAATAGTTTGTTCTTGTTCATCTTCTGAACCTTGATCATCATCAATGATCAAATCGATGACAGAACCAAAATGATTTTTCAATTCATCAACAGTTTCTTCACCGAAGTTATTGGCACTAAGATCAAGTTTGAGCTTTATTTCATCATTTTCTCTTGTTTCCAATATTGTTTCGACAGTTGCGATAATAATTTCTTTTGCATCAGATCCAATTTCATTTCCACTAATATTGATCTCTCGAATTCTCGAACACCATTTATCACGATATAGTGAATCTAAAGCTGATAAAATGATTATAGCTCCTTCGGTTTTAAGCAAACAATCACCTAGATTCAATACTTCAAGTTTGTTCAATGTTATCAATGCAGAAGCTAAATTTTCAGCTGTTGTTGTGAGAACATTATCATTTAGGTTGAGAACTTTCAAATTACGATTTTGTTTTAACGCTTCACACAAATGAATTATTCCTTCTTCTTTCGTACCATTTTGCGGCAGTTCCAAACGTTCCAATGTAGTCAATTTTGATAATGCCGAACTGATTTCAACTATTCCATCAATCTCTAAACGATTTCTTCCGATGACTAATTCGGACAAATTTTCAAATCCAGAAAGAACCGTAGCCAACATTGTTCCACCTTTGATACCTAGTCCACAATTATTTAGATAAAGCTGACGCAATGATATGAATTGTTCACTACGAAGAAATGGTAATAATGTTGGCATCGTTACTGGACCGATTGCATTGTCATTAAGATTCAATGTTACGATTTCGGCACGACTTGATTGTAAACCGACCAATAGATAATATAATGCTTTAGGTATTTCATCTTTTAATCTGCTGGTAAACATATCATTCAGGAATAAGTGACGAAGATTATGGCATGTTTGAAGTGATTGACCAATTTCTTTCAACGGTTCAATACCATATGAATTACCATCCAATTGCAAAGTACCAATTTGATCATTATTATTACGAATTTGTTCGACCAAATCGGTAACATCTTCAGCTTTATCAAACTTTTTACCACTTAGATTGGATTTGACAATTAAATCAGCCATTTTTAATCGTTAAACAGATTAAAAATCACGAGACAAAAGAAAAAATTTCAAACAAAAAAAAATAGAAAAAACACGAGAAAAGAAAATTTGCCGGAAAAGACCGTTCATAGGCAACAGTACAAGAATATTTAAGCGGGAATTGTTTTTTATTGATTTTTTTCAAAAAAAAATTTTATTTATCAATTCTAACAATATTCTTGACATGGCCATTCATAATATAGACAAGCTTCCAGATTAAAATCTTCAATACATTCAATATAAATCCATTTTTCCTCCAAATCGGCCAACGGTTGTGCATGACACCAATTCCATGCACAATATGCAAAACAATTTTGAATATAACAATCGCATGGACGACGAGTGCAGATATGTTTACCAAATGTTGGAAGAATACGTGGAATATATATTGTTGTAATATCTCCTTTCGCCATCATCCATCGTTCCAATACCGAAATAACTAATTTAGTTTTTTTATTTGATTTATAATCGTTATCAAAATTTTTTTTCAACTTTCTATAGTAATCATCACAATCGAGTAATTTATTAAATGGACAGAGATACATTTGTCTAAAATCTTTGTTGGAAATTTGTAAATCTGTTTCAATTAAATTAATTTGGATAATAATCATTATGATGATAATGTTTGATGGAATCAATGTCATTATTATTCAAAAAAAATAATCGTAAAATATTATTTCAAGTTTATTTTTGAGAACATTAAAAGAAAGAAGAAAATTTTTAGTGCACAGTTAGTTAAGAATTTTTCGATGTAAATCTTGCCAGAAATCCTCTTTGGTGGAATTTTCTTTGATTTCGAATAAATTCTGTAATCGGCCATCACTGTTGTTGAAAACCACTAATCGAATAAAACAAAAACAAAAATATATTTGTTGTTATTAATAAAATTAAAATTTTCTTTTGATTTTACTTACAAACAACCAGTTGATCATTATGTTTTCGAAAACAAATTTTCGATGATTCTTTCTCAATTTTATTTTGCGTTTCATCGATTTTTTGGACTAATTGATCTCGATGTTTACGAAAATTATCAATTTCTATTTGAAGTGATTTAAATTCATCACATAATGAATTTCTTTGCTCAATTATTTCATCTAATGTCGAATTCAATTGCGAAAATCGGTCACATGTTTGTTTTTGATTCTCGATCAATTGTTGTAACGTTGGAATTTGATTCTCATCAAATTCTAGATTTGATTCACGAATGATTTTCGTAATATTATCATCAAACAATTTATTCAATTCAATGCATAAATTTTGTGCTTCATTTATTGTTTTTAACGATTGATCATTATAATTGTTCAGCACATCATTTAAAGTTGTTTCATTTATTGATTTTTGTTGACAAAAACCTGTTGATTCTGCAAATTTTTCCCATTCATCTGCCACCATTTTATGATGATTTACATTTTTATTTAATTTCACATTTTTATTATTGGTCATCATCATTTTGATTGATTTGGTTGTTATTTTTTTGTTTGAAATTTACAAATCAATAAAAAATATAAACAAACGAAACATTTTTTAAAAAAGGCAAAAGGCGGGATTTATTGCTCGATGCAGTTTCAACGGCTAAAATTCAGCAATAAATCATACCGTTCAAACACTATGTAACAAAAAAAATTATTTTCTGAAATTATTTTCTCTTCATTATTCGATCGGAAATGGATTTTGAAAAAATTGAAAATCGCCATTAAATTATTCGACCTTTACCTTTATTATCTGTTTATAATTTTCTCTTTACAAAATGGATGTTGGAATTGTACAAAAAAAAATATTTTTGCCTCAAAATTGCATGATTAAAACATCGATCGATACAAAATAAATAAAGAAAACACACCAATCATATATTGACCATTGGTTCGTAATCAACACCAAATTTCAGGTGTTAATATCATTTCTTCTTCTTCTTCTTTTTTTTCTCGTTATTTGATAAATTGATTCGTAATGAAGTGTTGAAATGATATATGAATAGGTGATGTCACGATTTTGGCAAATGTTGGAAAAAAAATCGATCATTATATCAATTCGATTGAGATGATGATGTTGATGTTGATGATTATTATTATTATCATTGTTTATTCTCTTCTACAATATCGTGCATCAGGAAATCTTACAAAAAAAAATCTTTAAATCCCAAATCAATCGTTAATGATATAGTGTTAATTTAAAAGAAAACGAAAACGAAAACGAATCGATTTGATTCAATCTGATCAAAATGACATGATGAGATGGATTCATTTATGGACACACAATCATTTATTTTCATCATGATGATGATTTCAAATTTAGAAATCCAAAATGAAAGTGTTTCTGTATCCACACGACAAACAACAGACACGTTTGATTTTGAAATAGAAATCTTCCAAACACAAACACACATTGAAAGGATAACAGTAGCAGTGAATTGACTTATTTTTTTTTATTATTCGAATCATTTTTTTGACATCCCGTTAAATTGAATCATTTCATCTTTTGATCATAAGGAAAAGGTTATCCCAATTTTTTTGTTTTTTGTTTGTTTGTTTGTTCTCTTCTTCATTCAAAGATATCGATATTAATATTGTACTTTTTAAACTTGTTTTTTTTTGTTTATCCATTCATTTATTATGATTGTTGTTTGTTTGATTGATTAATCGATTGACACATTCAATTGATATTTGGCCATCTTCATCCACCAACAACAGCAACTATACATCCATCCATGGTCGTCTAATCCATCAAACAAACAAAAAATTGAAAATCCATAATTATTCATTTGAAAAAATAGAGAGAAAAATGAAGCATTGCACTCGGTTTTCAATAAATGATTAGTGTGTGTTGGCGTGTGTCCATGTTTGTTTGATGGTTTAATTAATTTAAAAAAAACCTCAAATTTTTCATACCTCTATCGGAATATCCATGACATTGTTTGATCGTATAATCTCTCTCTCTCTCTCCGGTCTAATTTGATTTAAAAATCAATCATTTTTTTAAAAGTCAAACACCATTTTCAATTGAATAAATTGATATGTAATCAACAATTTATGATTTTTCAACAACAAAAACAACAGAAATAACAAGTTCTTTTCAAAAAAAAGCCATAAATTTTCCAAAATTGGTATCGTCCATTGGAATTTATGTAATTGTTGGCCAAATGATTGTGTGTGTGTGTGTGTGGAAAAAAATGAGTAGGCAAAACAGAAAACTAAAAAAATTTCTTTTGGTTTCGAATCGGTTTCTTTCATCACACAGTTATTATCACCTTTATTGTGAATATATAAAGGATAATAATAATATTATTTTCTTTTTCTGATCAATTCAATCCCGTTTTCACTTTTGCTAATATCATGATGATGATGATGGTGATAATGATGATGATGATTATTACAATAATACCTAATCTAAAATAATATATCCTTCCTACTCGGTTTCATTGATGAATGAATAGTAGCCATTTTTTTTGATTAAATGAAGAAATATAAAAAAAAGAATTTTTCACTTGTTTCATATTAGAAATGCGCGTGCCACACTAAACTAACTAAAGGCGTTTAAAAATGATTTTAAAGATGGCAAATTATCATCATCATCACACATTTATATACAATTCGTTAAAAAGATTCTAATCAAAACCATACATATATTGTATAATATTCAATGTGTTGGATCAATCTATTGAAAAAAAGATGTAACAAATTCAGGTAGCAAATTGTTATCGAACGGTCACGATTTTTTTTTTTGTTTTTGTTTTCCCCTTGAATAGGAAAGAAAAAAATAGCCAAAATGATAATAATGTTGTTGTAGGCAAAAAAAACAAAACAAAACAAAAAACAAAAATCTTTTTGTTTCATTTGATTTATCAATGTAGTTTGATCAAAGATTCTTGTCTCATCATCATCATCATCATCAATCGTTTGTTCATCAACCAAATAACACAATTCGTATAATAAATGGAATTTCTCTCACTCTCTCTATATAGTTCATATAGAGATCATATCAAATAAATGGCCCAAATGATCACACACACACACACAATATTAATCATTAGTCAATCGATCAATGATGATGATGATCATCATCATCATCATGGTCTTTGTCTCGTCATTCAAAAAAAAACAGACTCTGTTTTGTTTTTTCCCCTGTAACCTTAATGAAGACTTTCTCCATTCTTATCATTCTTCTTATTATCAATATATGGTGTGTTTGTGTACGTATGAAACTATGAACTATTTCGAAAATTTTTCGTTTTAATTGTAATTTTTTTTTCATTCATTCATTCGGCAGCAGCCCGTTCAATTCAATGTGATTTCATTGTTGATAATCAAAATAAAACAAACGAAAAAAAAAAATTCCATTCAAATACTTTATGAAAACAAAACAAAAAATATTAATTAAGTTATCAAAAGCTATTGATTCGGGTCAAAAAAAAAAATTTTTAATGTTGTAAATCAATGATGAAAAACTTAAAAAACAAAACAGAAAATATTTCGGAAATTCAACATGACCAAATAAATAAACGAAAGAAAAGAATAAATACTTGATTGGTGGGCCGATGATTTTTGTTGTTGTTGAGATTTTGATTTTGATTGAAAATGAAAAAAAATTCAGAGCAAAATCGTGAATAATAATGATGATGATTTGAAATTTGAATGTAGCTAAAAATACTGGTAACATTTTTTGTTGTTGTTGTTGCTTGGACAAACATTTTTGTTTATCCAGCGGCTAAAAAAGTATACGTTCGTTATGATGAAATTTTTAATTGATGTCAAAACGTCACAAGATTTTTTTTTTCCTATTTACTTCATCTTATTATTATCCTCTGACATCTTATTCAAGATTCCTCCACAAATAAAAATACTGATATACCACACCCGGTGAATGAAAAATAATTTGATAAAATCGATTGATTTTTTTTCTAAAAAAAAAAATTTAAATTCATGAATCAATGATTCGTTTTTTTGATTTTAATTGATGTTTCAACAATTTTGTTGCTGTTGTTGTTGTTTCGTGGAAAAAAAATTTAAATTTTTACGCCTAAACACTTATCTGGATTTAATTTTGTGTCTGATCAATTTCCATTTCGAAGGATTAATTGATTGATCATTGTTTCATTGATAGTGAATTACTTGCGTTTGTTTCAATGAAAAAAAAAACAAAACAAATGGTCATCCATTTTCCAATCAAAAACAAAAACAAAAAATGATACGACTTAATCATTGACGGATGTCATTGTTTTTACAAAGAATGTTGTTGATAACGATGAAAATGATGATGGCAGATTGTTGTTGTTTTCATTTCAAACAAACAAAAAAAAATGAGATTATCTCAAGCTATATGAATGAGAAAAAAAAATGACACACAAGTATACAACGAATAAAATCGATTGTTCCATTGTAATATGCCATATCCAAATCTCGATAAATATTCGATGAAAATTCAATTCAATTCAATTTTGGTTCAATTTTTCCTATTCCATTCAATCAAACACCTTATTTTTCCAATCGATTCTCTGTCGATTGATTACGGATGATGATAATGATTATTATAATTATTAATTCAACAATGATGGACAAAATGAAAGAAAACAAAAAACAGAAAAAATTGGATCAAACACACAGTTTCATCAAAGGTGTTTTTATCATATCATTTGGTGTTTGTATTTGGATCTAATTTTTTTTTAATACCGAAATATATTTTAGCTAAATAAATGGATTCAATATATATTTTTTTTTTCTATGTAACAAAACAAACATTATAATATACTATAGTAATGTTTATCAATTCAATAAAATTGAATTGAATTTTGAATGAATGAATTGTGTGTGTGTGTGTGCGATTAACATGTTATTATTTTTTTCATATAAAGAGATATGGACAAATGATAAAACCCTGTCATCATATAATCGCCATCATTATTGTATTTTCATCATTTTCAAATCAAATAACACTAACGTATAATGAAATTTTTTTTTTCCGTTTTTTTTGGCAAATGCAAACAATAAGAGAAATGATAATAATAATAATAATAAATGACCACAACCGGTGTGTGTGTTTATTAGTTGATTTGATGAATTTGGTCCAGGTGAACTAATTTTCAATTAAGATCTTATAGATTCAAAAAAAAATGCCTCATGTGTCAATGTTTGATTAAATTTTCATTGCATTTTTTTGTTTGATTCAGAAATGAAAATTTGCAGAAAAAGCAAACATCGAATATATTGGACATTCGGGAAATTGATTCGAATAAAAATGGGATTTTTTTTAAAATATTATCTATTTGATAAATCAATAGACATCAATTTCAACACTTTTCATAATAATTTCTATCGATGATGATGATGATGATGATGACTAATTATGATTAATTGATTTATGCAAAACATAATGAGTTTAGAAAAGAAAATTAACAAAACCTTTCTTGCTTCGTTTTTTCTCGCAAAAGCATGCTGGCTACTACGACGATCATCCTTAAGACTTGAAATGATAATTATCATTATCCATGTATGAATTGGCA